GTTCCGTCTCGGTGACGCTCCGGACATTTTCTCTCGTGGCGGCGATGCGTTCCTTCGCGTTCTGATCATTGCAGTGAGCACTGAAATGCCATGACCGTCTTTTCGCTACCTAAATGCGACGAGAAGTACCATATGGTATGTGACGTCCTTTTTATAGGAGGACTATGACGTCATCACAGATGAGCTTCCTGATTGGACAATGGTGATGTCATGTTGTGATGTCATGACAGGAGAGCTTTCTTATTGGTTAATGGTGGTTGATGCCATGATGTAAGTACAAAAACGCCCTGTGATTGGATAACAAACGCTGGTGTGACTCAGTAATGTCAGACAAGAAAACTCTTATTACTGGATCATCCGTACTGTCATGATCTTACGAAACAAAGGCTTTTTTTATTGAGGATATTGGATAGACAACAACTGTGGCGTGATCTATTCATGTACATTGTTTTTCTTTGGTGACAAATAGTAAAATCTTAAATGTTACTGAACATTTTCTGCCATTTGATTTCGAGATTTCGAATGTGTGTTGTTTCAAAGGAGAGAGATCTGTCTTCTGCGGTATGGGTCCAACACTTTCCGCAATCCACTTAATAGTAGGTAGTCTAAATGAAAGTTGAAGAATCGGTATTCATTAGTTAACCTCTACATTTCTTCCGCAATCGAAGAACTTTTGAAGCTGAAAAGTCACTCTCGGTCAGTGGGAATGGGTAATACACAAACAAGGAAGAATGGAAGGCAGCTCTGACTTTCATTTTTAACCGCATATTGAACCACTCTTTGTTAGTGTATGGTCTTTTATCGCATGTACTCAACACCCCGGAACATGCCCGAGTATGTGCCGCTTTTTATTACTTCTTTAAAAAATTATTGAAATAAGTAGGTAAGCTCAGCTTTTTTTCCGTAATACCTTGTTCTGTTTGATAACGGTCTGCTGCGGCTATTGGTAGTGGAGGAGATAAATGAGCGCTTGAAGTTCATTATGACAAATTACTTTTGACTCTGTGTGGCACTTAATATTCTTGCTTTGTCATGTCACGCACTAAATATCATGAGTGTGCGTGAGTAAACAAAGCTGGATGTGATGGCTTTTACTAGAGGTTTCCGTGTCAAATGCCCTTGTAATTTCAGTTTGTTCGGCAAATTTTACAGGATAACAATTTTTGTTTTCGCGCAAGGAAAATCTTGACAGGCCGAATTACCTAGCACCCACCCGCTGGGAGAAATTTTCACACACCTTTATACGATATATTTATATACATATAACTCTACACATGGAAGTCAAAAGAATCCTTTGGTCGTGCTTGGTGGTTCTTAGTGTAGGTTATTTCGGTTATCACGAGCTTACGCTTGTCACGGTTATGATCTTAGTGGAAAGGTTCATTCCAGCTAAACGGTCGGATGGCTTTCATGCGTTATTTGACAAGCCTGAAGTTACCGTGAGGTTTCATCGACTTTGGATGAAAAACGCGAGGCTATCATCGCTTCGGAACATCGACTGGTTCCGTAAGTTAGACACTTCTCGATTTTAAGCCCATGAATGTGTAAATGTACTATGTTCGATTTGAATTGTCAAACGACTTCAAAAATACAGTGCGTGAATTTAGAAAACTTAATTTGCGTCTCGAGCAAGGTCAGTGTAGTATGACTGTATGTCAGTTATGTACAAGGTCGACTCGGCTTCGACGGCCAGTTTGTAGTGCCCTGACTCACATGGGAGCGTTCCTATAATTTGGAATAACCTCTACCAATCATCCTGAAAGAATTCTGTCTTCGTTTAATTCATTGTTAAGAAATGGAAAAGGTAGAGTTTTTTAGATTGAGAACAGTTTACAGATGAACAACCCAGAGGCAGTGTTCTTTATAACGTTTTTGTGGCTGACTCAAGGGCACGCACAGTTGCCGCTTAGAATATATAGACGAACATAATACCCGACAGTCCAAAGTTATTTGCCTAATTTCCACTAAATGTCTTATATTAACTGCTTCTGAAAATATTCCATGTATTTTCATAAGTGTCTACTTTAGCACTGTACGGTAAGAGGTTGTGATGGTCCTGCATGATAAGGATGACTTATTTTGCGCACGTGAGACTAAAGAGCAATAGTGCGGGTTTGATTCAAAGTGGAAACATCGTAACGGGACTCCACTAACTCTAAAGAAAGCCTTCACCAGATAAATAAGCTCACCAAATCGAAATAGTGTACTTACAGCCTTAATGTCCAATCTGTAGAACTCTTACGGTGTAATCGCCCGTATCTTTTAATCAAAATAGCGTACTGGATAATCGCTTCTATAGCTTAAAATAGGCTGATGGCATCAGTGTAGTAATTGTATAATTGCATGTATGCTTCGGTGTATAGTCAGTGTGTGCATGTATGCTATGTGATAATTACTGTAATTGTTGTAACTGTTATACTTTGGAATAAATGAAATGATATAAAATAAACAAATAAAAATAAATAATCGCTTCTACCGCCTTGAAATGCAGTGTAAAGGGTCATTGGACGTTACTGTTTCGCTTCGTATTAGTACGGTTCACTGGCTGGCAATCGCCACCAAACTCAATCAGACTACAGGCAACAAAACCTTAGCGTTTCAAACCCAAGGATACCTATTCAACATCTGAATGTCGGTTAACTGGCAAGTGACCATACCTTAAATATTATCAGGGGTTTTCCCTGCTAGCGTAGCCTGTGCACAGTGCTGGCGTTTTCATCAGGCGCGCGAATGGTTTTAATCGCGAAAGCGCCGTGTTGAAACTCCCGAAGAGAGGAGAAAATGGGGCGAGTTAAGGGGAACGGGGAGGGGGCGGGGAGAAAGAAGAGAAAGCCTCTTTCTCTAGTATATTAAGCGAGCGGATACCAGGGAAAAGAGGCTTCCGCTAACATGGATTACAATGGAGTTGGACCCACACTTGGAAAGAGACCTTGAACATCTCTGACGAACCAACTATTACTCGGCTGCTGCTGAATAGCAGTTCTAAATTTTTCCTGATAATGCACCAAATGTGACAGCGTTCATAACAAAAAGTTTACGTTTATTCAATCTTGTAACAAACGTTTTCACGTTGCAGAGCTTCAGATGCGATCCGGTTAAATGACAAAGTAAGATGCGGTTGCGAAGATCTCTCATTGGTTTTAACAACCAAGAGGCGGAAAAATGTTATTCAGTACTTGGTTGATTTTTTGACTCATTATTTGCTCGAAATGCCTGCCCAATGCCTCCATCATTGCCGGGATGACTCTTTCCGCCGTCAAGGTAGACTGCTGTTCGGAACATAGAATTCCGTCCATTAACTGTATCCCCATCATAGTGATGAGTCGCTTTATAATTGGAGCCTCCGTTGATTGAGTGGGACACCCAAGTCTATCCTTCAGCTTTGTCTGCAAAGCACAGATGGCCTTTTCCATCACCATGTCTACTATTATAGGCGTCAACAGTTTATCTATGTGACCCGTGATCAGGGTCGATACATGATTTGTCATGTCCTTTTGTAAGGCCTCTATGATTCCCTTCCACTGCTGTTCTCCTGGGGATTCGCTAGTGTCCATGGCTTGATCCTCTTGATCCACCTCTATCATTTCTTGGTCTTCATCCATTGCAGATTCAAGGCATTATGAATTTGGTGAGTCTGATCACTGCTTATATAACTTACTTGTGACGTCACTTCTACAATCTATTAGTGCCCGAAAAAAAGAGGTAGACGGACAAAAATTAGTGGCGTGTCTGAAATCGTTGTTTAGATCAAAATATGATCTATCCACTGCATGGATTGCGTGTTGCAGCTTTGTATCTTGCCATGATATTTATGCCCAGCTCGTACACCAACAGGCATTGAGGGAGGTACATAATCGGCCCCTAAACCATTGATGATTATGACCTTGTCCACCTGCATGGACTACCTGTACATCCACAAGCGTTGCGACCCGAGTCTTATCTCGACACAGCGCGGCGATGTTGTCGTTCACGTGTAATCGCCGTTTCGTTTAGAAATCAGTTCGACAGGCAGTGAGGGAGGAACATAGTCGGCCCCTAGACCGTTGATGACTATGACCTTGTCCAGTTGATGGACTACCTGTAATCGCTTAAGTGTGGTGGCGCGTGTTTAGCTTACTAGCATCACACGCATACTGCATGTCTTCAATACGTTCGAAGGCAGTGTTTATCGTGAGGAGAGACACGGCGGCCGGCGGCCGGTTCACCGGCTGTTCCGTCTCGTTGACGCTCTGGACATTTTCTCTCGCGGCGGCGATGCGTTCCTTCGCGTTCTGATCTTGTCCACCTGCATCGACTACCTGTACATCAACCAGCGTTGCAACCCGAGTCTCTTCTCGACACAGCGCGGTGATGTTGTCGTTCGCGTGTAATCGCCGTATCGGTTAGGAATCAGTTCGACAGGCAGTGAGGGAGGAACATAGTCGGCCCCTAGACCGTTGATGACTATGACCTTGTCCAGTCGATGGACTACCTGTAGTCGCTTAAGCGGCGCTCTGCGATGGCGCGTGTTTAGCTTACTAGCATCACACGCATACTGCATATCTTCAATATGTTCGAAGGCAGTGTTTATCGTGAGGAGAGACACGGCTACTGGTTCACTGGCAGTTCCGTCTAGTTGACGCTCAGGACATTTTCTCGCGGCGTCGATGCGTTCCTTCGCGTTCTGATCTTGTCCACCTGCATGGACTACTTGTACATCGAGAAGCGTTTCTTCAATATGTTCGAAGGCAGTATTTATCGTGCGTAGAGACACGGCGGCCGGTTCACCGGCAGTTCCGTCTCGGTGACGCTCTGGAGATTTTCTCTCGCGGCGGCGATGCGTTCCTTCGCGTTCTGATCATTGCAGTGAGCACTGAAATGCCATGATCGTTTTTTCGCTACCTAAATGCGACGAGAAGTACCACCGCCATCCTCCATCTTTAAAATAAAGAATATTGAAAGTGAGGTCCTTTTTATAGGAGCACTATGACGTCACCACAGATGAGCTTCCTGATTGGACAATGGTGATGTCATCTTGTGATGTCATGACAGGAGAGCTTTCTTATTGGTTAATGGTGGTTGATGCCATGATGTAAGTACAAAAACGCTATGTGATTGGATAACCAACGCTTGTGTAGCCCAGTGATGTCAGACAAGAAAACTCTTGTTATTGGATCATCCATACTGTCATGATGTCCCGAAACAAAGGCTTCTTTTATTGAGGATATTGGATAGCCAACAACTGTGGCGTGAGCTATTCACGTACATTGTTTTTCTTTGGTGACAAATAGTAAAATCCTAAATGTTACTGAACTGTTTTCTGCCAGGTGATTTCGAGATTTCGAATGTGTGTTATTTCGAAGGATAGAGATCTGTCTTCTGAGGTATGGGTCCAACAATTTCCGCAATCCATTTAATAGTAGGTAGTCCAAATGAAAGTTGAAGAATCGGAGTCGATCATATTAACCTCTACATTTCTTCCGCAGATTGAAGAACTTTTGAAGCTGAAAAGTCACTCTCGGTCAGCGCGAGTGGGTAACACACAAACAACGAAAAGTTGAAGGCAGCTGATTTTAATTTTTAACCGCACATTAAACCACTCTTTGTCAGTGTATGGTCTTTTATCGCATGTACTCAACACCCCGGAAAATGCCGGAGTATGTGTCGCTTTTTATTACTTTTAAAATATTGAAATAAGTAAGTAAGTTCAGCTTTTTATCCCGAACACTCAGTTGTGTTTGCTAACGGCCTGCTGCGGCTATTGGTAGTAGAGGAGATAAATACTTTGACTCTTTGTGCCATTCAATGTTCTTGCTTTGTCATGTCACGCACTAAATATCATGAGTGTGCATTAGTAAACAAAGGTGGATTTGAGGGCTTTTACGAGAGGTTTCCGTGTCAAACGCCGTTGTAATTTCAGTTTGTTCCGCAAGTTTTACGGGATAACAATGTTTGTTTAATCTCCGCGCAAGGAAAATCTTGACAGGCCGAATTACCTAGCACCCACCCGCTGGGAGAAATTGTCAGACAGGCAGTAGCTGTACACATGTGACTCTACACATGGAGGTCAAAGGAATCTTTTGGTCGTGCTTGGTAGTTCTTGTAGGTTATTTCGGTTATCACGAGCTTAAGTTTGTCACGGTTAAGATCTTAGTGGAGAGGTTTATTCCAGCTAAACGGTCGGATGTCTTTCATGTGTTATTTGACAAGCCTGAAGTTACCGTGAAGTTTCATCCACTTTGGTGAGTCATTTCGACTGATGTCCAATTATAAAATCTTAAGTTAGCGGGAAGCACACGAAAAGGTTATTCGAATTAGGAATTTTTGTTCTAAGGGAAAAACATTATTTCTAGTTACTATCAGTGTTGTTGAGCGTATATGCAAAATAAGCAAATGGCTCACTCATTTGTGTGCACCTTTATGCTATCGCCTAGACTACGATTTTCTGTAGTCCGTCGAGCAAAACGCGAGACACGTAAATGTCCACGCGCGTGACTGGTGGCGCGAGACGGGAGAGGAACGTGACTGAATCTGAAGAAAAGGAGAGACTGCTCGCAGTCCATGCTATCGCCAAGAATTGTGCAATACAAGCACAGACTAGAGTGCAGTGTTAGTTGGTGCGTAATGCACATGAAATACTGTAAATACGAAAATCGGACATGCTATTGTATCCAAAAAGGGTTAGGGTTAGGGTTAGCTACTGAATTAGCTTCTTTGCTTGCAAAATATTTTACCAGCTACCGTAAATCCTCTATTAAGCCCCTCGGGGGGCTTATTTATTTCCAACAACAACAACAACAAAAATTCTAGGCAATATTAGTGTCCACAATTAGCTTTTTAGCTAAATACCTTGACACTTTAATAAAGTTTATGTATGTGTGTATGTATGTAACATCTTTCAATGGCACCCAATGGGTGTTTTCTTTGAAATATCTGTTTGGAGAAGCAAAAATTGCCTAGAATTTTCTATAGCTTGACCGTTCCATTTGTATACAATTTTCGAAGCTTATCTAATAAATTCCCTACGATTTTTTGAAGTTTAATTTTTCCCATTTCACCCACCAGGTTAAGCTATTTTCGTAGAGAAAGGAAACCTAAAATTTTCGGAACCGAAAATGCGATGCAGAGAGGAATCACAGAAAAAATATCACTTTCGTAAAACTTAAAATTGTAGCTGAAATTTTCCGGAAAATAAAGTGTGTTTTCAGTGCACTTAGGAGGAAACCGTCGTTGGGTGCCCCTGATCATTTATTTAAACACCGTTGGTTTTTAAAGCTGATATAGCTTATCGGGCTGTGTAACACATTTCAGGGGTACCCAACGATGGTTTTCCCCTAAATGCATTGAAAAGTCCTAATTACGCTATCCAGAGTACTTTTAGATCTCTAGAAACGCATTCAAAGTTGCGCTATAAAATTTGTATCTGTTCGGTCATCCTAGGCGAACTTGAGGCTTTTCGAAAAGTTAGCCTACCATAAGGAGTTAAATATGAAAAAATGAACTTCAGAAAATCTTAGGAAATTTTTTAGATTTTCGAAAATTATACCTGAATAGAACGCTTATCTAGAAATAATTAGCCGTATTCAAGCGATAGAAAATTCTAGGGAATATTAGCTTCTCCGAACGTACAGATATTTTACAGAAAACAGTCGTTGGGTGCCCCTGACATTTGAGGGGGGTTTAAAAGAGACGGGGCACTTATTTGAGAGGGGGGCTTAATTTAGCTAAGACTATGGTATCAGTTCTCAGGGGCACCCTACGAGAACATAGTTCAAAACCACTTACACATAGCATTGTTAAACGTATTTTAGTATCTAAACGGTAGATATAGGCATATTTTTATACCCTAAACTACACTACGACTTATCAGCGGTTATTCACCAACAAAGGCTCTCCCTATCCCCCTCGCTATTAAAAAAAGTGAAAAAAAATTATTAAATTTTTTCCCCTGAGGATAGAGGATTTGCGGTATGTTCTAAGAAAAATCTTGCTGCAGACGATCCTGCACTGAGACCAGATCAGATCAGGCAAAGCCAGCGAGCTAGCCTTCAGGAAGGAATATGAGAAGCTCTTGCTCTTTTTCCTCCTCACCCCCTGAAAGCCTGCTCACTGGCTAGATCGGGCACAAATTCTTTACCGGAATTTTGGGTGGACTGCCTCCTCCAAACTAAATTATTCACAACATATCTTTTTATTTCAGCACTGACGTTAGCAATATTATTAAATCACAAGATGAAGATGGGCATAGAACTGTCCAGTTAGACTACCAAGAAGCAGTTGTTTTCTTTGGATTCTACAAGAAACAGATTGGATTTCAAATAACTGCAACAGCACTGGTGGAAGACTCTGTTATCCTGAACACAGCCAACCTGACAGGTGGTTATTTTCAAATAAACCAAAAATGGGTTTTGTCTGATTCTAAGGATGGAGAAGAGGATGGAACATTCTTAGAGGATCATTTTACGTTCACGACTCCACGTATTTTATCAAGACTTGCTAAACCTCAAGCACAGGCTGCCCACACTGGTTTGTTGGAAAATATCTGGAGATATTTTAAAGACATCAAGGAAACTTAATGTCCAAAATTATATCATAAATTGCGATAAAATGACTAACAAACTTAGACATCCCTTTAAACCCATAATAATGTCAATTGGTGGTTGAATTTTCTACAGGACAGAATGCAAAGGGTGGTAAAAAATAACGTTATCTGTGATTGGAAGCATGTCAATAAGGGTACTACTATACCTGCCAACTTTTTCCGAGATGTAGGCGTGAGATTTTTATCCTGGGAGTGCTGGGATTTTTGAAAACGACACGATCATTTCCGAAGATTCCCGAAGAAGTCCGAAGTCTTCCGAAGACGTCCGAAGTCTGCCGAAGGCGAAGTTATCGAGAAAACGCTTATCCACAAAATCAGAGATCGCGAGGAAGGTATTGTCATTTATTCATTTTACACATGGTTTTCGTTCCTTACATGGGTCTGATTGAACATATTTTTGGAAATTGTGTCCAGCAAGACGGCAACAACTCACATTTTTCAATCAGGCGTGAGAAATTGGTCCGCAGGCGTGAGCGGGCGTGAGATCGAAGTTTTCAACCCGCAGGCGTGAGACTCACGCCTAAGGCGTGAGAGTTGGCAGGTATATACTACACAAGGACGTATGAGCAGCCCTTATTTATTAAGCATTTTTCCTAATGACTTAGAGATTAGTATGGGTGGGGAAACTATCTGTATTAAATATGCTGATGACTGAACAATTGTTGTTCCTGTGTTTAAGAACAATGACCCAGCAGCTGAACTTGTTAATAGTTTTTAGAATGGTCTAGTAGAAATTCAATGAAATGTAATACCTGTAAGAGTAAGAAGCTTGTTTCCCGAAAGAGGAGACATAACAATGTTTATAAAATGATTTCAAACATACCCCTATGCTCCGGACTCACTGTCCTTGAACTGAATTTCCAGCAAGACTGTAGATATGATAAGCATGTTAAGGACAAGCTTGCTAAGGCCAATAAATGCATGTATGTTATAAGATCTTTGTGAAGGGTGGGATGTAGTCAGCTTGAGGTAGATTTAAGACCATAGTTTTACCCAATGTCACCTACGCACATTTTCTAGACAGATGCCATAAAAGGCGATACATTTCAGTTAGATTATATGTTAGTATTTCATTGGAAAAACAAGACCAGAAAGCTTTTAAGAAAATTTCTCAACTTAGTACCCACCCACGACATGATCGAGCAGGTCCCAAAGACTAAGGTCATCAATAATATAACTTATGCAACAAGAATAGCGCTCGCAGTCTAATAATTATTTATACAGAACATTTTAAGAATACTTTTATCAATAGACTTACCTAAAGACACAAGCTTATTTTATAACAAACCACTAAGTTTTGTTATTTATTAATTTCTCTATTGGTTGTTATATTCTTAAAATATGTAACATAAGATATGTAGCTTTAAAAATCTTATGAAAAATAAATACATTTATCTTTATTAAATACAATATCTGTCAAAGACCTAAAAAAATAGTGATTAGAAACGACTTTAGCTTCTGACAGATATTTATTTAATAAGTATTTTCTCAGCCAGAAGAGTCAATTATTGTGGTTGTGAGTTTGATCCCTGGGGCTAGACTATCACTCAGAGTCATTAACATTACTTTACAAGATGGCACTGTTTTTACCCTGCAAACAGTTAGGGTGCAAGACCTTTGCCAACATCATTCCCAGGGCCTACAGAGGAAAAAGAGGACCCTGGAAATGAGGTTGGACCTTTACATCTTCGTCATTATTATCATCATCATCTTTATTTAATAACGGAATCTCATTCCTATAAATGCTCTTCCTGAGCCGTGCAGATATCATTCAATAAAATAACATTAGATAAGTTTAGTTATTAAAATGGTTATAAAATTACAAATGTGAGACAAATAACTTCAAGCCTGAAAAAACTTAAAATAACCTGTAGGAGGCAGCGCTCAAAAAAAGTACCGTCAGGTAGTCCGGGACATGTACAGATAGATTTCCTTGCCGTACAAGTAACTTTTGAGGCTCACTTGCCCAAAGGGTCCGGGCAATTAGTCATTCTCTAACAAAATAACTAAGATGAGCACAAAGTGGCCCCAGAAAGCGTAATGTGAGAGCTCTTGTCCAAAGAAAAAGCTGAAATTTAAGTTACTTTTCAAGCACTGGGAGGTCCAGCTGGAGTGTGAGTTCATCCAGTCAAGGGGGTTGTCAGTAAAAGGTTTTCAAAACCGTTTTAACTGATTCAACAGCTGTAGCAGAGTGTCAGATGTGCAGCTGTTCTTATGCCATACAGCATAAACAAGAGAACACCATCAAAACAAACATAAAGATCATTGTATCATTGGTGTTCAGACTTCCATCTTGTTTTCATCTTGTGGTTCAACAATTCTTAAACATTCATCTACAAACTCCGCAAATATGGGAATTTGCATTGCTTGTGTAAGAAGTTTTCCAGGATCTTCTGAAGAGTCAATTTCTTTAATCATTTCTCGCAAGTGCTTGTTATGTAGCATGCTGTACAGTTCTTGGGAATCACCTTGAGAGAAATAGTTACAGGTCAGTGAAGATCATTAGCCATCAACAAGCCCTTGTGAACCTGATGTTTCTTTCGTCCCCAATATTATGTGTCACTAGAAATTTACTCACAATGTAAACAGTCTTGCTGACTGTTAGCCAGCTTGATGACTACTATGTTACATTCCACTGGGAATGACTGATAGAAACAATTCCTTCATAGTCTACAGACGACACAACCTCATTCCAAGGGTTATCTCCTACAGGATTGTTGATGACATTTAAGTTTTCGATTCTTAGGTGAAGCAAATGGACATTAAACTGCAAGAGGATTGAATGTGTAAGGGGGACATTTCCCATGCTTTTGTGAAATTAAACTCTCTGAGATGCCAATTTCCAAATTCCCTGGATCAGTAGTGGTTAAATGGTAGGAGTCTTTTCTGATATCCAGTACAATGCAAAATTTGGCCAAAACCCTGCTGAGAGTGCAACATCAGACTCAGATTAAAGAGGCCAGAAAATACCAAGACACCAATGATAGACACTTGCGAGCATAATTATTTTTACAATCTCAGTAACTGAAATGATATCTATTATTATGCAAAATTGTAGAGGAGTCGGGGACCAAATCCCAAGGGGATTGAAAAATCGGATCAATAATATTTATTTAGGTTCTGGGAAACTGCCCACCTACCCCTCCCCTAAGCTAACATAAACACTTACCTTTCACTTAGAGCAAAATGATGGCTTAGGGGAGGGGTAGGTGGGCAGTTCCCCAGAAACCTAAATTGATCCAAAAATCTTCTCACAAAACAAACATCAAGAGAGATTTTTCAAATCTAAGTTTAAGGAAAGTTGACAAGAAATCATCAACTGTTTGGCAATATGTTTATTATATATACACACCCAGTTTATCAAGAATATGTCCACTGACTCTGTCTTCATCACCTGACTCTTCATCTGAACCAGAGATTTCACCTTCTTCTGTTTTGAAAAAGAAAAAAAATAATGAGGTGAAATCAAATCACATGTGTGAACTGAAGTTTAAAAGATATATGGACATCGATTACCTTTATATACAGTACATGCATTATTTGAGCTCTTCTCAACTGCTTGTTGTAACTCTTCCTTTCTTCTTCTACTTTCTCTATCGCATAAACCATCTACAATAATCAAGAACACAAAGGCTACTCTTAAAAATGAAAATGGACCACTGAGGAAACAATGTCAAAAACGAACAGTGACAACTGAAATCCCCTCACCTTTAATAGTTAGGTCCACAAAAATATTATTAACACTCTAGGTATTAAGGCTTGGGATGCATTTGATTGGAAAATCTGGATTTTATAGATTTTGGAATCCGGATATATGATTTTCAATAACATGTGAAATCCAAAAAAAGATGTAAATTGAGAGAAATCTGTCCTTGGATTGCCTTAAGTTTCCTTCAGTCTTATTGGGAAATGCGAAAATGGATTTGAAAAAGACAATCTACATTCTCAAGAACAGCAGTCCAGCAGACACATGCATAGTAAGTAGAAAAAGACCAGTGTTCCCGAAAACAGTTTCACAAATCCTTTTTTGGATTTTCCAATAAAATAGTAAAGAAGAAAATCCATGAAATCCAACTTTGGGTATCTTAATAATAATTGAAATCCACCTTGAGGCTGAATTTCTACAATAAAAGTTGAAATCTGATTTTGGATTTTGTATTTCGTTGCAAGATCTGAAATCCGACTTTCAAAACCTAAATTCAAATTTCTCAATCGAAACATGCCTGCAGAATACCATATTTCCTCTAAAAAACTCTCTAGCCTCTAATAGACCATTCCCATAACACTGTGAACAAAGGCACCAACTGGAGACTGGAGTGATGAAATGACAGAGATTTGCAGGAAACAGTCTACTTTGAAATAGACTTCAAGGCTAAGCTTGACCCCCTTTGATTGTGCATGCTTACTGGAGAGGAATGCGGGAATATCTCTAAACCCCATAGAAAGACACTGAAAACAAATACGGTCTCAGGTCCTCACGGGGCTAAATAGAGAAAAATATACAGATCATTACATAAGGTCCTGTGACCATCACCATCAGGAAAGATACCTTTTCATATTTTCATCATTATTCACATTGCCAACCTTAAATAAAGATTTGATAACCCTGAGCACTCTAAGTATTCAGCGAAACATGAAATAAAAATTGATAGAATTATTCCCTACTACCACCACCACCACCACCACCATCACCGTCGTCATCATCATCATCACCATGAACAACAACACAAACATCCGACAGTTACAATGGCACATTACAAATGATGCTAAAATTCTATCGGGTAACCAAATTCAATTTTACCTTTATGTGTCTTGAAACAGGAGAGAGAACAGCTGCAAAAAGAGAAAAATAAATAACATTAGAGAATAGCTAAGCTTAAGGTTGGAAATATGGCCGTTGGAATCGAGGCATGTTATTTCGATCATACTTACTACTTTGTATTGCATGACGGACATTTGTACTTATGTGCAGCGCTTGTACACACTTCACAACTGTTTAATTCTTTGTCAACCTCCTTCTTCATTGCATAGACGTTTTCGAAAATATTTTCGGAGCTCCAACCACGTTACCACGTTTATCTTTCCACTTCTTCTTTCCACGCTCTCCTCTGCGACTCGGATTTCAAGAGACTGGGTTCTAATAACTCAAATTCATCCCAAGTCCCCCACGTGAGGAGGGTTCTGACAAAAGATGGCGGATTCCTTGGAGAAGGACAAATCTGAGGGAAAAAACGACAAGGGATTCTTGGAGCAGCTAGCTTTGAGCTACAAGTATTGTGTGCTGAAACACCCAATATTAACCAAGAGTGTTACAAGGTAAGAGAAAGTACAAAAAATTTGAACACATAAAAAATCAAATGGCGAAATGCTGCATTGCAGACGTGAATCATCTGCGAGTCACGCAGGCTTCCTACGCCGCGGAGAGAGATCATTACAGCAATTAAGTTCTAAAAGTTTTCCAACTGATTGTCTTCTTGCCCTTTCTTTAGTGTGTGTTCTAAAAAGCTTCCGCTTATGTGTAGTCAGCTCAGTTATTTGCATATCTACATAAGAGAGGGCAGGCAGGGTAGCCATGGTATATCCTTGCCCATTAGATACTGCAAGCAGAACGTTGCACAGCAACCTTGCAAGGAGTGAGTTTGAAGTTTCAAACTGATGAGTGACTTCAGTGCATGCGTAAGAGACACTCATTGCAAAATATTCTTATATTATATTGTACTAAATTTGGATTTATTAACTTTAGTTAGTGGATTCACGCTAAGGGTAGACCATTTCCAGAACTCTTTTGCAGGGGGAGTGGAGCCTCCACTTCTTCTGAAAAATTCAAAACCTCATTAATGATTCATAAAGAAAAAAACAAAAAAGAATAATGTTTAATGAGTGTCTTATATCTGATAAAGACACGGCAAAACTTTATGTCTGACTTCAGCTTCCCCACATCAAGTCATTAGCTAGCATCCCCCACCCCCCCAAATTGTATGTTCCACCATCTCTCTGTGTAAATGAGCCGTAAATGTTTGACTACAACTTCTCGGTATTTGGTGAGATTGAAAAATCTTTGAATGGATAAAGCTTTTAAGAAGACATTTGTATCAAATTTAAGAAAAATGAGTTGGCAGAAAACTACCCTGTGTGTGAATTCAGTACTCATTGTTCATGTAGGAATGAAGAAATGAAGCTGAAATCCACAATGACCAACTGATTCATTTTCCAAACAATCATTTCATTAATAGAATCTTGGGGAGTGAGCTTGACCTGGCTTGATCGTAAGGAGTAGGTGGGGTGAGGAGGCGGGGGGGGGGGGGGGGGGGGTTTGCTGCTGTTTATGACTCTGCAGGTTCCAAGTACAGTGCTGTGTCTTGGTTGCTAGGGAGAAAGTTGTTGCATGCAGAGGTTTGGCTGTATCAATGGTGATCATTGCCTTTCAGAAAGTGGTTTCTGGTGGTAAAGAAACAATGCCTGGATGATTTATTTTGAGGCTGTATACATGTAGTTAAAACCCTGTTTGTTCTTTTAACAGTGCTGTTATTGCTGGACTGGGTAACTATGTATCTCAAAGAATTGAGAAACGTGGAAAAAATGTACCCATTGAGTATAGACCAGTGTTAGCCTTTTCAGGATATGGGTGAGTATACATTCCTACAAAAATGTTTGTATTGAATTACTGGTTTGTGCAATAAAAAATATTAATCACTGGAATTGGCAGGTAAGCCAGTTTCCTGGGGGGAGTACTGCCATAAATGGGATGTAAGTTACAGGTCAGTCGGGTTAAACTTTTTAACCTAAGTTGATTCTTAATTTTCTTTGTCTCCTAGCCCTAATTTTGACCTGTAACACAAATTATATAGGTATGTGCCACTGTCAAGAGTATGGTCTTCAAACAACTTAGTAAACAACTTAGTCCTGGGGTAGGGTATATCAGAGAGTTTGGATTTAGAATAGCAGATTATTTTCCAGCAAACTGATCAGTTTGTTGAAGATTTGAGTCTACACGAGGAAAACTGGGAATTGATGTTCCAAAAAAAAAAAATCAAATGGGCAAATCTTACCCACGACTCAAGGTGTATGGAATGGTTCCTCGAAAAATGTGGGTCTTGGAAAATTTTGGCCCAATCTTCAGATCTTGGAAGTGTTTGTGATGGGTTTTGAAGTCTTGTTTTCGGATGATTTTGTGTCTTGGAGTCTCAATTTTTTTAAAAAACTTAGTCTTGAATTTTGAAACTGGGGTCTTGCAGCCTCACAAAGTCTTGAATTTACCATTTCTATACCCCTAACTCAGTTAAATAGCAAAGAAAGCACAGACCTCCATAATTTTTGGAAAATGGCTACTCTAGAATAGGAAGAGATTTTGCCAGTTTAGTATATTTTAGGGTAGAAAAATTCATCCGAACTAGCTCTGGTATAGGCCTAGGGTTCCAGGGTCCAAGTGGCACATCCAAGTACCTTCCCTAGGTGCCAAGTTTCCTCTAGCTCATTTATTCAAGTTTAAGAGTCAGGCACGGATCTAGGAGAAATACGTACCAATTTCCTAAATGAGCGCTGAAGGTGCAAGCTTCTAGCGGGGTCCGGGGGCGCGGGCTTCCCCAAGAAACTTTTTGGATTTTTACTCGTTAAAGTCCTATTTGCTGGGTTTCCGAGTCATTCAGACAGGATATTGGTCAGATTTCAACTGGGAAAGTGTTTATATTATTAAAAATATGTTTAATATGAAAAATGTGACCGATTTCCATAAAACGATGGAAACTAATGTAGATCTGCACCTGCGAGTGTAGTTTGTATTGTCAGTAGTATAATATTAACTCTTTCTCTACAGATTTTTTATAAGTGGCCCGTTAATCCATTACTTCTATGAGTACCTGGAAAAGTTTCTTCCTAAATCGACCTCATATGGTAAAGCCAAGAGGCTGCTGGTGGACAGGGGTGTAATGAGTCCATTGCTTCTATTCATCTTTTTTTACGTAGTTGCAATTATGGAGGTGAGTGAATTCATGGATCAGGTCTTACTTTATTATGCTACCAAAATGTAGCAACTTGACTTTGGGTGTACCAAGTGCACTCTAGAAATACTTGAGTAGCCTATAAGCAAGCTCTCTGGGGGTAGGGGTGGCAGCAGTGGGACAGAGAAACTCCTGGATCCCACCCTCCCAAGAGCGCGCTCATGGGCTGGTACCTTAGGTCACCTTCACCTATCCTCTTTGTGCACATAAAATCTTAGGTGCATTTTGTCTCATCAGGCCAGTTTATCATTGTTCAAGAGCGAGGCAAGGAGCTCTGAACCACTGAAATCCTAAGTGCTAAGCATTTTGGATTTTTTCAAATATTTTAGTTTCTCTTTGCTGTCTGAGGGCTTTAATCAAGTCGCCCAGGGCTAAAGCCCTGTGCAAATGGACACAACATTATTGGCCAACAACTGCCAACATTGTTGGATGTTACATGCTGCATCCACCCTGTTGAAACTGGTCAAACTTTGAGCCAACAACTCCCAACATTTCTTTTGTTCCATGGTCGCCTAAGCGTGGCACAACATTGTTGGGGCCACGCAGGCGCATTACCCATGGTCTCCTTGGAGAGAGCAAGTCTTATGGGTTGTATCCTTTCCACGATGCATTGCAACTCCCAACATTGTTGAGAGTTGTTGCATCTGTTTGCATGTAACTTTATTGCGTACTACTCCCCCCAGGGGTCTGCTGTGATTGTAACCAGTGCATGTTGGACCTGCACTGTGCATTTTAGTCGTGCTTATTATTCTGTACTGTGCTGTCTTGCTCATGCAGTATAGTATGAATTAATGCTACCATAATTCTTATTTATATATAAATTTATTTGCAGGGAAAATCACACAAAGAGGCAATGATGAAAATACGACAGCATTACTGGACTGCTCTAAAGATGAGTTGGCGAGTGTGGATTCTATTTCAGTACTTCAACCTCAATTATGTTCCCTTGCAGGCAAGTTTACCTAGTGTTACTAATTAGACGTAAAGTTTTAATAAGTTCTGCGCACTGTTTTAATTTGAAGATAATGACCTAATACCACTATCTGCTATTAGTATAGTAGACAACTGGAAATTAAAAGTAAAAATCCAACCAATGTCTGAAATTCGTTTTGAAAAACTTTTATTCATAATATTGATTAAGTTTCAATTCAAGAATCTTGATTTAAATTTTCTCAAATGAATCTGTTTTTTTTTTAATTATACCTGTTTTTCATCTGTTTTCAGTACCGTGTACTTACTGGTAATGTTATGTCATTTCTCTGGAGCATCTACTTGGCAAGCAAGCGATCATGAAGACTTGGTTTACTCCCACTTGATACACATTTTAAGAATCAAGGAAAAGTTTTGAACAAAGAAAATTGGTTGTTATTGAAAGAGTTTTATGACAATCATCGAAATCATCCTGTTCATGGAATTAACATTAAGAATTTAGATTGCTGGAGTTCTTTACACAATGATGAGATAAACTATTCTGTAATAAGAACAAAAATTGAGGAAATTTTGTGACTCAATTTTTCTTGCTGTATTTTGTCATGTTCCTACAGGCTGTCAATACATCTGTAACAAAAAAGTGCAGCAAAATGCAATCTATTTTTTTTATGCAAACAAAACTAGCCACACTAGCCATAATGAACTCAACAACGAATTGGCTGGAATTTTTTTTTAGTTGTTGATCATGATACCTTTCATAAGTTCTAACAGATTGCAGAGGATAACTATAATGGCCCCATGCGTGGGACAAAATTAATTATTCTTTCTTCAGATCAAGAAATTTTCATCTTTATTGGCTATATTTACATTTTATAGATATTAATTTTAATTTTTATTACAGAACTATGTTCAGAAAGCAGGGCAAAAAACTTTCACCTTTCCATTCATCTCAGAGATAAGCCGTTTTTGACTCAGACAACTAAAACTCTTGAAGCACCCATTTTACTGTATTAGTCAGAGTGATGGTGTATTTTCCTCCACATTTGAAAGAAGTTTATAAGCCGTATAAAAAATTATTTTCCAAATATACTCTTAAACTGTGAAATAAGAATAGTTATCAATCAAATTATTTTTGTCTTTTACAGAAAAGAGTGTTTCTTAGGTATTACAAAGCAGTGGTGTTTGTCTGGGTAGTAGTAATAATAGAGACCTTAAGATTCAAAGAGGAGAATGACTACGAACAAAGTTTTTTTTTTCACGTATTCTCAAAAAATTGACAACCTGGAAAGTTTCATTGTGCCTTTGATTCACAAGAAAAGCGAGCACTGTTATCTTTATTAAAGGAGGTTAAGCCCTCTGCCAATTGTAAAATGAGAAAACTTCTAACATTTGATAATTTGTTTTCACCACTATGATATTCTCGCTAAAACTCATAGTAAAATGACTACAGCTGTTGTGTTTTCCTGCCAAAGTGATGTTGGTTCACGTGAAAGCACTTCTTACATGTAGTGTTGAGAAAACTTTGTATGTATTCAATTCATTAGGTCTCTAATGAAAGAGAATTTTTTCTTTTTTCATGTAAATACATATACGTGTGTTGTTTCCAATTGAAATTACATTCCCTGGAGTCTCTATTTCATTTTTAACTACCTGTCAGTATAGATTCCTCTGTGTGTGTTTTCAATGCGAAATAAACATGGGAATCTATTGCTTTGTTTATTATATTTACACTAGCCTGTTCCAGGCGTTCAGATAGTGGGGAGCGGTGCGAAGTAAAAAGGAGTGCGAAAAAATAAAAGGGAGGGAGGGGGAGAGGTGAGAGAGGGAACCGCACCTCTCTCCCCAGTCCCCCTCTACTTTTCATCGCTTTCTTTACTTCGCACCGCTCTCCACTATCTGAACGCTTGGAACAGGCTATATTTACACAGATATTTAATAACCTTACATCAACATGCCGTTAACAAAATAATGTCAATCTCAGTTTTGCAATTAAAATGGGAATGAAGAAACAAAAGCCTTTCCATTTATAAAGTTGATGAAGAGAAGAAAATGTTTATAGAGCTGATGCCATTATTCCTTAGCCTGAATTTCAGACGGTTAGTTTGAGTCGTTTTTACTCCCTCAGTGAGGGAGTAAAAAACTGAGAGAGTAAAAGAGTAAAAACAACTTGACGTAATCGTCTTAAATTCAGGAAGTGAAATAAAGGAACTTTTTTGCCCTGAGAACATCATAAATATCTTAAATTTATATTTGAATTTTACATAGATATATGCTAGGAATTTTGAAGCAGTCCATGAATGATTGCTAAGGAGGATGACTTGTAACCTGTACCAAAGTGATTCCTGAAATGAATGATAAATACAATAAATTATGATCTTACTGTGTTCATATCACTGGTGTTTTGAAAGCTCTACTCAATAGTTGTTTTGATTAATCAATTTATTTACACAATTTTGGTTTGCCAATTTTGGCAGAGTCACTGCCACCGCAAAACACCAATATTACTGTAGGCCCATTAGAGTCCCCTCCCCCCACAAAAGATAGACACCACCACTGAGGTCTATGTTTCCTACTCTTGTATGACCCCATCCAGATAGGATGAAGGAGATGAGGTCAATGGCTTAATGCCCAATGCAGTGTTCTTACCAGGATTTCGCACATTGGGGTCCACAGGACCCATGGAGAGGGAGAAAAGCGGGTCATAATTTTTAGTTACAGTTTACTCAACGTTTCACAGGTCTGAGTCTTGGATAATGATGGGTGTTTTCTTAAGACACCATAACCAATTAAATTTTGGCTTGTATTATAAGGAAATGTAGGCATCACGTTATGTAATAGGTTTTTTTTCCTTCTTTGTGCCTCGGGACCCCTTGGGCTGATTATAGTGTGGCATAATTTCCAGAAAAAGAGCAGCAATGCTGCAATGCCGCGGTCTGGTAAGAACACTGCCAATGACATGATCATCTGAACTGAGACAAGATCTTAAATCACAGCCAGCGTGATCTTTCTAGTTTTTTAACGACCCTGGTTGTTGGTCTGTGCAGGGTTTGAACCAGTGTCAGGGTTCATACAAAAAATTGCAACCATTTTTCAAGTAATATATCAAACATGAGACGCAGTGTTTCATCACCAGATGAAACACTGAGAAGAGAGTTGAAAATACGACGCGCAGCGGAGTATTTTTGATGAACTTCGAGGTGTTTCATCTGGTGATGAAACACTGTGTCGAATGTTTGATATTTCTTCTCAAACAAAATCATTTTTGAAGGAGAAATTAAGGATGCAAATACTGAGCAGTTTTTCATCCGATTTCCAAACACTCATTAAACATTAATTTTCTTTGTATTTTCTTTATGAATTATTAATGAGTTTGAGAAGGACTTTTCAAGGACTACATTAGATTTTCAAGGACCACCTACTAGGAATATAATTTCACAGATTGTACAAAAATGCACATTCCCAGTCTATTCTAATAAGACTTTAAGGCTTGAACTGTTTGCTTCACCAACTTCTCTACATTCCCTAAAATTAAAGGACTTTTCAAGACTACGTGAACCCTGCATGTCCTTCCATGCAGACTGGCCCTCTCTCAACTGAGCTAACCAGGTGTATATTGTAACTATGTTGTGTAATGTTGCAAATTTTATTGCACTAGTTATCACACTGAATGATACATTGACTTGTAAACACAATGTGAGTCTGCTGTAAACTACAAAGCATAATATGTCAAAAATGGGTTTCGTACTTCATTAGCTGTTCTGAACATCATAACATGGACAACTTACCAGTGGTTTAAATGGTGAAAAAGCTGATACAATTGATGCCTTTTATTAAAGCCTTTTTCTTTGGGTATCTCCTTGTGATAAGCATCATAAAATGCCTTGGAAAAGCCACCAAACATTCCTGCTATTGCCAAATCAAATTCATGATGGCCATAAAATGAAGCTGGATCAAATACAACTGCAAGCATTAAAAGAATAAATCTGTCATTTCAGTCAGCGACTGTAAAAAGGCCAAAAAAGGGCTAACATGTGCATTTCATGAATGTGAAAAAGTCGAGAAAACGTTCTGGTTTTGTGATTTACTTTGACTAGTAGTCCCTGTACAGCGTCTTCCCAGGCCTTCTTGGCATGGTCAATGCATTTCGGTGATGTATCTGAGACTTAAACAACTGGGAGACCAAGTGACCTGGAACACATCAGCCACGCACAATATCGAGGCCTTGGGACTAGACAATGGTTTACTCATGTTTTTAAGACAGTGCATTTATGGCATTTAAGAGGAATGCACAGTTCTAAACTATGTGAACGTCAATAGAAAGTATGAAAGAGGTATTAACTTTTTTGTCAGAAATGGTATATAGAAGGGTATTAGAGGGGTTGTATGTCAGTGTGGAGCATCCTCACATAAGTCTTCATTGAAGTACAATGCCCCTGGAGTGGAAACTTGATGTTTTAGGTGTTCAGGAATTGGTGAAAAATGCAGTTTTTTTCGCTACTTGCCGGCTGTCATCATTGTTTGGGTTAAGTCCTGAGAATGACCAACATCAATTTTCTCCCACCGATCTCAATATATTATCAACGGAAAAGGTTATGAGAATTAACGAAATGATCATCTGCAGGAAAATGCTTTGTCCTTAAACAAAATTCTCTCATCCATTTTTTTTTTAACGAAATGTATGGACTTGAGCAGTCTTGAAAATTGTTTTGTAGGAAAATAACTGGGGGTTAAAGGGTGCAAGGGCTAACTCCTTTACTCCTCTTGGGAAGAGACATCTTTGTTGTCCCATGGAAAACAGTACTAAAATTTCCCTCCTTGCAAGCACTCCCCAGTTCAAGGAACTTTTACAATGTTAAGGTTTTCCAATTGGGAATTAAGAGACAATGCTGCATCCTCTTTGTAATATATATTATAGTTCTTCCTTTAATGTGATTGAATGTAACATATGTATGTAGCGTCCCCACACTGCTTGCCTCAAATAGCTTTTGCTAACTGCAGGCGGTGTGTAATTAAGGCTTAATAAAGTTGTTGTTGTTGTTAACCAATGTGGTGCTATCTTTTAGTTAGTACATGAATTTAACAGTTTAAAATGATTTGTAGTTGCATTACCTGGACCATCATCTGTTTCTGCTGCATTTCCACTCCAAAGATCCCCATGAAGAAGGGAAGGCTTTATATCTGGTACATCTTTAAAGAACTCTGGTATTTTTAGCTTAAGGCTTGACCAAAGAGATCTTGCCTCTGAATCTCCATACTGAAGATGTACATCACATCCCACATGTCAAATTGAACAGCAACAAATTAAACTGCTAATTCAAAGGCATTGAAACTGCACTGAGGGAGGAGGGGACAGAGGGAAGTGAGAAGAATGTTATATTATGCTAATTTCTCAACAGGGACAACTTACTACAGGTAGCTTGACTTAAGTACTACATATTGAGATTTTTGTTCCTCTGTCTTCTCTCTCTTATTATTCAGGATTAAGGAAAAGGAAATTAAAATCAACCTGAAGAGAAACCATTTAATAAATTTACTCCTGACTTATAGGCATTGACATATCCTACCTCTTTATCAATTAGGTTCATTTGCTGCTGTAATCTATTGGTGTAAAATGTCTACAACAAAAAATGAGGCCAAAATTACTATTAGTTTTGAAAGCAATTGCTGTGAAAGATACTTTGACTGTTCAAAAAGCTATGGAGGAGCTCTATGGTCCTGTTTTAATATTCAGAAATTGTCCTTTAAGATAAAGGAACATTGTCTGCAGCTGGTAGGACATTGCTATCAGCACCCTAAACTGTCCCCATACTAGTATGGGAACCAACAAGATTCCAGTCGGACAGCTTAAAAGACTTTACACAGTATTTTAATGAAAGATGAAGAGACGGAGTCTGGCAAACGGCTTATTAGCCTGTTGGCTAATAAAAAAGTGTGGTGCATCAGTCACAGGGTGACCCTCTCAAATATAGAAATGGAAATGACAAATGATGGCGATGATGATGGTGATGATAATGATGATGATGATGATGATGATGATGACAAGGAGGACTGATTCAATTCAAAACAGCTGTATTTCCTGACTTTGTTACCTTCCCTTTTCAGGATTATTTCATTTCCGTGGCTGCAATTTATACATTAAAATGTCATCGCTTACCACCCAGTCATCACACCATTCATTGTTTTGTCCAATGTAACCACAACATGTAACAGCTGGGAAACCAAATTTATGAACAGCTGTTGGGTCCTTTCCCTTTCCAATCCTGTTTTCCTCTATTTCAGCCTTCTGTAATTTTTTAATGTTATCCATATGTAGTCTGTGGGAAAAAACAGGACCCAGTTTAATTTAACCAGATATATAGAAGATGATACAATGAGAGCTGATCATCTCTGTATGTTTTGCATGAGAAGGAGGGTGCCTATGATCCACTAATTTGTAAGATTACATGCAAAAAAGCTAGTATCTGGTGTTCTTTCTGACTGGTTCTGAAGTAACACGTATTACAAAGTTCTACTCTTATTGGCTGAAGGGTTTCAGTGAATAAAGTCCTCTGGTCAAAATGTCAACAAAAATAGAAGAACTGGGAATATAATGTAAATTGAACACTATATTTTTGTTTGCTCTAATGAATCTCAAGAATTACTAAGTCAATTCCCTAAAGGCAACGAGAGCAAATCTGAACATTCTTCAAGTGAAATGAAGCTTCCGCTGGAATTGCTATACAGTTGCTAGTCATTCAAAGATTAGTGCCATTTTATTGCCTTCCCCAAGTACAAATTTATTCTGGTGGCAGATGTATTTCATACCTACAATCATCGAAATCTGATCCCCATCATGGCTATGAAAGGCTGACCAGACATAAGTTTTAGGGTGTTTGGTGTCTCTTTAAAAAACAAAAATTTAATTAGGCATTTCATTCTTTTCCTTTTCTTCTCCAAAAGAAAAAAAACCCTCCCTGATTGACTTTGACTGACTGTTTATTAAAGGCGGACACCTCTAAGAGATGGTTAATTGAGCTACCTTCCAAGTTGTGCTCCTAGTTGTGCTTGATATTTCCTCAAACCCTTCATATCAATATGCTCCATAACGAAAATTGATCCACTTCCAGCAGGATGGTCAAATATCTACAAGTGATGAAAAACAAAATGGAGATGTAGCAAGATGATCCCTACAAAAACACAGTTCTCTTTGATTGATGCTGACGCCGTTTTTTTAGTAAAGACTTAGTAGTAAAAAGTGAAACTACTCATAGGCAAAACAAAGCAAAACGACCGATTACTGCAAAATTAAGGCCCCATCCACATGTGTTCAGAAATTGTTTTTTTAGAAACGTACTAGACAGTGTTGCAACATTTTGACCTTGGTACCTGTCTGTACCATTGTACTAAGCTGCAACAAAGATATTAACTATTGTAGATTCATGGCTCATTGCATGGCACGAGTTGCTCTGCTCATAACAATAACAATCCCCGGGAGGTCTGGTGTGTCATGCTCCATAACTGTGAGTTACTGTTTCACTGTAAATCTTTATTTATCCAATAATGTAACGAGATCGAGCCCAGTTCTTTATTTAATATGTCAAACTGCGAAACAGTTATTGAAGAAGAATGTTATGAAAATTTTTGGCATGAGCCCAAAATCGCATTACAAATTAGCTGACAAACTGTGAGTGAATCCAGACAGTTATGCAATGGATATGAAACCAGGGAGAATCCTCTGTTATGTTTTTGTTAACTTCTATGGACCTGGCTGTGCACAACAAATTGTGACTGAATAAATTAATGTGATGTCTCTATTATTGGTCAGTAAGTTCAAAATTATTTTGAACTTACTGACCAATAATAGAGACATCACATTAATTTATTCAGTCACAATTTGTGAACAAATACAAAGGGTGGTGTACGGTCAGGGAACTTCCAACATAAACTACACCATCCTTGTTTTCAACTTTGATGTTTGCCCGCTTTCATATAATCAGTCTCATCTGCTAAGTATGGTATGGACGGGCAAATTCGATTTGAATACGCCACATGTGGATGTGAAACTTTCTAAATCTGCAAAGAAAAATTTGCGAATTCAACAATATCTGGATAAGTGTGGACGAATATGGACAGGAGGGGGCCCATAAGTAAACATTGCAAAGTCTAATGTTTTCACCAATATTAATAAACAGACACTCTTGTAGATCTCTTATTTATAGAAAAAAATTAAAACAAAAAAATCATAAATAAGAGTTTGTTCTCATAAATTCAAACTGCCTGCTTTAATTACAGGAAGAAGAGTTCTTATCCTATGATTTGTTTTAAATTTTTCTCGTAAAATAAGAAAACTTTTTCTTAAATTGAGAGATTTGGAGCAATTTCGAATTTCGAGTGAGATACTGGATAGGCTAACCTTGATTGGTTTAGGAACTCGGACCGTGTTCGTTGGATAAATAGTTTCCAGGCTTAAAAATTCACCTTCGAACATTTTCGTAGCCTGAAAGGAAAACCAAACCAACTGTTTATTTAACAAGCGGAGAGTTTGACATAACGAAGGAGATTCCCCTCTATTTGATACGTCAAATTTACCTCAGATTTCTCGTTGACTTTGACAAAGATCTTTCCATTTTCAGTAAGATAACTCTGGCCTTCGTTGATGCAACCACCAGTTGCAAATCCTAGAGGCTTTAATTTTGTTGTATTTAGCTCCTTCTGCAAGATTTCTTCAAGTTTGGAAACCTGCAAACTCTTCGCCATGTTTGAAGCGCCCGCGATGGTAGTCAGCGTATTCTACAATGCGCGCATGTGAACGGGGATGCAATTTTTGCTATTGTAAACTTTGAAAAAATGGCGCGTTGCTTATCCAAATTCCTATAGTTTCGCTTCGATGGTTTTACCATTACAGCATAGTTGAAAATACTCATTAACTTGAAATTATCAATCGCAAAGTTTTAAAAAAGTCACTGAATAGATCGGCCTTCTTTTAAACAAAATCGGGATGATAATTCGCTACGTAACTTAGGATTCGGAAAAGGTAGTTTCGCTATGCGCAGAATTAAATCAATTCAGTGTAGAAAATATGGAAGAATTTAGAGTTGTAGACGCTGGGAGCATTTCTCAGAAGGAAAATAACCCATATTTTGCCGAAGATGGAGAAATCGTGAATTCCAACATAAAGATGAGCATTCAACAGGTTGGAGGTAGGTGATCGACATCTGATCAGTGGATGAAAACTCGATGATCCAATATCTGTCGATCGGTCAATTTTGATAAGTTGATAGGTATTCAGTTAAACGAATACTCATGCATCGTCAGTGATAAAATTGTTGAATGAATGCTTTTTTCAACTTTTCTTATGGACCTTCAATCTATGAGTGCCTGCATGTATTTCTTTTATTGGTTAGACATTTAAAACAAAAGTAATGAGTAATTATAATTCCACAATTAAGTAATTGTTACCTTTAGTGATCACAACTAGAGTGTTTAAGTGTGGTAGTCAATTTCAAAATACCCACCACCCCTCCCCCTACTTGTAGTACCTGTCATATTGGTAAATTAAATTGTCACTGTCAGTATTACCTGATTATCAATAATATGTAATCTTGCCAATCAAGCTTTTTTTAGTTTTTTTTAATAAGTCCATCATCACTTTTTGTGCTTTCATTTTCAGTAGTACCGAAATCTCAGCAACCTTTAAAGGCCAGGAATATGGCAACACAACCTCAAAATCAGACCGAGCTGTTGGAGAAATTCAGAAAGCTGCGTCAATGGCAACAACAACAACAAGAAAGCATGTACCGTCAGCAGCAGCTGGCTATGGAAACACTCAAGGTTGAAAAAAGTAAATTGCAAACCATCTTAGCAGCTCAGAAGAAACTTCAAGAACAACAACATGTTTTAAACCCAACAAATTATTCTCCAAATTTAGAAACTGCATCAAGCCTGAGGGATGTTATGATTATGCCAAGCCAACAAGAACATTTCTCAAGGATGCCCACATCTGCTGTGATGAGGCCAGATGCTGAATATCATTCCAGTGAAATAGCTGGACCTCACAACACTCCTGCTCCTGTTTCATTTCCCACATCATCATCTGTTCCTGTTTCAGGAAGTGTGGTAACCCAAGTTGAATCCTCCTCTAGTTCATCAGAGTCACCAAAAAATCTTTATCATTTGCAACAACAAGTTGCATTCCCTGGAATTCAGATGCCAGCCAAAGGCAAAGAAAACCTTGAAGAAAGTGTAGCATCTTTTAATGCAACAGTTTATCCTATGATGTGGAACTCACCAAATTACCACCTCCCTTGGGGATCAATACCCATCTCTTCTGGTGTACAAGTCACCCCTATGCATGGGCAGCCTGTTGTTGGTTTCACAAGTCCAGGTAGCCCCATGTCACATATAGGGATGATTACCAGTAAAATGACTACAGCTGCACAGGGTTCCCAAAGTCAAAATTCAACTCCTGAGCATGAAGGATTCAGAATGTATATTAGCCAAGAGACAGGGATCCAGAGTGATTTAGAAATAAATGTTAAAGGTCATAATGATGCTCTTCAAAGAAACACTACTCCTATTGCAGTCACACAAGGTAACGAAAGACAATGGAATCTGGATCCTGGGGCACAACACCTTCTTGCTAGTGTGGAGTCTCATGCTGATGACCAGTCAGATGTGGATGCCATGAGTGGAGTGTACCCTCTGTATGATTCTGAATCTGAGGTAGGTTTAAATGACGTAGGTCAAGGAGGGACTGAGGACATGGATACTGCATCTGATGCTGAAGAGGACTTTGAAGAAAGTTATGAAAGGGAAAAAACTGTGATAGACTTAACAGTTGCTTCTTTGGAATCCAATGTACCAGTAAGTATTAACTTCCACGTACATGTAAAAACGGATGTGATATTAGTGACATTCAGTTTATTCCTTAAAAGTTATAATAGCTAGTTAATCATTGAACTGATTTTGCAAAGCAATGAACTTGTTGGTGTTGGCTTTGAACAAAAGAATGTAGAGTGCTGACTGTGCTTTGCATTGCCTGTTTTTTCTTGGAGAAAGGTTGAATATGGCTAAAAACGATGAAGCAATTTTGAGTCATATAAAGAAGCTAGAAGTTGCTTTGCATAATACAGTGGAACCTGAATTTAACGAAGGGCCAAGGGACCGGCAAAATGTGTTCACTAGAACAAAGTGTCGTTATATCAAGGTTGTTTTTCATGTATAGCTGATTCAATAAAGGCTTCTTTGGGCATTGGGAATTGGCCATTGGGTATTGGGCATCTGAGCATACGGAACAGTGTAATTATTTGCCTGAGTGACCACCAAACAATAGCTTCCTTGTGCCCAATTCCCAATGCCCAAAGCAACGTTTATTGAATCAGCCATATTTTACAATCACTGGGGTAAAGAAAATAGTCCGTTATACTGAGCACTTCGTTATATAGAGGTTCGTTATATCTAGGTTCCACGACCGTAGTGCTCTTCCAAGCCCTTCAGTTCTTGGAAAATTGCATGAGAATACAATCTCAAAGTTCAGGGTTATTTGTGTTTAACTTTTGAAGGAATTCAGGTGTAAGAGGTAGATATTTGAGGCCTGATAAATGTCAAAAGTAGTTGGAAAAAATTGAAAATCAGTAAGACAATGTAGATGGCTTTTAATATTTGTTCAAATAGCCATGAATAAAAAGCAGCTCCCCTCTAACGAATACTAACAGAAGTCAAGTCTCATGCTGCATGTGGGGGTATACAGTTGCACATGTATAATATTATGGTCAAATTTGATTTCAGGTTAAATTGGATTTAACCTAGGTTGATTCTCAATTTCCTTTGTTTCCTGGCCCTAATTCATGAATGATTAGGGGCTAGGAGACAAAGGAATTTGAGAATCAACCCAGGTTTAAAAAATTTAACCTGAAATCAAATTTGACCTGTAACATATATTACCGGTACATGTAATTTATTAAAAACAGACACTTTTGTCAGAACAGTTCATACGCTTTCTGACCTTTTAAAATTGTATTCAGTGTGTGTAGTATGTCATTTACTTCATGCGATTCTTTTTACAATTTTCTATTTAGAATGAAAATCAACAAGGAAGTGAAAAACCTGAAGAAAATGATGAAATGAGACCTATCAAACCAGGCATAGGTACGACAACATTCAATAACTGCATCTACTTTTTATGTTATGAGTGTTGTATCTTGTATCCTCAAATTTTCCTTTTCACTGTCATTTCTTATTAATATCCAGGAAGCGGATCTGCTGTAAAGACATTCGAGGAACTTTTAGAGAAACAACTTAAACTTGAGGAGGTTAGCTCTGTTACATGTGCGTCATGTCTTGTTTTTATTTTGGATTCTGTGCTCACTTATTGTGACACATAGATATATATTTTTTAGCAACTTATAATATAATTTGCAGTCTGTCTACTTTGAATTATCTTTTATCAACTTAACTCAAGATTTTAGTGATGTAATAATTGGTCTACGCCCACAACAAACACATTTTTATGTGAATAGACTTGTTGCTCCTGATCCTTATATATACTATTCATTGGAAATGCAGGGTATCTTAATAACAAGTTGTGTTAATTTTTTTCTGTTATTTTGTTAAGGCTTCCAAAGAAGAGAAGACATCACAGGAAAATGCAAAGCAGAAACCTCAGAGAACATTCCTCAGAAAAGGTCAAGGGCTTGCCAGGTTTAAAGGAAAATCAACATCAAATAAACCAGTAGGTCTACAAAAGCAATCAACAAATCAGTCATCAACAGCCCCTCAGAAAAAGGAAAAGAAGACATCTAGGAATATGGAGTCTGGTTTGCCTCAAGGAAGTATCAAACCAGTTGGTGTCTCTGTTAGTCAGAGCCAGGTACTGTAACATTTGGTAACTTTAATATATATACTTATATTGATATAAAAAAAAATTTCCATCCTTTACACAGCATGCATTTAACTGTAATCAATGCTAATCAAGTTTTTGGGGGGCTAAGTATACATGCTAGCAACAGCTTGCCCAAATGCCATGGCAAGCTGTAAAACTGATAGTAAATTGTTTTTGTAATGCTTAACCCATTTGCCCCTGAGCCGCTTTAACCACCCATGCCGGTCTACTCCTGGTCCACATGCTTTCTACCACTTTTGACATCATCAGTTTTAACTGTCAAGAACAACTTTGTCCACCAACTTGTGCAGAGTGAATAGATCTTTCAGACCATTCCAGAATAAGCACAATTCAGTCAAGGACACCGGAGAAAAAGGCAAAAAACCATGTAACATTGACCTGAAAATTTCCATGAAAATTTTGTTCCATGTTACCCACCTACATTTCCTTTCATCTAATCCTAAGATCCTAAAAGCTTTCCTAAAAACCTTTGCTACCAAAATGAAGCCTACTAAATGCACAGCAAGAGAAAAAAAAAAGAGGCAAGAAAAGCGAAAGTAAAGACTGTTGTGTCACTTTTAAACCCAAAAAATCTCGAAATTTTGCTTTCTGCACATGCCCGAACTTCGCAAGCTGTTATTTGCATCTGGATCAGAAGGCTATGAAGTGCAAGACCTGTACTGGCTTTGTGGTAAGTTTTTGCTCTTAACAGCGCCACCGTGACCAGAAAACCGCTTGACTAGCTTTAAAATATGTTTTTCAGGAAAATCTCCAGGGACGATTGGGTTAATACACTAGCTCTGTACCTTTTGGTGTCCACATTATAAAATTTTGACTGAAAACCAGTTCGTATTTGCAAGTACAAAAGTACATCTTGATCTATTAACTGTGGTGCTAATTTGTTTATCACAGTTAACTTCTATTAATTGCCTCCCTGGCCTTGGGAAAGGGACAAGTAGACACTTATTCACTTACAGTCCTTCTCTTTGGGACTCTTGTAACTGGCCATTTAATTGAGGATGGCTGCTTTAAAATTGCTGGTTTTCAACCACTTGACAAGGTGGACACGTTGATGGACAAAACAATATTTTTTTTACGTAGAATTTGCATGGAAAAATAGTTTTGTTCCCCAGTGGAGGTAAACACTGTTATTCTTGTCCAAAAGCATGCTTGCCATGATGTCAGTTGAAAACCAGCAATATTGGACGGACCTCTTAATTAATTAATTTTTAATTTTTTGACTGTATCATTACTAATATTTTGCAGATTACACGCAAAGTTGCATCTAAAAGTGCTCAGGGGCTTGCAAAAAATGAAGATGCCACAGTTGGAAAGAACCCAAAGAGCGAGGATGGCACAAAAGGAAAAACAGTACTGGCAGCTCCAACTGACAAACCAAAGCCAATAGCAACAAGGTGAATTGATTAATCAGCAATAGTGAGCAACACTTAAAAAGGGTACTGTGAAACAGTGGCTGGATCAAGTAAACTAGTTTCTGACTGATTGCATTTTCGTTGGTAGGGGTGGAGATAGGGGCTGATGAGTAGGGGTGGGGGAGATTAATAAAAATAAACTGAAGTATTAATTAGCAGTAGCTGCTTAGTAATGAAATCAGTGAATACTGATTAGTTAATACACTTGCAGTGCACATACTCTTCCAAACAAGGGCACATGTCAACCAATAATTTTGTAGTTGGATGTCCTTAGTTTTAAACTAAACTAGTCTTAAACTTGTCTAGTTTCAAATACCAAATGCCTTTTCTTGCAGTTCTGTGTTTAGGAGAGCAGAGGGGAATAATCCAGCTGGTGTCCTTAATAGCATTGATGCCTCATTTCAAATGAGACTACAAGAATTAGAGGAAAAGCAAGAGGTGTGTAGTATACACATGGTTATGTTGTGATTCAATTTGTTCTTGGTTCTTTCTTGCTAAGTCAGATACTGTCATTAAGAAAAAGAGAAAGAACAGTAAAATTGAACCGTAATGTATCAGGGCTCGAAAAATTCTGGTCCAGTAGTTCAGGACAACTAGGTTTTCTTGCTGGGCAAGTAACTTTTATTAAGTTCACTTGCTCAATGGGCAAGGATCCAGGCGAGTCATCCTCTAACAAAATCATTAACTAAGACAAGCAAGAAGTGGCCCCTCTCAAGCAAAATATGAGAGCTGCTTGCCCAAAGGACAAGCTAGCCTAGAATTCAAGTTGTTTTCAAGCCCTGTGTATATGCACGAGATTATGTGGTGAGCAAGGATGTGTCTCAAAGCCAATGCTTTAAGACCGAATAAGTTTGTTGTCTTCAAGTCAGTTTGGGTATTTCTCCAGGATTCCCTTCATTTGTTTACCATTTGATCTGACAGGAGCTTATTACAACGCTGGTAATAAACAGATTTAACAAAGAAATTTAATGACAAAAACGTAAATGTATGTAAGAGATGTTTACATTTTTTTTCTAATCCAGTTAGAGGAAGAAGAGCTGGAAGAGTTTGAACTTTTAGAGCAAGCTGCAGCAAATGCTTCCTTTTCGTCCAACTCATCAGTTGTTGTGAAGGTGTTGGCCAAAGCTCGAGGGAGCAAACAGCTCAGAGGTAGTTCTTGTTAAATAAAAAATGTGCAGTTCATACATTTTCATGTTTTTACCGAATTGTTTTACACGTACATGTACTCCTTTATGCATACCTTACCATGGTTAAATTCCAAAATCTTAAAATAAATTCTGGCTGAGAAAAAAACGCTTTTACTGGAAATCAGGTCATACGACTGTGGTCGACTATGACCGGTCTCAACTAAATTAAAGTGTCTCATGAAAGTATTGGTCTGTGGAGATGCAAATAGAAGAGTACTTTATAATCACAATATTGTACTTTTATTGGGGGAAGTATTAAAAACTACATCCATAGCAGACCACAGAAAAATGAAAATCGTAGTTTGTTTGAAACGCTTTTTTTAAAGTCCAGTTACAAAAACAACAACAACAAAAACAAAGAATAGCGGCAGACTGTAAACGACCAAAAACGGCCGCAAATTGACAAATTTTACTGTACTTTTCAAGGGAACTCAAATGTGGCGCCCCCTTTTTTGTTTATTTATGTAAAAACGGAAAAACAAAGCAAAACTGGAAAAAAGACACAAGTATGAAAACCCCCAAAACACACTTTTCTTTTTGACGAAGACTTGAAAAGCAAAGGGAACTCTGATAGCCATTAAAGACACCAGTTCCCCCTCCCCCCACTGCTCCCACCCTACCCCACCACTCTGCGGTTCAGCTGTTCGGATTTTATAAAAGCAATACTAATTTCATTTCCAGGCACCGAGGGAATTCTGAGTCCCGTTGATACTGGTTATGGTAGCGGTGATGGTAAAGTAACGTCATCAGCTGATCAGTGTAGACTTAAAAACATGGTTCAACAGCAGGACAATGGTAAAAAAAATAATAAAGAAAGAATGGAAACATTTTAATACTTGGGTGTCATAATGAAGCGAGAGGGGAGGAGAAGAGGAACGCTTGCAAGCCGGCGATTCTGAAATAGGGTTAAGTTCAATCGTACAATATTTTAATGGTTTGTCTACAAAAAGTAGTCATTGCAACTTAAAAGTTTCTCTCATTTTGGAATGGAAATAACACTTCCAGCCTCTCCTCTCTCTTCCCTCTTTCGCAGTTTAGGTTTCACCTCAACTTTCGTTTGCCCTCAATTGTTCAAGGGTGGATAGCGCTATCCACCGGATAAAACTCTATCCAGTGGATGTTGCAATTAGTTTCCTTAATACTTATCCGCTGGATAGTGATTTATCCTCTGGATTGCGCTCTCCAACGTTTGAACAACCGTGGCCTGGTCAAAAAGCGGAAATTCTTCATTCGCGTGGGACCGTTCGCGCTACTTGGACCAAGGCTCATCATCGTACTGACGCTCTTTGCATTTCTTTTGTAAAGTCTAATCTGGCCCATAATGAATAAGATTCTAAACTCACTGAGAACAGGGAATGCGAAACCTCTCCAGTTTACCCTGGTGATTTGTCGTGCGAATTTTACTGATATTTGTTATGCAACTTTGTTGCGACTTTGTATTGGGCGGTATTAACTAGCGGTGATATCATGTCGATTTGTCGCCGTGTAGTCATAGTCATTTCGGACTTGCTCGAAAAACTCCCTTAAGGTTGATTTCCACTGGTTCGTTTTTGGCTACGCACGTTAACGCACGAAAATTATAATCACGTAAATAAAACAGAGGCAAGATAAAAAGTGATGAGCTTAAACGAGAAGTTGAGTGAGGTTCAACTTTTACGCTTACGAGCAACCTTTCATGCGTTGCCTCTATTTATATTTGCGTACGTAAATTTTACGCACGCAGCCACGTAAAAATTGCGCGAGACTGGAAATCAACCCTTAGCGGAAGAGTGTTACTTTTGATACAATTTCCGGCCGGCAGGGTGACATGAAAAGTAAAAAAATCGCCTTTGCCCTTCGGGTAAGCTGTTACTGAAGTTTACTAGCCTGGAGCAGTCGTGAAGACCAGCCAACCCCATTTTTCACTTACATCTACTTTAATTTATCTCAGCAAATGTTACCTGACCGACGCGGACAACTTGTAATTAAAACATTCTAGCAAGACAGTCGCTCCACTAGCCCCAGGCTATCGGACAGCACTTTTGCCGCGCCCTTTTATACGGTAACTACTCTTTAAAGACTGGAATTTGCGATAAAATTGCCATAAATTCGTAACTAAATCGCGCGGCAAATTGAATAATGGGTAAATTGACGATTTTTGTTGCCCCGGCAGTCAGTGAAGATGAAGATAGCGACATCACATTACAAGAGATAAGCTTGGACAGTGCTTTGGAGCTTGATAGGAATGGTGAAATCCCCAAAGAGACAACCGGAGATCAGCACGCTAAAGGTAGTTTCATCATTATATCTCGTGTTGGTACTGTTACAATGCTGAGGGAGATGTAACATGAAGACAGGTTTAAACTAAGGACGGAGTAGGGGTGTGTGTTGTAATCAGAGGCGCATGGCGTTCCGATTCCTCCTTGGGAGGATTCGGAGCGCTTGATCCGGAAAATCAGATTGTAAGAGTTGCGTCCAAAGAGGAAGATTGAAACCAATCGCAACGCGTGGGAACGAGCTTTGTAATTTTTTTGAGTTCTAGTTCTGCTGGCGACTGCGACATTGAGGTTTTCACTTGATCGTAAGCGACGAATTCGTGATTCTTGTGAGTCCGAATTCGTCGTGTTTATGATTTCGCTTGCGACGCGGCCTTTCTCTGCTTAATATCAAAGATGGTGACTACAAGTAGCAAATAAAAACTGAGCGTTTGCTTTACCTAAACATATGCCTATGTTGCGGGCTACTAAGTCAAGAGTTCACATCCCCGTTAAGTCTTTAGAATTGTCTCCTGACAATGACAATACATCATTGAGAAAAGCGGTTTTGAGAATAAATAAAATTGTCTTTAAGGGGAAAATGTCTTGGTATTTTACAAAATTCTCTTAATTTATTCTTTACGGAAATGTATGGAGATTTAATAGTCAGAGGAATAATTTGTGTGTGTGGATATTTGGGCTTTAAGTGTTGTTAATGTTTTCTTTTTCTTTTTCTTTGGATAGCTCCTTTATATAATGATCCAGGCTCGGCGTCTATTGTAATCGAGGACGACTTCAATGACGAGGAAGCTTGGGGCGAGATAAAGAGGCAGGCGGGAAGCAACGCAGAGCATTTGAAGAACGCTAATAGGGATGATTATGATAATGATGATGATGATGAGGATAGTGATGTAACAATCAGCGACATTTTCCCTCTGGTAACTTCCACTCCTCCTGCACATTCAAAGGGTGGAAGAGCTCAAATAACAACAGAGCAGGCTGCAATGAGTTGTGCTGACGGAATCATCGCATCGACACCACCAACGTCTGCCCTTGTTACTAAGTTGTTTCCACAGTTAAAGCCAAAGCAAAAAGCTACTGTAAGTAGAGCAGGGGTTGGGGTATGATTTTCCATAATTCATGTTATCTAAAAACGTTGTTCAGTTACAGGTCGTCGCTTTGATCTTACTCCTCACGGCAACAAGCAAAAGGAGTTGATAGTTTAACTTTCAATGATAACCTCCCGGACGGGGGTGGGGGTACTCCCAAAAATGACCTATACGGGGAGGCTCCGCCCGAAAGGGGTACCTTTTTCAGGCTTCAGGTGTATGAAAGGGAAGGGATTTCACTGACATGAAGGGGTAGGGATCTCACTGGCTGAAGTATATGAAGGGGTAGGGAAATCTGTCATTTTAGTCTTTAAATGGTCCAAATGGACTAACAGATGCATTTTATGGCTGTGAAAAAGTCGAGGAAACGTTGTGGCTTTTTGATTTATTCCTATTTTAAAGAAAGCGCATTTACAGCAGTTAAAAGGGGATGCAAAGTTCTATGCTAGGTATGTTAGAGGAGTATCATTTGTGAATAGAAGGTGTATGAAAGGGCTGCCTTTTCTGTCACAACTGGGCCCAGTTGCTCGAAGCGTGGTTAGCGTTAACCAGGGTTTAATACCTTGACAACGTATTGGTTTTGATACTGCTTAACCAATGGTTAAAGCTAGCCATTGTTTGAGCAACTCAGCCCTGGTATATAAAAGGGGTAAGGGGTGGGACCTCGGGGCAGAGCCTCCCCGTATAAAACTTTGTTGACTACCCCGTCCCTCCGGGGATAACCCCAGTGAAACTCCCAATCCAGTGATTTACATAAATAAACACAGTCAAGAAAATTAGGCATCATTAGCTTTATGACTTTAGCCAGAACAATTGTTCGTAACGGTCCCGAAAAACTGGCACTGGAAAAAAAGAGTTGCAGAAGGCCTAAGTTTCGAACGCCAGCCAGTAGCTTATCGTTAGGGAGAGAAAATTCGATTTCGCTAAGAGTTTCACTGTGGCCACTCTATCAACCAATTGAAGACGATAGCGTCTTCATCGACGCGTTATCACAAGTCATTTTTAGACAACTTACCCTTCGAACAAGTAAAATTCATCCACGGCTTTTGTTTCTTCCTCTAGCAGGTCGACACAAAACAACCAGTTACTGAAGTTGCTCCGCAGACCAAACCTGCAGAAGAAAAGAAAGAAGAAGCTTCAGACGCTGTTCAGAGTATAGCGGTCCGGCAAAAACTGAAGGAACTGGAATCTGAGATTGATAAGTTCAGGACTGAAAATGCAGTTCTAGCTAAGATGAGAACTGAACGAGAAGAGGTGAGGGAAAATTTGCTGTGAGAGAGTGATCCAATTCACAGGAAACGGTTCATAGCCAGACAAAATGCAAAATGAGGGGTAAATAAGTATTAGATTTTGTGTAAATGTTAAAAAGTGAAAGTGGTCTTAAGAGGAAGTCCCATAGTTAAAAATGCGTCCGAGGCAATCGCTTTGTTACATTGGCTACCCTAATGAGCAAACAGTGATTGCTTTCGTTTAGTGTGGTACGTAGCTATGACTGGATTTACCAAAGAGGATTGGTTTGGAAGGTTGATTTGTTGCTTTCAACTCACGGGACACTGTCCGGCTTAAAGTTTTTGAAATATGGGCTTCTTGTGAAGACAGAATTTGTGGAGTTGGTTATGCTCTCTAATTATTTTTCTTAATGATTATACGTTTTCAGAGCATATCGTGCCGTTCCCGCGCTCCATCTAAGATAAGGGACGGTTTTAGTCCTTTGGGAAACAACTCGTGCACGTTCGTCAAGTTCTTAACCTTAGGTTGTTTCTGTATCGCTACAGTTGTTCACTCTCTCTCTTGTAAAAAAGGAACTCACTTCTAAATGGACAAGTGTACTTTGTAGCGTTTACAAATGGAAATCCTGTATATATTGTACATTTGCAGTTCTCGGTATTGCATTGTTCCTCAGGGTTTGAAAAAACTCCAAACTGAGATCGCCGCATTTGACAAGCAGAAAACAGAGGAACTTGATCGACTGGAGCAGTTCAGAGAGGAGGAACTTCGAAAATTACGGTGTGTGTCTTTTTGTCCAAATAAGTATTAGTTTTCTTTAACTGTAATTGTAACTTCTGATTTCTTGTTTCGAAGTCAAGGCCCTTCTGCCTTAACGTCCCACCGAAACGATGGAACAGTTTCGTCCAACATCTTGCGTTTGGTCGCTTCTCTCGACTTTCCATTTCTATTGCCTTCATTTGACATTTTACGGCCGCCAAATGATGCTTGTTTAGCCACCTCTACCAAAACTGGACGAGAGTCCAGAGAGGATATCATTAACATGCGCGTCGTGATAACCTTGTTCTCAGTTAGAAAATTAGCCTCTACTTTCTTACCGAGAGTGTGATCATGTGCTTACCTCTGACGCCAAGAAGATAGGAGTGTCCGAAACAAGCTCCTCTGAGACAGGAGCGTAGGTTGCTGACGGAGACAATCTAAAGCCGGCGGACAAGAGATGTGAGACTTTGAGCCCATTATTCCGCCTCTCCTCGCTCCCCGTCGTTGAGACGTTTCAGGAACCTTCCTCAGCGACGTGGAACGATTTCGCCCGGTACTGAGGTTGAGGTTAAAGAAAAATGGATACAATAGCGAGTCTCCTTAAGGTTTAATTACCGGTAGTTTTTTTCCAACCCTTTACAAAACCCCACTGTTGTTGTCATTGCCATTTTTGATTATCTCAACATAGGTTGTTTAACAATTATTTATTTTGTAGGCGGGAGAGACGAGTATTTGAAAAATATCAGAAAGCCGCTCGAACTATGCCAGACAAGAAGGAACGCGAAGAGATCGAGGCGTTGCGAACACAAGTAAGAAAACAGCAAGGAATTTTAGTTATATACACACTGCTAGGGATAGACTGATATATGTTGTGGTTCAGTTTTATCCTCGGTTTAAACTTTATTTTCTTTTGTTTTTGGGTATGGTAATATGAAAACAACTTGATGAAAATGAGTTTGAAAAAAAAGAAAATAAAATTTAGACTAATTATAAAACTGAACCACAACATATACACTGCAAGATCAATCGTTCCGTAACGAAACCTGAACTCTTGTAGAACTGTTATTTTTGTCTTCCTCAGAGAAATCACGATTTATTTGAGACTAAGATGTTTTCACACCGCCAAATTTTTTAAAGGGGGGAGCGTTGCGTGACATCCAAAAAACGGCTGCAAGGGAGACTACAAATTTGTGGGCCCGATTTGTAAGGAAAACATCTAACGAAGGGCGCCATGATGGGCCAAATTTCATATTAGTGTTCCCCTTATGGTTTCCTTTCGGATAAATTTAGGTTTCCGAGAAACTGCCCACCTACCCCTCCCCCTAAGCCAACATTTTGCTTTAAGTGAGAAGCAAGTGTTAATGTTAGCTTAGGGGAGGGGTAGGTGGGCAGCTTGCCAGAAACCTAAATTGGAAAGGGATCAAAACCGTTATATGTAGAGGGAGGTGTATACCTTGATCATACTTCATCGTGAAGTAGTTGTCATGTTTATTGTAGATTAGTTGACCATGTTAAGGGAATGGACCTGTGTATATTTTGTTTCTCTTTCAAATACATGTAAAATGCTGTTGACATCTTGTCTCAGCTGTTGCACTCCGTAACAGTAAAAAAATACCGCAAAATTCCGAAAATAAGCCCCGGGGCTTATATTTTTCAAAGGCCCTTTTTGAGGGGCTTACTTTTGGAGGGGCTTATCAACGGAAGGAAATTTGCGTCGATTGGGCTAGCCCTATAGTTGGAAGGAAATTTACCGTTTTTGCTTTGTTTTACTTTGTATTTGAGGGCAATTTCCAAGTACAAGCCCCCGGGGGGCTTATATTTGGAGAGGCGATTAAACGGAGGGTTTTTTGCATTACGAGTTTGGGGGGGCTTATTTTTGAAGGGGCTTATACACGGAGAGGCTTATTTTCGGAATTTTACGGTACTTCTAGAAACCAAAATAAAAGTTCTCAAGAATGACGAGCACGTGGCGTTTTTAAAAAGGAATATTTTATACAGACTGATTTCGATGCTGGAATTTGCGTTCTGTATAAAACCTCAGTTCATGTTTTATCATATATTGTAAATGTTATAGGAGACTGAAGAACTTTCGCCACTTGATGCTTCGAGCACTGAGAAATACGTAATTTTCATCACTGGTTATTTTATGTAGCTATTAGTCAATGTTAATGTTCCATATTATTTAGATGTAAGTGACTCATGAACGTTGAAGAGGTGGGGATGTTTCTATTAAATTCAATAGTTGTAGGGAAAATTTATGATGCGTTGGTGGGTTTCAGACTCGAAGATGCATTTTATATGGATAAATAAGGCTTAAAACATCGGGCTTTCGTTGACATTACAGTTCATAAAAATGGACGTGACAAAAGAACATAAGAAGACCAAGGAAATGAATTTAAAATTCAAATGTTTGGGAGAGCGAGGAGAGGGAGGCCAGCAGTGGAAAGAGTTCACCGAAAATGTCGTGTTCTACATTCTACAATTTCTATCAGTGGTGCTAAATACGACCACTATTGAACGCGTCATAGTTCGACCGTAAGGTAGTGCTGCAGAAGATTTAAAGTGCCTTGAACCCGATGATGTTGGCGACGTGGATATCGTTATTTTTCCGAATTGTGACAACTTAATAATCGACGAAGAGATGATTGAATGTTCGCCAAGAAATCCACTTCACGTCAGAATCAAAGGACAAAATCATCCTGTGTTGAAGTCCTGTCTTGCAGAAAACACTTGTTACGTGGCTACGTCAGCCTTGAAAAATTTCAATTCCAACATTTATGGCAAGTCGGGGTCTCGTTTGTTTAAGTTCATTATTCAAAGTCTTCAACAGATAAAGTCTCAAGACACTTTTCAAAGTACTTGCCATTTGAAAAACAAAGTTGACGGCCCAGCTGTAACACTAGATTTTGCCCAGTCAGCTCAAGACGCGCAAGATTTGCCGAATGTTTACGCGGCTCAGTGGGAGTGGCTGATTCGTCATTTGTGTTCAGCAAGCGGAAAGCTTCATACAAGGGAACACGCTGAAATTGTCAAGGTTGCTTCCCAGTTCTCGAGTGGAGTACTATTTTCTGCTACCTGTGGCAAAGGTCTCACTTTTGCATCCAAGATTTTATCGTTTGCAGATTTTTACTGTAGCGGCAGAGGTCAAGACTTAAGAGGCAGATTTCGCGATGCAACCCGAGGACAAATCAAAACAAGGCGAGAAACGAAAAGCTGTTTGGCCCATGTGCGCAATGTTGATCAACAATCTCTCAAACAAGAATACGATTACGGATAGGTAAGCTCAAGGCACCCTATAAGCTGGTTTGATGGGACTCTTACGGAGCCTTGTAACTCACCAAAAAAGGCTGAAGATGATCACAGATCAGCTAACGAGTTGAAGCAATCAAACAAGCTCCAGGTTGATCATCTGGCCCGAACTGTGGCTGAAGCAAAGGGAAATTCTTCAATAGAAGATGAAGACGCTGGCAAACTAAATTTCGACCAGCAGGTTGGCGGACTTGATTTTGTGCCTGCTCTAAGGTCCCATGGCTGGCCCAAAGTTGCAAGGGAATGGATCAAAAGAGAACGTAAATGGCCTTCGCATACCATGGTTGAAAGTGTTATTCAGGAGGGATTTCATTTGGTTGTGAAACCTCCAAAGAACGGTAATCCGGATTGCGACTTCAGGATCTCCTTTGGCCATGCAGAGTATTTGTTAAGCCAAGAGATGAATGAAATTCAGCGCAAGTGTTACCGATGTCTGAAGAGATACCATCGAGCTTATCTTGCTGTTGACCCGAAAGGCTTGGTGACTTTTCACCTTAAACATATTCTTCTGCAAACTATTGAAGAAACTGGCGCGAAGGTATGGACGGAGAACAACAGAGCCGAGTGTATGCTGAAGCTCCTTGGAAACCTTTTAGAGGCTCTTCGGAAGAGGGAGTTGCGACATTTTTTTGTGAGATCATACAACCTGTTTGGCGGCGACTACATTGAAAGTCCCAACATTTTGGGTTCTTTAGCTGGAAAAGTTGAGCAGATCATAAACAATCCGATACAATTTGCCAAAGCGATCACCCAGAAACGAGAATCTGAAGCAAGTCAGAAAGAAAAACGAGTTCCAACCAGAGATTTAACTGGGTGTGCGAAAAGTTCCTCAGCTGACAAAGAGCGAGAATATGACCCATCCAGAAAAACCTCATCGTTTGATACAGATTGCATTCCGTTAGACTGACATAAAAATTCTTCGTGAGGAGAATTGACCAATGAGGGCAGGAGTGCAGGGCATTCCTGGGTGTTTCTTCAGACTGAAGTCCAGATTTTATCTCAATCCGGCGCTGACTTAATTGTTTAACGGGAGAATGTGTCCTCGAGTGCATTTTTATTATTTACAATACTTGTTTCGGCTATTGTTAGAAAATAAAAAAACAAAAAAACCCTTTTAACAGCGAAACAGAAAACAAACAAAGACACTAGAATCGAACCGGCCCTGTATGACATTTCACAATTTCACACTACTGCAGTGCAGTAGTTTAGACCTAAACCATTTATTGGTAACTCAGGTTAATCGATGTAATAGGTAATTAAAGCCAAACTTATAGATGAATAGTAGAGTCTTAATAAAGCAATCAATCTTTCGACTGTTACTGTAATCTTGTTACCAGTGTGTCTTGTTTTTCCGAGTTTTCCTGTTTTTACGTAGTCCTTTACTTTGTTTTCGCGCGGAGGAATGAAAATATAGGAGATTTCCCTATGACATTCTTTTTATGCAAGAAAGTGATGAGAAGGGAAGGGGGTGTTTTTTTTTTTGCCCAATGGATAGGCTCTTTTCTGGGGGCTAGTTATAGAAGATACCGCGGTATTTTACAGTGATATTCCCCTGCATTAGCCTCATCTTCGGGCCACCTTATTGGTACTTTCAAATTTCGCGATTTTAGCGAGATGGTATTTCGCGGGGTTTTGTTTTAGCGATTTTAATTTAAGCGTTCTCAACTTCATTTTATTTTTCTAAAAAGGTGGAACCTTTAAAAATATTTTAGATAGACTGGAACAGGCAATATGTGAAATCTTTTCAAATATAACGTTTTTTCACAACTGAAAATACAAAATGGAGCTTACCAATAAAACAAGCAATTTGTGTTTGTCGATACATATCAATGCTATTACATGTTAATTGCGATTAAAATTTTCTATCTGGGTATTAAATTTCGCGATGTTTTTACAATCGCGAAAAACGCGAAATTAAGTACCAGTGAGGTAGTTCCATTCCTCTTTCGAGAATTCGAATATTCAACATTTCCACAATTCCCATAATACACCTTGTTTGCCCCTTTTTAATTTCTTCTTGGTATTACAGCCGTCTCAAGGGAATTTAGAGCAATGCTAATACAGTTTTTTTAGGGGAACTGAATGGGGGAGGGGAATAAACAAAATGAATTATGAGCAATGTGAGACTGGTGAATGGCTTATTCACCACTCCACTATGGAGAGAACCTGAACACTTGTTTTGGTGCTGTTATGCCTGGGATTTTTTCGGTGATCAATTTGAGCTGTTAAAATACTTTAAATACTACCAAGTTATGGAAACTCGTGCTTGTTACCCGAACATGTATTTGTGCTCCCAAGAGGCCTCTTTTTGTTGGAGGGAGATTGGCAAGAGGAAAAAAAAAGAAACCGCGAGGGGGAGGATGGGAAGGGGTAAGAAAAGAAGAGAGGTTGTCGCCCTTTCCGTCTTCCCATCGTCCAACCCTCGCTCACTTTTTTAAAATATTCATGATTTATTGCAATACCCAGTGAGAGCCTCTGCACATGCCAAAAATCCCAATTTAAAACCCTGCACTTTCTGTAGTGGTAAAATATCCTCCCAGCCTAGAGAAGGTTTTATTGGAACTCATGAACTGTGGGGTTGAGTCAGATATATTTAACTCAATTATTTTTTTAGCACTGGTTTGTGTCATGTTTTGTAATGTAAATTTTCAGATAATAAAATTGTTAAACAGCAAACAAACAAACACTATAATCGTGTAAAGGGCGACAGAAAAAACTGCTTACAGAACCTACGGAATTTACTGTCATGAAATTAGGAAATCTGGACATTGATGTTTTGGGCGGCTTTCATCTTTACAAACTACATCTTTTTCAGGTAGCAGAGCTACAAGAAGAACTTAAGCGTCGTGAATCACGCTGGTCAGCGGCGTCAACACGCAGTCGACAGAGAATAGAAGTTCTAGAACAACAGAACAAGGAATTACAAGAGGAAGTGAAACTGTTAGAACACTATCGACTTCAGCAGTGGAGAGAAGATGAACAGGCAAAGGTTGGGGCATAAAAACGTTTCTAGAGTTTAATAATGAACACACGCTCCTCAGTAGGCCATAAGCTAGCATTTAACTTTGCAGTAATTTAAAATGTTGGTAACGCAATCATAACGTAATTACGGCTGTCCAAGTGGTCTACATTGTGACCCACCAACACGGACATGCAAACAAATAACAAGTGAGAAATTTACTTGTTATATTAACTAAAACAAAGCAAAATGGACTGGTTCGTTAGATAGGAACCGCGATTTTTATTCTTTAGATTTTGATTTGAATATTTGATTTCGGGCCCGAAAATTTACCGGGAGTTTCGAGAAACGGGTCCCAGCACCCTTGACTTGCACTCTCTTTTAATATACTACAAGTGTCAATTATTTGGAGATTCTACAGTACAGAGATGCTCGTTTTGCCAGCTTAACAACAGAAAATTTGTTTGTCAGGCAAGGGAAGAAGCGGATTCAAGACCGAAGAGACCTATACAACGAAAACTTGTCAAAACAACAGAAGAAGGTAACTCTTGTTTGGTTTCCGTGAATCAAATCGATTTAGGGCCGCTTTAAGTTACTAAGTGTAAGAACAAAGAAAACATCTCAAGGTCGTATTTTTTTGTACGCAAATGAGAGGCGAATTATGTTACTTTCAAGTTACTAAATAAATTTGGCGCGAAATGCAACAGTCGAACAAAAACATTTGACGAAGAATGTAATAACGCCTTTAACTAAAAATGAAATACCAAGAAGGATCACAAATATTATAAAAAACAGACGACATGTCGTGGCGCAATCAGTTGTTTCCCAGGGAAAATTAAGTCTGAAGAACAAGCGTAGAAGTTCCATACTGATGACGTGTCACTACCCAGATCCGGGTGGCGCTTCTGACTGTTTTTTTTTTTGCTTCATCCAATCAGAAGCACTGCACAGATCTGGGTATGGAATTTCTGCGCTCAGTTTCTCTTAGCTGGGAAACCAGTGGTGTCGCGAAATGTTGGCTGCCCTCTCGGCTAACATTATCTGCGCGATATTGAGATTTATTATTATTACCTTTAATGCAGAATTAGGATAAAACCATGTGATGCTAATTGCTTTACTTTCTTGGGTGATGTTGTCGCATTTACGTTCATGAGGCGTACAATAACGTCGCATTTAATACAGTTTTCAACTGCTTGTTACTCGCTTTCTCGTAGAGTCCGGACCCAGACTTCCTCTGAGTCATCGATCTCCGCCTTTAAAGCCCGCTCTTGTTGAAGCAGTCTCAAGGTCCACTCCAGACAATGCTACCGCTGCTTCAGAAAACAGGTACCTTTCAAGCCTTTTTCAGCCATCGACCCAAGAAGGGTACTGCTCTGTGATGCCTCTCGGATTACTCATCAATAGAAAGCAGTTTTAGTCTGGAAATTGTTGCCATACTCTCTGCGTATTAAGCTGGGATGGGATATTAGGGAGCTTAAGCAACAACGACGGCTACGAAAACGTCACGTAAAAAGTGAATTTGCGCTGCCTCAAAATTTATCGCGCTTATTTCATCTCGTTTAATTCGTCAAATGTTGGCAATTTTTTTTGGAGTTGAATTCTAAAGGACTGTATCAAAGTTTAAGAAAAGAAAAAGAAATTTGTTGTCTTGCGTTCTCGTTCTCGAGAAAACGGGAAATTAGGCACTTTCACGCAGTAGTCGTGCAACGACGGCTAAGAAATGTACAAAAAAGCGTGAAGCACGTGCAAAGTTGTTGTTTTGTTTATCAAAACCTATTGCTTTTATGCCGTTCTCTTTGCCGTCGCCGTCGTCGTTGCTTAAGCTGCCTATTGATGGGCTCTAAATCACTCTAAGAAATCATCGCAAATAGTTTGTGCTATTGCTCTACAGTCGTATGTCGTTTTTTTAGCGGAGCCTCTGCGTGCGCGAAGCTCTCTCGAGGGAGCCTCCTTAGCTAAAGAAATTGGAAGCTATCGATGCGAGAAAATTTGGTTCTGACGTTAGCGGACGCCCGTACGGACTGGCAGGGAGAGACTAATTAGATTTTGCAAGGGAGGGGACAGGGAATCCAAGACTTGCAGCTTGCGTTTGTCTTGGCGAAACGTTAACCCGTTCACTTAGTGACAGCCAATGGAGTTTTTCCAGTAAAGATATTGAATTTCGTTTGTTTGATTGACGACAAAAAAACTTTGAAAAATATAGTTTTAGGGATGTGCTTTTAGCCTGGTCACGCTTTTTAAAAAATGTTCATATAACTGTTCCATTCCGGGCCCGATAGAAAGGAAACACAATAAACCTATGGTGAAGACAAAAGTCGGTCCGGTTTTTCTTTTAGCTCTTTCCTATTAGGGCGCTTTGGCAACGACGACGGCGACGGAAACGAGAACGTCAAAAAAGCGATCGGTTTATAAGAAAAACAACTTGTGCGTCACGCTTTTTGTACATTTCTTTGTCGTCACTGCGCGACTACGATGTGAAAATGCCTAAATTGCACGTTATAAGGAGGACGTAAACAAGCGACGACGAAGTTTACGTTCTCTTTCTAAGCTTGAGTGCGGTCCCCAAGAAAACACACTTATGTCCAGGATCGATCTTGTTAGCAAAAATTTGCTGGCAAATTTTTTTCGCAATTTTAGCAAAAAAGATTTAAAGAAAACTGCTATCAGAAAAGTATAGAAGAAATAGCAAATGTCGCAAAAATCGCAAAAGTAAGAAGAATTTTTCTTGCTGTATGAAAAGATTGAGTAACAAATATGGCAAAAATAGCAGGAATAACAAATTTTTCAAAATTCTACTTGTACAAAGAGAAAAGGCCAGGAAGGGCTTCGTGAAGTCCGCAAATTTCGCAAAAATCGCAAAAGTAACGGGAATTTTCCTTGCTAAGTGAAAAGATTGAGTAACAAATGTAGCAAAAATAGCAAGAATAACAAATTTAACAAAATACTACACTTAGAAAGAGAAAAGGTCAACAAGGGCTTCAAGAAGTCCGCAAATTTCGCAAAAATCGCAAAAGTAACAAGAATTTTTCTTCCTATGTGAAAAGATTGAGCAACAAATATGGCAAAAATAGCAAGAACAACAAATTTCACAAAATTCTACACCTAGAAAGAGAAAAGGTCAAGAAGGGCTTCGAGATGTCCGCAATTGGTTCGTCGCGATTGTACTTTTCGTGCGTGTGGCAATGGCCAGCAATGGCCAGCGGGGTTCCCAGTGTTTGGATCTTCTGGTTTTTGGCGTCTACTGTAATAATTATTGTCTAACAGTCAACCGCTCTAATACTAAACCCATCACACGATTTGTGGTATTTTTCGCAGGTCACCGACCGCTGGAATAGATTCAAATAATAATCGCGCGATGGGTCTTCCACGAGACGAAATCACATCATCACAAACACACTTTAGATCAAGAGAAGAAAGCCCAGATACACCAACTTTTGACACACCTGACAGCAATCATGTTCACGATTTTCAGCAGTCGAAACGAAGGTTAGTTTGTTCGTGTATATGTTTGTTTTACTTCATTTAACGTGTGATTCAGGTGAAACAATTATTTGTTAGATGACATTGAAGTTTGCACGTATTAATGTACCGAAACGAATCTTTGTTGAACAGTAAGCTCCTTCGTGGCGAAAGAATTTTTTGATTGCAAAGTTTTTTTAGTCTCAGTGAAGTCTTAATTGGTAGGCTAGTACAGCCAAGGATTCGAATTTAAACCACTTGCCCCAGGGATTGTTTAGTAGCGCGATTGCATATACTATATAAGCTTACACATTATCGTTTGTACTTACTGAATTAAGTTACCAAAACTGACTTTCCTTGCAGCAGTCCAAGACGAAGGAGCAAGACGCCTGACAGCGAAAAAGTAAAAAGAAATGTTCATTTTCAAGACGAACAAACAGCTCGGCAGAATGAAGAAGAAGATGATGCTAATTCACGTGAACGAACAGGAAGGCAAGACCAAAGGGAGATCATGCATTCTGATGGAAAGGTGACTATCTACTGTATAGTTAACTAGTAACGGAGGTCAGCCGCAAAATTACTTCACCTTACCTCATCTCTGGTGCTTTCGAAAGGAATTCGAGACTTAATTGCCGGCTTGAAAAAGGTACCGTCACGCTGGCAGATCTTGTTCTCTTGCGCGCACAAGCAAATTGCACCTGAACAATCTCCAATATTATTTATGACTTTGTTTACGTAAGACCGCGGGCGTTTTCCGAATAGGACAAGTTAAAAAAGCGACATGCGTTAGACTGCCACAATCAAGTGAACATTTTGCATGAGTTGAACTAATTTCGATTTATTCATTAAGGTGTGTATAACAGCTTCATGCAAAGTCAAATTACTGGCTTTGACAGTGGAGGACTCGAATTGCTAACCATAACTTACAGAGCAAGGTTTCTAAATAGGAGTGATAGTATCCATTATTGACCTTCTTTTAGGTGGAAAAAGTCAACAGCGACGGCTCTCGTCTCATTTCCTTTGCCAACGGTACAAGAAAAGAAATCAGTGCTGACGGCCAGACCGTTATCGTCACTTTCTTCAATGGAGACATCAAGCAAATTATGCCTGATCAGCGAGTGGTAAGATAAACTATTCGTTCTCTTGTGTGATATAATTTCGATCTTTTCTAGACAGCTGGGAGGGCTGCTTAACATTTTTTGTCGTTGGCACATGACTCCCTCTCTTGCGACCCTCAGCGTATTTAAAGCCGGTAACACTTGCAATTTTCCCTTGCGTCTAAACTGTGGGCATTATCAGCGCGGTTTATCGCAGCAAAGACGCTTAAAATTCGATGGTAACGCAGTTAAATTTACTCTAAAATTGCGGCGATTTTCGCGAGGAAAGACCGATTTCTGTCCTTCTCTTGTGCATTGTCAAAAATAGCTACAAAAAATCAGGAAAAATTGCTATTTTGTCCTGCGAACAGTTGCACGTGTAAACGCACCTTTAAAACTCATTTTCTTTTAAAATTCAAGAGCATGGGATGAAGGAAGTTGTGCGTCGTGTCTTGTTTGAAAGTTTGAAAAAAATTCTCGTTTTAATTTTGCAGCCCAAGAGTTCAAAATAATTCTTATTTAGAATTTATATCAAACTCATGATCTGTTCATCATAATTTCAAACACCTAAAGTTTGTTAAAAATACAAGGCGTAAGTCGTTGTTTTGTTGTGAGAACGCTCTCGTTCTCGATATTTTACATTTTTATATACTTCTTAGTCTGAGAACTAGCTGTCTGAGCCCAAAGAACGCTTAAAAAGAAAGATAACTCAAAACAATCTAAGAAATATTCTGCGTCTGATTCCATATTCTTCGTCTTGTCTGACTTAAATGCAGCACGCGGAAGCCAAACTTGTAGCAAAAAATGTCGCACAGCCGTACACTTGCATTGATATATATCAAACCATCGACTTTTATGGGCAATGGAATAAATACAGTCTCGCGGATATACCAAATATATCATGAAAAAGGAATGACTCTATTACTGCGTACAAGCTATTCTGTGAACGGTGCTAAATTCGGCGAGTTGAAGGCGAGTGTTCTTAGAAAGCTTTGTAAAGTGAAACACACGGGAAAATTAATATTATAAAAATCTCTCACCTTACCAAGTTCTGTGTTGCAAACATGTGAGGCAAACGTCCGCCGCAGTGTTTATTTGGTGGCGATAGTCTACGGTCTTGAAGATGATGACTAGTTTGAGCAACCACGATGGTGATGGCAGCCAAAACTGCAGTACTGTGCGAAACAAGGCCCGTGTGCACGTGCGTTTCACATTTTAGTACATTTCTCTGTCGTCACACGGCCGCAAAACAACAATCAAATCTTGAAGGTTAAGGGATAAACGAAAAAGCAAGATAGTTAACTTTTCTGTCTCTCTTCGGACTATAAAGTGTAAAATTCACGAAATCACATGCAAGAGATTTTCGCTATATCTTGGTTAGTTGGCGAAAAGTTCAGAACTGGATGATAGACTTTGAAATGCCTTAGAAATAAGTGTCTTCCAAATTGTTAATTCTTCATTTATTTTCTTGATCAGATTTACTATTATTCAGAAGCGCAGACTACTCATACCACATACCCTGATGGACTGGAAGTGCTTCAATTTCCCAGGTCTGAACATAACACTCAATGGATTGAATCACTTCACCTTTCTTTCAGTATTTCTTTTCGTTGAACTAAACACCAAGTTTCTAAAAGTGCCATCCACTAATGACTTTGCTTCTCTTCGAATCAGCAAACAAGTTGAGAAGCACTACCGTGACGGAACAAAGGAAATCATCTTTCCTGATCAGACCATTAAGTACCTGTACCCAAATGGAGCGGAAGAATGTGTGTTTAGTGACGGTACCATTCAAAAGGTTAACGTGGAAGGAGAGAGAACTATTGAATTCCCAAATGGACAACGGGAAACTCACACCAAGTGCTATAAAGTAAGTGGAGACACAACATTTTGTACTTTGTACCTTATATTGCTCGAGTTCTTACTGTGGCTTTCCTAGTGTCATACCGCGGCCTGTCTCACTGCGGGATGTTGAGTGTCACAACTTGATTATGATTCTTACGTCTCGAGGTCTTAATTCATTTTGAAAAGTAAACAAAAAACAAATGTATAAAAAAAAGCTTGCGCTCTTGTGCGCTCCACAAGAATAGAACGTTCAGTGTATCGGTTAAATGCCCTCCCACTGAGCTGTGATTTAAAAAAAAAAATAGCGAAGGAATACTCGAAGATTGACCTCACAAGTTGGGTAAGAGGTAATACCATATTGCTCCTCTCCTAGAAACTGAATCAGGCGTAAAAGATGTTTTTTTCAGAACTGCTCGTCCTCGACTTCTTAAGTGTTGTTCTCTGAGTGACGTGTTTTTTTGTCCATATTTAGAAAAGAGAGTACCCTGATGGGACAGTAAAGACAGTCTATCCGGATGGTCGAACAGAGACCCGATATGCCACGGGACGTGTGCGGGTCAAGGATCGAGATGGTCGGGTTATAGTGGATTCTTTGAACCAACTAAGATGACAGCCCCTACTATGCAAAGATATTACAAAGTTGTGGATGTATATGAGAAAATTATTAAAAACGAAGATACACTTGTCGTGCAAGTAAGCCATAATTGTTAAGACATGTGGGCTACACTCTACTGGCGCCAGTGCTGCAGCATTATCCCTTCAGATTCTTCCAATATATTTAGGCAAAATGGTAACCTATTTTTTCTTATCCTGACTCCTGTTAAGAACACTTTTAAAATAAAACACAATTGTTCCTGTAAATATAAAAAAAGAATAGTCCTGATCCGTGCCTCTTCAGTTTACTGTTTATTGATAATTCAGTTAACAATAATAAATTACTTAATTTATTTATTCTGGACAAAACAACCTCAAAACGTTTTCGAGCCGTCTGCTCAACTGCCCTATATACCTGATGAAAAAATCGTTGCAGCTTAAAAAAATATAAACCACGAAACGATGGGGTTTCAAGAATTTATGAGCAAACGTTAGCAAAGCAAATTCAATTTTTTTTTCTAGAAAAGCTTACATTATCCTGATTATCAAGAGCGTCTGGTGCGGGTGCAAATTATGGGTCTGAGTACTTTCTTTGAGGCATTCCGTTTTTTCGTTTACTCTTTCCAGAAAACGTTTGGGTTTCATCTTGTGATTTTCAACGGTGTACTTTGGCGATGTGCCTAGAGAAATAACTATAGCTAAAGAGATCCTTGAAGTAGCATATCCCCAAGGGTGAAGTTTTCGGCTTATCGCCTATAAAGAAAACTGGAAACCGTTTGAAACTTTTTGGAATGCATCCGATCGGCACAAGAAACTCGTGATAATGTAAGTTTTCTATAAAGAACTTTGAATTTGCGATGCCAATAAACCTCTAGCCATGAACCATTAGGTCTCATCATCCATGGTTTACACTTTTCAAGCCACAACATTTTTTCAATCAGCTGTATACCAAATTATTGCACTTCTCTTAAAATGACATTTCGCTAATGCTGAAAAGTGTTATATATAAATGTTTACATTTTTCTTCGTTCATAGCCTGAAATAGTAGAACAAATAAATGAAGCTATAGATCCTTCCTATCAGCATTCTTATTGGAGACATGCTGATGCAGGTTAAAAAAGTTACCCAATATTAAGTCACTCTTAAGTCCATACAAGTGGTTTGGCAAGGAGAAATTTAAATGTCAACGTCATATTGTTTCCTGAATTTCGCTCCAAACTCTTCGGCCAGCTGCTTAAACGCTAGCACCACGTTGTCCGTTTCAGGACCTAATTCCTCTAATGAACAACTAAAAACCAAATCAAGAATTAAAAGACGTTAATTTTTGTTGAGAAGTACGTACATGCATGTTTCTTTCAAGTATGAAAAGTCACTTGATTAAACAAATACAGACACCATTTAGGCCATTTGCACGATGACGTCATTTTACTACCACGACCGCAATCCTTCATAATTTTGTTTTCTTGTGCAAGTTAGGGCTTTTGTTATTTAAACCTCCCTGGGATAAGGGAATTTAAATACGAAAGAAAAAACGAAAAGGATTCTGGTCATAGTAGTAAAATTACGCCATCATGCAAATGGCCAACTGAAATCAAAGAGCTGGTTAAAATCAGTAATTTCCCTAAGTTTTTTTCCTTGTATGGAGTTTTCAAGAAAATAGCGTTCAAAATTTTTGCGCTGTTGAAAGACACCTTTGCAAAAATTAGAGTTTTCAAAGCAGCACTTACTGCGCGAAAATTGGCCGGTAAATCGGGATCTCTTTTCAGAAATACTAATAGTGCAACGTCCTATCAGGATTGTGGGTTATTTTTAAAGTTTCATTACATATGTAAAGATCAATAATCGTATTTGCACCATTCCTCTTGCGAATTTTAAACTTCAAAATCAATTGAGGCGATGCATCATTTCTACCGTTTTAATTTTTACGCGGGAGATTATCAACCGGTTGGTTTGTGTAAAGGATTATTAAGAGTTCCTCCGTACCTGATTGATCTAATTACTAGATAAAAGTCCTTTAAAGCATTGAAAACTTCACCAGGCCTGATTCTATGACAGAAACGTAAGAATGTTAAACGTTATATTACCTACAATGGAAGCTCTCGTAAGCGGACACCTTCCGGAATGGCTGGTTATGGCCATGGTTCTCGTATGCGGCCATTGGAGGGGGTTAAATGGCCGTTTGTGTTAGTACAGCAAAAACTTCGTGTGCCGGGATCGAACTCCTTTCTCATGAAAAACTTTCAAATAGTCCACAATCTGGGAGATGCTCTGAGGTAAATGGGTTAAGAGCCTCGCCATGATTTAGGTCGGTGCAATTTTTCATAGGCGAGATATTCGTATACATGATTTACCCGAATTTATAGAGGAGGCCCTGGTTGTTCAAAAGTTGGATAGCGCTATCCACCAGGCCCGGGTTGTTCAAACGTTGGATAGCGCTATCCACCGGATAAATCACTATCCAGCGGATAAGTATTACGGAAATCAATTACGGTATCCGCTGGATAGTGATTTATCCGGTGGATAGCGCTATCCAACGTTTGAACAACCCGGGCCTGGTGGACAGCGCTATCCAGTGGATAAGTATTACGAAAACCAATTGCGCTATCCACTGGATAGTGAATTATCCAGTGGATAACGCTATCCGCCTTTTGAACAACTGGGACCTGGTGTAGAGCTTTGTATGGAGACACCACTTTGGGCACCAACCCCATGGCGACCGGAAACCAACAGAAACATCTGCCACTGAGTTTTGCTACGAAAGCTTGAATTCATCTCTCAAGAAACTCATCAACATTAAAGTAATAATTTTTCTAATACAATGAAGGCTAAGTTAGCAAAATCTCCCAAAATAAGTCACTTTTTAACCTAGCTAACAGCTCTCTCGGCCTCTAAGTAAATGCCGTTTCACGCAAAAGCTTAGAAATTCAAGCGTACTCTATCAAAAATCGAAGAACCCTTTCGAAGTGAAATTCTTTGTAAATAATTGTTTTTAGCTGCCCTTATACTTCTTCAAAGTTAAAACTCAGGAGGATTGATAATTCTTTAGCTTTGAATTTCGACGACGTAATGTGAAAGCCACTAATTCTACCTGGTCATCCAAGTTACGGGAAGATCTAACCGTTTGCATGGCAAATGGCAGCGGCCCCTGGATCAAACCCGCGACACCCCGTTGAGCAGCAGCTCAGCGCTCTACCGCCTGAGCCAGCCCAGCCCTGCCACGGTGTAAGTTCATCAAAATGACTCTAGTTAGCATCCCACATGCCACGGACACAATCCAAAAATGGCTGCTGGATAAATATTCTTTTGTTCAAATTATTTTAGCCTGACTAGCCTCGCTTGGGATAATGTATCCTTTTGTATTTGGTACTGGAGAACGAGGCTAGTCTGGCTAATTTTAATTTGTACAAAAGGATATTAATCCAGCAATCATTTTTGCATTGGGTCTCTTCTTCACGTATTTGGGGATCACTGCTGGGGTTCCGTTTATGAAATCATTCGGCATCTGGAGTTTTGGTGTTTTTGAAGTACTACTTCAAGACTTCCGCTGACTGTAACTAATGTAAGAGTTAGTACAAATACCTTAACCCATGTAAATGCTTACGAATACAAACCTGTTTTCTTTCTCAATGCATTTGGCAGATCCATGCTTGAAGAAATCTAAAGCATAAGAATTGATGCGCTGAACTCGTCCTAGTAAATCGCGTTTCTTCAGGGGAAGAACTGGGACCACATTCATGTCTGTGTATACATCTTGGCGAACAATCTGCATGGTAAAGGCCATTTTCATTCTAACGCAAAGAAGGGTGGGGGAGAAAAGAGGTAGCCATGCACTTTTTATCTGTAAATCAATAGACCTTTTTAGCTTTTATGTTTTGTTTTCCCAGTTCAGAACTCATGATGTTACCCAAGAGAAATGTCGTCCTATGTAGGTGCATCCACAAGTATACGTAGACTATGCAGAATTAGTGAAAAGACAAAAGACAAATTTTCTAGAGAACATCACATGGTCTGAATTGGGAAAATAAAACATACCAGCCAAAAAAACCTATTGGGAAAAATTCAGAAACTCCGAATTTCTCCTTCTTCCTTATTTTGACGGGTGCTTGGACAACTTTTTGGGCTACTGAAGGACTTAATGGTGGTTATTGGCAAGTATTTAATTCTTAATGCAAACGAATGGGAAGGGGAAGGTGGAACCGGGAAATTCAGGCGCGCGAGAGAAGAAGAACTTTTCTTTCGCCCCTTTCTTTCCTTCCTCGCACGCCCTTTCCGTTTTTGCACGCCCGAATTCCCCTTATCATTTTAACGTCTGAACGAAGGCTACATACTAGAAAATATCTGGATAGACCTCACTCACAGTTCTCTGCTCTCCAGTCTGACATGAGCTACATAACTATGAAGGCCAAAGGGAGTATACAATCTACTCCGACTTTGTCTAAGCCTGTTTCTCATCTCTACCGGTGACAAGGGACTCCCGGCCGAGCTTTAGCATCGGCAGCAGCGATGGCAACGATAACGGCAAAAAAAGCAAAAGGGTTAAATAAAGAAAGCAACTACTCTGCACCTACGGCACTCTTTTTGGTACATTTGTATGCTGTCATTGCACGACTACGACGTGAAACTTCCAATAAATTCCCCTTTTTATGGAGGACGACAAAAGACAACGATTGTCTTTTTTTCTGTAAATTTTCTGAACTTGGACACGGTCTTGTTGGCGAATTGAACAAGGTGGAATAGTACTGAGGAAGTCTCGAGCAGCGCGAATTCACTTTTCACTTTTTAAGTGAGGCTTTCGCCTGTTTTCGTTCACTGCCGGCGCGTGGCCATCGTGGTTGCCCCACGGCGAAATCTTTCCTGCTTGAAAATAAGCGGTTATTTTCAAAATCATTACAAAAATAACATTACGAGCAAAACGAAGCCAGTTATCCTATCTTAAAACGAGATATAACAAAGCCTTGTTTACCTTCAGTAAATGATCGATGGGTTCAACATCGTCTCCTTCATCTTCACTGTCAAATTCGTCGTCTCTTTCTTCGTCTGTGGTGTCCCGATCCCAGTCTTCGTCCTCTGTATCTTCTCCTATTTCATCATCCTCTTGATTTTCAGAATGTAATTTTAAGTCTGAATTTCCTGATAGTGCAGCAAATGATGAGCAAGCAGTGTACATAATGGAAGAGCGTCCAAGCGATTTGATGATGCCATATTCATCAATGAGGTTAATGCTCCCTTGATCTGGAAACACTGCAATATGGAATCGGATTGATGGTTATATTTCAAACGACGACTCCATATGAACGTTGCTCTTTAGCTACCGCGTTAAACGATTGGATACCCTATGTTATTAAAAAAAATCGATCTTTTCATATGTTGAGGGCAGATCTCAAATTCTGCGACAAGAAGGCAGTTGACCGATATGAACACTGTTGCCTAGTTTAGCGCGTCTTCGTTGAAAGAAAAGACACCACATAAAAAACATTGTTTGTTAAAAAAATGAATTTGGTGGCACAAAATTTCGTTTTGTTCGGGGTGGTCTATGAATGCACGCCTATGGGATTCTTGTTCTTTATGACAGACATAGCGAAATGTCTTCCTCGCCTAAATGCAAGCAATAGTGATCTGTCAAAAATGAATTTATAGAAATTACAGATCACTAAGTGTAAAATAAAGTATCCAATCATTTCCTCAAGGAAATTAAGGCATGGGTGTTTTCCTTCAAAACGTTGAAGGGTTTTCTACATTTTAAGGATTAATTAAGGTTTATAGCGGCAAAACGTGAGTAAGATAATGAATTTCAAAAGTTTATGCCATTCAGTGTAGAAGAATATGCAAATTAGGTCACGTGAGGTTTAACGCCTATTTTGCGCAGGAAAAAACTTGAATCAAAGAAATTGGTACTAACTGAAGTCACTAGATGACTGACTTCACATCTATGCTCGGGCTTTGCTGAACAATTTATTGAAAGTGTAAATAAATAGAATTGTGTCCTAGTACCCAGTCCCATTATCAAACGCTTTTCGAGTTTCGTCCCTGTCTTAAAGATTAACTCAAAAAGCCCGGCCACAGAAATGATGTACCTACTGGTTTCATTACTATGACAATAACTGCAACTTCCAGAAAGTAACGAAAAGTGGTGCCATATTGCCCGATAGATTTTTGAGCTAAAAATAGCCTTAATAGGTCACGTGACAATTAATGACTCCAATCATCATTTAAAGTTATTGAACTTATACGCAGGAAGACTCCAGGAAGTCTGTCCTCATTTTAATTTGTGTTAAATTGAAAGCTTAAAAAGTTAGACCACCCTCCCCCCAACCTGTTTTTGAGGAATAGACCCTTTGCAGCTAGCCATTCACGTGATACAAAACCGCCGTGCTGGAGAGCAAAAGTCGCACTGGGACAAGACAAACATTTTAAATGGTAATTTCCTTTGTTTGTCCTGTCCCAGTGCGACGTTTGCTCTCCAGCACATATGGCAAAGATGGTCCCGTGGTCGATGCAAACAAACGGCTCCAGCGGATTTGAATCCCAAAGTTTTCGGGCGACAAGAAAGAATATCAGTCGTGTTGGGCAGCGTTTTCCAGTTGTGTGGATGAAACAAATTTGTCAGCTCAGTTTAAAATGTTGCGACTCGAAAGTTGTTTAGAACGAGGGGCGGCCGAAATGGTGAAATTACTAGGTTACTCTGATCATGCGTACGAAGCGGCTAAGGCAAGGCTGAATCGAAAGAATGGGGGAAACAGGCCACAGGTCCAAGCTCATATCGATGAACTACGTAAGATGAGGCCAATAAACGCTGATAATCCAAGAGAGCTAGAAACATTTGCCGACATAGTGGAGAGGACTGTGGTTTCTTTAAAGGAAAATAAGAAGTTTGCTGACCTCGAGGGGGAACATTGTCTGCAATTGTGCTGGAAAAACGTCCTCAAGCTCTACTTAGCCAGTACTACCGATGGTTTAAAGAAAAGGGAAGCATAGAGTCTCTTGAAGAGCTGCGTCACTCGGCTGCTGAGGAAGCTGAGTACCAGGTACAAGCATCAGAAATTACGCATGGTTTGTTCAGTGTTGGAAATACATGAGGAAAGAGCTCAGCCAGGTCTTATTTTGGGACCGCAGGAGAGAAACGTGATCGTCCCTGTAAAGTGTGCAACCAAAAACACCCAATTTGGAAATGTGATCTGTTCAAGGGAATGGAACATAGAAAGAAATGGGAGACGGTAAAGAAACTTGGACTGTGTTACCGTAGCTTGGGGAAAGGGCACCTTGGTGACTCATGTAGTTGGAACAGAGAGTATGGAATTGACGGATGCAAGGTCAGACACCATCGGTTACTTCACGTGGAGAAAGTAGCTTCTGGGTCCATGGAGGGGAAGGCTGACACACCCGTGACAGAGGAAAACAAATCCAGTACATATGAAACAATGCAAGAACATGGGCAGACGAGTACTGCGCATGCCTTGCGTACTGTTCCTGTCATTCTGAAACATGGGGAGAGGCGCTTGCAAGTTAATCGTTTCTTGGACGAAGGCAGTGATACGTCGTATGTTAATGAGGATGTGGTAGAGGAACTGGGCTTGGATGGTAGGGAGGAAAAAGTAATTATCAATGTTGCTAAAGGACAGGGCCCAGTTGTTCGAAGGCCGATTAGCACTTAACCCAGGGTTAAATTTAACCCGGGTTTCTTTTTCTTTTATTTAAAAGCATTTTCTCGGATAATTTTCTCCGTTATTTTTAAGAGCATCCAATCATCAACTTGCTGAGGGAAAGAATTAAACTGAATTTACTTTTTAAGCTTTCAAATCTGAATTTAAACTTCTCACTAACCCCGGGTTATCTTAACCCAGCTTTGAACAACCCGGCCCAGAACGTCAATTTAATGTCAGCAACCATGGAGATTTGCTTGGAGAGTCTGGATGGTCGGGTGGACACAGTCATTGTTTCAAAAACGTCTAATAACATCTGTGGTGGGATGAAACCCACCAACTGGCTGCAAATCAAAGACCAGTGGAAAGATTTAACGGACATTCCTTTTCCTAAGCTTGGAAAAAGGGGTGTAATTGACGTTCTTATTGGTTCAGATTATTACAACCTGCTGTTTCCTATGAAAGAGGTTCGTGGAGGCGACAATGAACCTAGTGCCAGACTGTGTCCATTGGGGTGGACAGCAATTGGTACCACTGGTACGTCTGAGGGACATGGAGCAAGTAACACTGGTTACCTGAACGCCTATCGCATATAGCAGTCAGAGTGTATTGATGGAGATCTGAACTATCTGCTGAAACAATTTTGGAGCCTTGAGGCTATTGGGATCACACCGCAGGTGGAACAACCACTTTCCCCCGAAGAGAAACTAGCCTTTGATAAAGTGAAGGAATCAATCAGGTTTGATGGTGAAAGATATGAAGTTGCTGTGCCTTGGAAACATGAAAGACCAGAATTACCCCCAAACCGACAGATGGCAGAGAAACGCCTTCACACAGTTGGGAGAAAGTTAATGCAAGATGAGAAGCTGGCACAGGCTTACCAATCAGTGGGTGATGACTACTTAAGTAAAGGATATATCAGAGAAGTCCCAGAGGATGAGCCAAAACCACCATCAGAATGGTTCCTTCCACATTTCCCTGTGGTAAGGCCAGAGTAGGCCACAGCCAAAGTTCGGGTTGTTTCGATGGCTCAGCTCAGCAAAATGGAAAGAGTTTGAACAGTGAATCACTACCGGGTCCTAAGTAGCAAAGTGACATAGTGGATGTTTTAGTTAAGTTTAGAAAAGAGCCGGTTGCATTGGCTGGTGATGTGAGCCAAATGTATCACTAGATACTTCTTAGACCAAAGGACAGGGCCCTGCACAGATTCTTACACAGGAACTTGGACAGTGGGGGTACACCAAAGGTTTACGAGTTTAAGAGGTTTATTTTTGAAGGGTGTTACTGCCCATTTTGTGTCCAGTTTCCTTGGCAACATCATACCAAACTTTACAAGGAGACTTACCCATCGGGAGCTAATGCAGTTTTAGAACACTGTTAAATGGATGCTCTGATGCCATCCGCACCTACGGTGGATGATGCGAAGGAAACAAGAAAGCAGGTTACCGAACTAGGGCACTTGGCTGGTTTTCATGTCCGCAAATGGATCTTGAATGAACCGGAAGTAATTGCTGACGTTGCAGAAGAAGATAGGGCTTCTGAGATAGACTTGGAGAAGAGAGAATTGCCAATTAGCAAGACTCTGGGCGTCCTGTGGGCCGCCACAGACGACGAAGTTTCCTTGAGACACTCGTTACAGTTAGATGGATTTGAATTCATCAGAAGAATGTTTTAAGGCGACCAGCATCAGTTTACGACCCATTAGGCTTCTTATCACCTTATGTAATCAGGTCCAAGTTGTTGATACAAAAGGCATAGCTGGAGGCACGGGAATGGGATGAACTGTTGCCGACACCTCATCAGCGAGAATGGACAAAGGGGTTTCCAGAATTGGAAGACCTTGAACTTGTGAAAATCCCAAGATGTTTGAAAGACCCAAGTCCTAAGGTGGAAGAACTGAGCGTTCACACATTCAGTGACGCGTCAGAGAACTCATATACAGCTGTAGTTTACGCACGTCATGTGTATGAGGATGGCAACATCACTGCTCGATTGATTATGTCGAGGTCAACGCTTGAACCATTGAAAGCAGTGATCATCCCCAGATTAGAGCTTTTGGGTGCACTCAGCGGATTACGATTAACAAGACAAGTTTGCTCTGCACTCAAGATATCTACAAATGGAGTGACCTATTGGGTGGACAGTATGATTGTAGGGTACTGATCCAAGTTCAGAGTAGAGAGTATAAGCTGTTCATAGCCCATCGTGTTGGAGAAATTCATGAGTTCTCTGCTTCTAATCAGTGGCGCTATGTTCCTACGGATGTAAACCCCGCCGACCTTGGAACAAGTGACCTGACAGCAGAATAGTTAGCAAGCGCAGACTTACGGTGGAATGGGCCCGAATTTCGGAAGAAGTCAAGACAAGACTGGCCAGAGTGCAAGTTTGACAAGCCAACGTCAACAGAGAACCTTGAACTTAAAGGAACAAAAGAAACAGGAATAAAGGATGCTACCAGTTACCAAATAATTGAAGAAGGTGAAGAAACGGCTAGCGTCGAAAAGGTTTGGCGATACTCGAAATGGTACTCGAAATGATACTCGAAATGATACTCGAAATGGTATCGAGTCAAAACAAGAGGAGAACTGGAAATTGGGTTGTCTTTAGTTCGTGTGACAGCGTGGGTGCGCCGACTTACAGACAATTGTAGGAAACCGGCTGAGCAAAGAGAGAAGAGTGAACTGAAGCCACTGGAGCTTCAAAACGCTGAGGAATTTATCATTCAGGAGGTTCAGTCTAAAGTGTACTCAGTAGAGAAAAAGTCATTGACAAGGAACAAGCAAATCCTAAGAGGAAGTACATTTGCACCATTTAATCCAGTGTTGAGGTCCAGCACCAGACTACGGCATGCGGACGATCTCCCATATGATGTAAAGTGTCCAATCATACTGCGTAAGAGGAATCACGTCGCAGGACTGATCGTTATGCACTACCTTGAATTAGAAGGTTAACAGATGGAGCTTAACTATACCATTAATCATGCACGGGAGAAATACTTAGTGGGCCATGTTCGTGAACAAGTGAAAAGAGTCATGAGGGAATGTTTTGAGTGTGCGAGACGATTTCGGTCAAAGCCAGCTCACCAGCGAATGGCGCCGTTACCGAACATTAGACTGCAGCAATCCTCCAGACCTTTCGAGAGCTGTGCAGTAGACTTTGGAGGACCTTTCTTAACTAAGCAAGGACGTGGAAGAGTGCGAGAAAAGTGCTATTTGTGTTTGTTTCTCTGTTTGAAGACCCATTGTTGCAACTTAGAGATGGCGTCGTCTTTGGACACTGATGCCTTTCTTAACGCTTTTGTCAGAATGACTGCGCGGAGAGGATGGCTACAGCAAATGTTAAGTGACAATGGAACGAACTTTGTAAGCGCATCGAGGGAACTGCGAGACCTAGTCTTTGCTATAGACTAAGACATGATACACCGGATGACCTCCAATAAAGGACTGAATTGGAAGTCGAATCCACCTGCAGCGCCACATTTTGGTGGAGTCTTTGAATCTATGATCTAGTCAGCAAAGCAAGCTATTTTTGCTGTACTCGGTGATGCAGGAGTTGCTGAATTCGAGACCTTTAACAGCTGTGAGTGACGGCCCTAACGACGACCGTGTCTTGACTCCAAATCACTTTCTGATCGGACAGATAGGTGGTGATTTTGTACCGGAGAGCGTAGACACCGAGTCATTTAATCCCAGAAAAGCGCTGGAGAAGACTACAAGAGCTCACAAGACATGTGTGGAACCGATTGATAAAAGAATACTTACCGCAGATTGGATCAAGACAGAAGTGGTACTTCCGTAACGACAATTTGGGGGTTGGAGATGTTGTCGTTGTTATTGATCCCGGAACAGTGAGGCGACAGTGGAATGTTGCGCGCATCGAGTTACACGTACCCGGGCCCTGACGGCCTTCTGCGAGTGGTGGACGTACGGGTTAATGGCAAGACCCTTAAAGGACACCGAACTGTAATCAGATTAATGTGTAACAAGAACACTTCCGAGAACTATGATCTAGAGCTAAGGATATATTTCAGTTAAAATGTACTCGAATTTCAGCTTCCCTGTAATTCGGGAGGGGAAGAAAAATTAGTGACATTTCGAGTTGCGTTACATTATGTACGTCCTGACAATTATCACGTGTTTATGTCATGTGACGTTTTGAATTCGGACTCTCTTCTATGGAACTTGACTCGAGACGTGTCGAGATTTGTCGAGATAGTTTTGTTTTGCTAAGAGCTTACAGTCTTGGAATAGAATCTACACTATACATGTATCAAACTTTGAGTTTTTGAGAGGATGTCGCAAATTAAAAAGATGCGAGTGGTGTTGAAGAATCTTCAAAAGTCCCTTTGCATGAATGAATGAGTAAATTAATGTTAACTTTACTTACACAATTGAAAAAAATCAGTGTACGACAGAAAATAAATAAAAGTTCTCTATAACTGGTTACATTTTTGCCAGGTAGGATTACTGATCAGCAAAGCAACTATGAATGCTTCTCTTTAAGACGTCTAAAGAATATGGTGTACGTATGTGTCATAAAAGAGCACCACTGTAACTAAAACTACGCTTGGTTGGTCAGTTCTTGGTTTCGGAAGTAAAAATTTTTCCGTTAGCGTCGAGAAGGTCATAATTAGATATTCTTAGGGCAAAAAAAATTACAGAGATAAGCTGGAGCGAAATTATAACTACACTTGTACATTAACTTTAGCCTTTTGTTTAGCCCTTCTAATCGATAAGTTGTCCTAACCAAGCGAGACTCGAGACATATCTTGATTTGGTGATGACTCTAACCGCACGATTTTGTAGTTTTTCGAGACTGTCCCTGAGCTGATGCTACAAGCCATCCCAGATAGTACTACAGTAATCAAAGTGTGGTTGAAGGCTTATTTTTTCCCGCCAGCCTCCAAAGAAGCTCAGATAATCGTGAAAGGAATAAGGGGAAAAGTAACAGCACAAGAAAATACTAGATACACGCCATTTCCACATTTCCTATACTGCGCCTTATTTGCCCCCAAAAATTTTTCATAAGTATTGTTTTCATTTCTCTTGGGACGGCTGCAATACCCAGGAGAAATGAAAAACAAAGGTTATGCAAAATTTGGGGGGCCAAATAAGGTGTACTATGGGAAATGTGGAAGTGGCGAAAAAAGAAGAAAACACATGAGACATGGATGTGACTGAAGAGATTTTGTGCGGACTTCTTGAAGCACGATGTTTTGCAACGACGTGTAAGTAAACTAAACCTCCTGTAAGAGTACGGCCGACAAATCAACCAAACAGGCACTAAATTAATGTAAAGGGAAACGAGTGCAATGGAATCATAACACTATAAATATGTGAATCGCAAGACCACGCGAAGCACTTCTGGGGAACGGCAAGAAGTAGGAAGAAAGTTCCGCCCGGATTGGAACTCGGGACCTCTTATACATTAGGGCCATTTATACGAGGAAAAATAAGAAGCGTCTTTCATTGGAAAAAAAAATAAAATAAGGCGCAAAATATCCCGTATAAATTTCATCGCATTTAAAGCACAGATGCCTAACTAAGCCGACACGGTATAAATTCGTCTCCGAAGTGGAACGCAAAACATGTGTTTTATTACCTCGATTTTCGTTTATATCATGAGGCTAATGACCCAAATCGCTTCCATTTTCTCTTAAAAGTATTTTTGCCTGCGAAACCCATCGCACAAAGCATTTATCGACTCCTAAAATGGCCGCTACAAAAACAGAACCGATAGATATTAAAGCAAGCCTCATCGGATTCACTTGGGAGGCCGCAAAATCGGTTGCCTGGAAACCCACAGTGCACCTTGACGTCACTGGCTGGATGATGGACGTTCGCGTGAGCGCTTAATTGGGACAGTGTTCTTTTAAAGCCAATGGCATTTTCTTACCGATGTAGGGACTAAAAGAGTCCCTTAGCCACTCTTAAAACAACTCGGGTTTGATGCTGTATATAATAGACAGTTGTTCCACTCTATAGGGATTATTTTCTTCAGTCTTACCTATTCCTGACAAGGGAAGTTTGTTTTCCTCTCCTCGCTGCCTTTCATGCTCTGTTGCTACAGTAATTAGATACTGGCTGAAAACCTTTGTAACCTCAGCGTTGTAACCTTGAAGAGCGTCACTAAACTCTTCGGGAAGATCTTCCAAAACAACCTGTTAAAGAAAGTACATACAAATAGTCTAGTCCTTGGATACTAAACTTAGTTATCTAGTGTGCCAGCTTGAAGTGAAGGTAAGGCTTAAAGTGTTTGGTTAAAGGTGTATAACAGTACTTACTAATGGGCAAGAGATAGCTTCCCTGTCAATCAAACAACACCCAATGATATCAACATTAAGAGACTCAGTGTACCTTTGAGGTTGGACAAGAGGGAACCCATCGCTTGTAAGAAGAATGAAGGAATGTTCGACCAAACAAATGGTTAAGTATAAGAACCATTGACCTCATGACGTCTTCAGAAAACCTTCCTGTAATAATAAATTGGAGAAAAAATGATTCTTTGAAAAGTTTTAACACAGACATAGACTTGTAGAGGAACTTGGTGAAATAACTGATTTAGTCGTCAAGCACTAATTTAAACGTTTTTGGTTCTCTTACCATTTTCGCCTGGTTCACAAAGCTCATGAAAAAGGCCCTTTTGTAGAAAGCTCACTAGGACGAAATTAGAGGGCTCGTGGTAGTGTAGATGAGTCACGAGTCCCGCCATCTCTTGTGGTGCTCCGGTGTCCTTGTTTATGAGACCCTGAGATGAAACAAAAAGGTTTTTCCAATAAACAATATTAATACTGTCTTGCTTGGCATGTATATTTTAGCCCCCTTTCTTCATTCTGTATAAAAAAGAAAACATGCTGGGCAGATGAAATTTTGTGTTACCCACCAATCTGGCAAGAAGTTCGACGCTGAAGAGGAAATGTTTCTTGATCTGACTCTCCATTTCGGGATGCTTTTTGCAGATAAATGGGTGGGATAACAGTGTTAGAGCCTACAACAAATAAAGCTTACAATCACTCAGTAGCAAACCACGCAAACCATGCCAAAAATGCATCCTGATACATGAAAAAGGAACAAGAAAAAAAAAAAAGATTACTTCGTCACATTTACAGGCAGTTTAATTTTACCCTCGAAGGGGAACAGTACATTAAGCTAGTTTTCAAAGCACTCCAGCAACTAAGAACCGAAAGTACTTGCCAGCAATGCTAGCTATGGTTACATTCACATCTTCACTTAATCGCAGACTATTAATTGTGCTTTGAAAGCACTGGTTAAGAACTTTTTGACTCAAGTGACAACTCTCTCTACATTTCAGTCTTTAAAAGTCTTTGATTTAGGAAGTAACATTTGAATAGGTGACCTTGCCGTTATCTGACCTTAGTAAACGCATCTTGTTTGTCGTCTCCTGTTGACGTCATCAGGAGCAGGCGCAAAACAAGCGAAACGTTTATAGGGAAGTTTCCAACAAGCTTCGGTATATTGGCTGTCATGAGACGTTGAACCTTCTGGTAAGGAATTCCAAAAAAAATCACATTGCCCACTGGGTCAAAACCTCTGCGGCCCGCTCTTCCGGACATCTGTAAGAGACAGGCACTATTTGAATATTGTAGTTAGAGGGAACATTACCATTGGCCATATGGCTATTTGCCCATAGGCGGTCACAAAACAGAATATATTGATTAAATGTAAAATGAATAGATCAAAAAAATGTGTTGTACTTGTAATGCTTGTTTGCGCTGCTTTACAGGGATCCCACACTGCTGAACCCTAACCAAGTTTCTGTAGGGTTAAGTACCTACTACCGTCGCTCATAGGGACAAAACACTTCCCAGAATCCAAAACACGTTCCAGAATCTTAAGTTGTGTTTTGGATTCTGGAAGTATTTTGGATTCTTGGATGTTTTTTGGTTTCTGGGATGTGTTTTCGATTCTTAGAAGTGTTTTTGTATTCTGGGAAGTTTTTTTGGATTCTGGGACGTGTTTTGGATTCTGGGAAATGTTTTGGATCCAGGGAAGTGATTTTGGATTGTGGGACATGTTTTGGATTCTGGAAAGTGTTTTGTCCTTACGAGCCACCGTAACCTAGGGGTATTCGCCTTACCCTACATTCAATGCCATCAATTCACATGCTAAACACAAAGCATAATCACGTCGGTAACAATTCCTACACCTGGTCAGAGAGAAAACAAAAAGGCTGCCTAAGGCGCACGCGCTACCGCATTCCAACAGGCTGGAAAATACTGCAGGCTACCGTGGAGCTCTACCCCTAGGTAATAAGCGCTGATTGTTAGGATAGAGGCTCTAACAGATATTCCACTTTCATATTCCCTCCTCCCGGCATCGTAACAGCAAAAAAGGCCTCTGCTGACGGGAGAACTGCCTGGGGCTACTAACTGCCGTGATTGTGAATCTTAACAAGAATATTTAAAGCAGCTTGGATGGCTGATGCGACCGTAAGTGTAAGGTAGTGACCATACTGTTTTCTTGCATGAGCTTCTCACTGAGCCTCGTGAGCCCCTCACTGTCTTAGTGCAGCTTAGAGAGGGACAAGGTGAGGTCTTTTGTCAAAGGAAACAGGACGACGGCAAAGATAAGGAATCGAACCACCGACCCTCATTTGTCCTTTAGTCCAGCACGCAAGCCGCTAAACCACCATCATACAAGAGTGGTTATCCATTTAAACATTTTATCGACAAGAGTTTCAATATTCTAACATTCGTGGCCTACTTACTTGTCTGTACATCAAAGAGTTTAAGAACGGAGAATCTCCAGCGAACACAACGGTCTTGCAAGGCATATGGATACCAAGGGCGAGAGTACCTGTAGCCGAGACAACCTACGGATTGAGAATAGCCAAAAGACAATCCTAGGCCAAGAAAGGACCTTTGCATAATATATTCCTACCTCGTAAAGAATTTTAGGATTGAAAAGCTCAATTGCGCCTAATATCTGGTAATGGGGAAGAACTCTTCTGCTAGGTTAGTTATATCACGAACGACTGAATTGTCTACAAAAGAAACACGACGCTGTGAGAGCGTATATTTGGGTATCGATGTACTAGGGATGTGTGAGTAGTGCAGTAGCGTTGTGTATTTTAGATGAGATGAGTGAAGTGGAAGAGGTGGAGATATATTGGACGTGGATTGGTAAGATAATGGTTGTAGTTTGTTAATCACTGAAACTCGTCTCTGGTAGAATTTAATATGAAGTAACAAATAATGTTGTTTTGGAAGGTAAAAGTGATTTTAGGTGTTGCAGTGAAGTAGTTGTGGGAGTGCTTATTTGGTTATGAAGGGATAATGCAGTTACAATCCGTTGAAATGAAGTGGTGGTTGTGAAAGATCCTATCAATAGTCGAAAACATTCATGTTCTTATTTTTAACAGGTAAGGCTATCTGTTTAGGATTGTTTTTCGGTTATTTTTGATAATATTTTTATGGAGAGAACGTGGATTAGGGAAAGTTCGTTTAATAAGGAGAAGGGGGTAAGATGATGTTGCGGGGGGGAACTGAAATTTTGTGTGTGTGTTCGGGGGGCTTTGAAAAATCGGTGAAGTCAAGGGGAAGGGCGTAGAATCTGGTTAGCCAGCCCGGCTCATGTGATCAGGCCCTTACTGTGAGTTGTATTGTCATTTTGCGTGACATCTTCTTTGGCTCTCGACAACTGAGGGCAAAAATATTGTCAAACTCTTGGCAATAAGCCAAGCCCGTCAATTTCAATTATTTTCGACAGATTTGCCGTCAAAATTCTTAAAAATCAAGTGTCCTTACTGTCAGTGAAGAGTCTGTACAATGGAAAAGGGCAATGACCGGTACCTATGGTCCGGAGGAAAAACATTCACGCCGTGTGCTGCGAGGACAACTATTTTCCGAAGGAAAAATTTAAATTATTTAATAGTTTGTTTCACTCAGTGTACCTTGTTTTTTCAATACGTTTGATTTCTATTGCTGATTTGTATGCCGTGCGTTATCTGTGGGACGTATGTAAAGAGGATAAATGCTGTGTCGTAACACATCACGAGGGAGACATTCTAGTCGGGTCGCTTGGCTTATTTACGTTCGCACGTATTGTGTGCCTATTGCAACTTTGAATCAAAACAAGCGATCTCGATCATTCTATTTGGGCGACGCCCAAATAACAAAAAGTAGTGGAGTAATTCTAAAGTATTTTCCAAAATATTTTTTCGATTAGAAATTCGGCTGCTTTTCCTTCAATTAGGTGAGTAGGGCATGTTCAAGTTTGGATTCGTGTTCGAGTTCGAGTTGAAGTTCGAGTTAGACTTCAAGTTGGAATTCGAGTTGAACTTCGAGTTACTTTTCGAGTCATTTTTAGCGATCAAGGGATCTTTTTTAGGACGAATTTTGACGTTGAAGTATTTCTGAGAGGAAATCGAAGCGATTCCGACCCAAAATTCAAAAATATTAGCAAACCAGAGATAAAGATATACTTATATTGTGTCTGACTTCGCAGAGGTTATGAGTGTCAGAAATGCGCTGAATGCGTTTCAGTTCGTAATCTTTCTGCCTGAACCGCGTTTATTTCCCCGAAACTCATCATTTTTAACATTCATCGTAACTTTGACGCAAACTCGAGCGAGGTGTTTTGCAAGACAAATATTTTGAAGTAATTTAGACAGTGTAGAAAAAAATAGTGCAGTGAAACCCCGCCTCAGGCTACGGCCACCTCGTTATTACAGCCACTCTTTTTTGGCCGCCTGGCAAAAACCGCCATACATTTTCTTGTAAAAAAACCCTCGTCAGCACGGCCAATTTTTTTTGGCCCATTGGTGACCATATTAACTGGGTTCCACTGAACAAAAAAAAACAGCAACAACAACGCTTTACAATAATACTACATCAGCAGCTGTGAAAACAGAATCCAAGAAAAAATACATAAAGAACCTCAGTCTCCAGTTTAGAACATACTAATGATCACATTAATCTGCTCTCTCGAGGTTTGCGCATACACGGCCGATAACCAAAGCTAGGCAAAAGTTGACGCTGAATGAGAGAAAGGCTATCACAGAGGTTATACTAATTCTAAAATAAACGTCAAGAAAACGGATAAAGGTACTACCACGGTCATTATGAACAAACTAGATAAAATACTGGAAGGAGAGATCTTATACTAGACGATAGGAACAATTACATACCCCTCGAAAACCCTAAGGCCACTCCGGATTTCAAGTGATGGGGATGATGGAAGGATTTTTGGGGGTTTGAAATCTTAGATTCTGAAAAATAGGCAATAGGCAAGTATTTTTATGGGTGGCTTTATTTAGGTTTGCATTTTTGGTGGTATTTAAAACAATCTGAAAATTTGCGGTGGCGCCCGCGTATGCCCGAATGGCGCAGTTCTGCGAATAAAATACAACCAAACTTGCTTTCGGCTTCAGTTTTTAACTCTTGGAAATTCGGCATGGGATTTTTTGGGGGGTTAATTTTTAGACCAGGGATATTTTTGGGTTTTGTTGGAAGCCCTAGAAGTTTTGGGGGGTTTTGATTTTTGCCCCAATTCGATCATCCCCTTCACTTGAAATCCGGAGTACCCGCCCCCCCCTCCCCCGCCAGATGCCACATTAAAGGGTAAAAAGTCGAACTCGAACTCGAACTCGAATCCAAACTCGATGTTTTGGGATTCCCTTCAATTACTGACAATTAATTTACCGTTCAAAAACCGTATTACGCGTACCAGTTGAGCACAAAGCACAAAAATGGTTCCCAATTATATCTCACCAGTAGTATAGAAGGGACCGAATTTTACAACCTTTTTTTGTGGATTTAATTAATTTTTGGGTGGAATACATTTACGCCGATGACGTCATAGCGTTTTGTCTTTATTACTTCGGTGGAGCGCGAAGTAAAGCATTCGCAACGCTCAGGAATGTCCCAAATTTGCTTTTTTGTGGTGCAAGTTTGGGCACGCAAAGTCCGTAGGTTTTCGGTTTTATTCGGCTATTTGACGAAGTGAGAGCCGAATTAGTTCGAGATATCTCGAGATCACTTGGATTTCTTTGATTTATTCATTAACTAATTCGAGGAAGAAAGAATTGTTATTTTGGCTTTCCCGGGGTTTGAACCGACTCACCTGTTTGACCCGTCAGATCAGAGGAGACTCTAAGTTGAGGAATTAGCCGATTAGATAAGGTCATGTACTATTTTTAGTTGGTTTAACCGGTTTTACGGGTTTTTAGTTATTGTTAGATGAATGACGTCATAACTGTTTCTAACTGTGTACCGTACGAACTGTCAAGATCACAAAGAAATGAAGCACCTTTTGAAGCAAAAGCTAAAAGAACAACTACAAAGAACAAGCCAAACCGCAAGAAACAAAGGAAGTCGAACTGTTGGCTTAGGCTATAGCCCACTTCGGAAAAGAGTGATAGCCTGGGACCCAAACTAAACGCGCGCGTATTTATGGGATTGTTTGGGGCGACAAAGTGAGCAGCCGCCTTGTGTTATGACGAGGCATGCACGTTGTTGTGTGCCTTTGTGCACAAATAACTTCAGGAACTCCCCTGGTCTGACATTCTATAGAATACCAAAGACGAGACGTATCCAGCGAGAATATGTACGTTTGTTTCGGAACGCTAATTTGAAGTTGAACTCCGATAGCACACGGATTTGCATTGTTCTAGTTTTTCTCAAAGTAAAATCTCCCAGGCACATCTTCCTTCAGCTTCACATTTTCATGTTTTTTTGTTCTTTCAATTGCACCTTCCTTTTTGTTATTTTGAGCTGTTTTAACTCTGCTAAAACATTTCAGTCCGCTTTCCGCCATGTTTGTTTACATTCACGTCCCCCCAAATAATCCCATAAATGCGCGCGCGCCTAGCTGGGGTCCCAGGCTATCACTCTTTTCCAAAGTGAACTATAGGGATCTCTATAGGGAAATTGTGTAGACATGCACGGATAATTTATTGAGAACACACGTGATGCACGAAAAAGCGAATAGGTCAGATGCTCACCAAACGCTGAGACTAGACAGAACGGTTTTGTTAATGGCCAATCAAGATTGAAATAAATAGTCTTTTAAGCCCCATTTTGTGTCTGAGGTTTTTTTATATTCGATTTTTTACTCAGTATAGCGAACTGGAACAAATAAGTTTTCATAGCAAAGCGATTGCAAGAAAGACATCGCGTTCGAAATCTGCGCGCTTTTATTTTGAACACATAATAGATTCTACATCAACAATCAGGTGGGTATAGAGCGAGAAAGTCTAGGCAAGCCTATTGTTCCTATTGTAGGATTGGACATTATGATACCCAAGTAAGGATATGACACACATAGTTAAAATGCATTATGACATCATCCGTCAACTAAAAACCTGTAGAACCGGTTAAATCAACTGAAAATAGGACATGGCCTTATCTTAGTGAGATTCCTGCGCATTTTATTCATGAGATAAAGACAAAAGGCTACGACGTCATCGGCGTTCATGTATTCCACACAAAAATTAATTAAATGCACAAATACTACTCTCACCTCACAGCCCTTAGCCGAACATCAGCTGTTTTGTAAAAATAGTCAGTTCTTGCAAATTACCGGTAATGCAAAAAGCTTTATTGAACTGGGAATATCGAACGTAACGTTAAATTCCCTCAAATTAAAATAAACCACTTTTGGTACTTAAAAAGGAGTACACGCCATGAAAATTATATAGAAACTGCGTACACATAGCCACTAAAATTTTAGGTTATAAACTAGAGAATTACATAATTGTTTGTTAACAGTTTTGGTTTATCTATCTTACCTGAAGACATTTCTCCCTAAAGAGCATCTCGACCACCGTGCGAATTTTGTTTTTCATTCCAGCATGGTGAAAGCTTATTCCTCGCCTCAACGCACGCTTGAACGGGCCTCTACTGTGAATTTCCCGTATGCGATGCATTATCTTCATCACCCGCTAAAAATAAAAGACAAAATATAAACTCGCTGAAAAAAACAGTAAACTAAAGAATGAAACAAAAACCAAAAACGCAAGTTACATTTTGCTCCAACAGAATTCGTGCGGTTTATAGAGAAAAATGAAGTGTTATTCGCCCTTAGCTATAAACCTCTTCGATTTTTCGACCCTTTTTTGTACTTCTTTTGTGACCTCTTGCCTCTAATGATGAACTGGTTTGTAAAAGTGGCCACAACGCTAGAGGTGCTTGACTGCGTCAGTCTATGGAGACGACGATGCTGTCAGTTTGTAGTTGACAGACACTTTCAAGAGTCGGAAATCGACAAAAAAACCAACGGTGTAAAAGTCTTTAAAGAAAGGTTAATGAGAGGTAAAAGATCTACATATTTTTGTGTTGGATTTGTAAAAGTTAAGGAAGCAGTTTTGTATATACTTGCAAAAGTTTACCCCAATTAAACTCAAAGGAATAATAACCCGAGTCTTGTTTATACAATTCAACTACTGGCAGGAGCAAATAAACGGGGAACTAACAGAATTTAAACTGAGTCCCACCAAATTTATTACCTGTTTGCCAATTCCATGGGTCACGGACAAAGTACATTGTGGTAGAGGTTCGTCCAAATCTGGCAAATTCTTATCATCTTGTTCTTCTTCTAGTTTATCTCGTTTGCTGCTGGATCTGATGACAGTGGAGATGCAGGGTCACAGTAGGGAGCTGTGTCACGACTTTTATAAAAATTTAATTCTAACGGTAGGAGCTGCTACCAAATTGAGTGAAACATAAAAATAATCGAACAAAACATTAAAAGAAGGTATTAATTTGCCTAGTCCCTGTACGGCGTTTTCCCAGTCCCTCTCGGTCAATTCACTTCGGTGACGTATCCTAGGTAAACGGGCGGGAAACATTTCACTTTCGCAACACATCACATTTTCGCTTGGACCACGTGACCCGAAACGCTTTAGCCGCGGGGAATAATGAGGCCTAGGGACTAGGCAAGGTATTAAAACACAGAAAAATACAAAAGTAGGCGCGAATGGACAAACCTGAAAAAGATTTTAACGGATTTAAAATGTAAGCGGGTTTTTGAAAACGTGATGGCCTAACAGTTTTTCAAAGCTCATTTTTGTTGTTTGTAACGTTTGATATAATGCTTGGGAAGTATATTTGTTCGTGAAGAAGCTATCATTTTGTCATTTACAACTAATTTCACAAGTTCCACAGCGCTGAAGGAAGCGTAATAGGCAAAATTAACAAAATGAGCTATAGACAGCCGTGACACTGCAGCCCCTTTAAGTTACATTTGAACTATGGAATTATTTTTAACGTTACCTTTTCTCCTTCTCCTTTTCCGTTGCATCTCTAGTCCTTTTAGCCTTCTTTTCTGCCTGTGAACGTTTCTTCTCATCAGATTTTCTTGTGCGTTCCCTAATAGCATCTTCTCTGTCTTCAAATTGTTCAGTAAGTATAAACGCCAGCAGTTCACAGAGTCTTCGTTCAAAGCTAATTAACAAAAAAACATAGCATTTTTTATATCTCTATTCATTAGACGCCTCCAGAACGTCATGATCACATTATATAAGGGTCTGTTCTTTACGAATTATCCAGGTTATTTAAAAGATATGTTCATCGTACGGTCTTCATCCTACATTTTGCGCGGAAATCATAACCTGGCCCTTCCCAACCCAAAAACAACGACTTATGGTCTGCACTCTTTTTCATACTTAGCTAGCAAAGTATGGAACTCTCTCCCAGACACTTACAAAACATTAAATTTTCTAGAATTCAAGCAGGAGATCCTCAGATAAGAAGCTTTTCCACAGTAGATTTACAAGTTATATTTCCCTCTGCATGCATAATGTTGTATATAGTTTATAAATAATATTGGAACTGTAATATAGCATATTTTATCTTATTTTAACTTATTTTCTCGAATATATTAGCTCTACAGCTACTCTGTAAATTTCGAGCATAAATAAAGTATATGTATGTATGTATGTATGTATGTATGCATGTATGTATAGCCCTGTTTGCAGTCCCCTACTAATTTTTCCGTAAGATCGTCGACATCAAGCGCTTACTGCAATGGGAATGTAATCATCAATCATCAAGGTTTCAAATGTAATCCGGGAGGCTTATAGTGCCAATGGGGTGGGGGGAGGTTTCTCGCCTTCTTCCCCTCCCCCCCCCCGCCCGAGGTAGACTTGAAGTAGTCTTCCCCAGGTCACACTTTTATGTACTGAAACTAAGATGACCACCCATTACCGTAAGCTCTGGAACTCGACGATCATACATATATAAGTGGTAACAGCTAAATTGGTTCGTGGCATCTTACCTAAACACAAGGGCTGGTAGTTTATCTTGCGCTTTAAGTTGTTCAACCAGTTTTGCATAATTATGCAAGATGACCCGTTTACCTGTCGACCCGATCCCAAGTTCCGACCATTCTCCTTCAATTGAGGTCAATTTCTTTTCGCAGACAGAATTCAGCGACTTAATCACTGACTTCGCCTAGCGAAAAAAATTTTAAAATGAACAAGAAAAAATACTGGGGAATTTACAGTTGCTACAATTAAAACTGCAAAGTGTTAATTAAGACTGTGTTTACTTTGTGGACAAACCCGAACTGTTGAGTTCTTAGGTAGTCGGAGACCCGACAGCACAATGGCTGGCAAAGCCACACGTCAAAAACATAAATCGATATGATCTCAAGAGAGAAGAGAAGCATCCAAAAAAAATAATGATATAGCTATAGTTTTCGGCAAAAAGAGGCAACATGGAAAACATTTCCCTAACATAAGAAGAAGTAGAAGAGGCTTCACGTTTGCTTAGTGAAGATGAGATGGCGATATTGCCTACCAGGCTCAATCAATCCCGAGCGTGCCCATTCCCCCAGCATTTGTCGGGCATTTGTCATTTTTTCTTCGGAAAGCTGGAAATGCCCAACAGTGTGGCCCGGAGAACGTGTTCACTTAGCCCACCCTGGGGACAAAGCAAAAAGTGAACTCGAAGTTTTGAGCTACCAAATCTTTCGTTAATAAGCTCGTGTTTCGGACCTTCTTATGTGCCATAGAGGTTACTTTTATGGAGGTGATAGTGATAGCAAATAAGACGAAATTTTTAAGTGACAAAATTCCCTACTACCGGGTAGACGTTTGATGACAAGAACCCCATCGTAGGAACACAGCACTTGACAAATGCCCGAAAAATGCCTTGAGGGTGGATGGGCACGCTTGGGATTGATTGAGCCATAAGAACCAGCCTTGGCAAGAATCCTAGTACCTCGGTTTAAAACCTCACGACTGATGTCACAAATGTTCACCTGTAACATTTAAACTGATTTATCAATGGCTCACTACAACTATGTAATATCAATTGAGTAACAGATAATTTGGCGATGGTTCACTACAACGATGGGTCGGTAGATAGGTGGATATTTAGATGGGTGGTTCGGTAGAACAGTGGATCGATCGATCTGTGGATATGCATCTGAAATACCTACCGACGAATCCCTGGCTGACACTGGCCAAAATGATCGTGGCTTTGCGTGCTTTTTGGCACCATGTTACAATTTTTCCAAATTTCGGATCCGGCAGAAGAAAAACTAAGAGGCGGCCGATGGACAAAGGAATCTGAAGTGCAGATTCCGTGGGAAAATATAGCTCCGTTAGCTATATACACAAAGATGGCCAAATCCTTACGCCATAAGTGACGTTACTTTATGCGTTCTTCTTTTGGCCGGAATACTAGCCAACGCCAGCTCAGTGATTGAGGAGAAAAGGAAAATTTGCTTGTGGTTGGCTTAGCTCCCTCTGGCATGGAAACACGGCTACACAGGTGTGTGTTGCCATAAATTTTTTTACTTGGAAACCCTAATCGACAAAAATATTAGGCTGACGAAACATTGCCGAATGGCCTCTTCAATCACATTGTAAATTTCCACAAACGAACGGTTAAATAGTTCCTATTTTATGCATCGATAAAGGATATTCCTACCTGAACAAACTTACTTCGACATCCAAGTCAGCTGCAGAAATGTCTCTGAATATGGAACGTATGTTCGAGCTGCATGATGGTGACCACTCACATTCGGTAAAAAGAAGCAAAGGAAAGCGAGTAGACGTTTCAAACGCGCTATTGAATATGGTCACGTTTACCGTACCTCAACGTTTCCTGACCGAAATCTGGTGTCGCAAAGACAGTCGGCTGCCGCAATCTTATTTTGTACCAGGATCGCTGCAACGTGGAGATCGAAGTTATGGAGAAATTCTCGGCAAAAATCCAGGAAAGTACGTTGAAAGGATTAGGACCCTTTTTTTAACAAATTTATACAGAGTATCACGAGCACTTCAAAACATGACCCCCTGAAATGCCCTCAGCAATTCACTGGAATTCACGGTGGCTAATGAAATGATCAAGAACCTATAAAGAAAGGTGCTCATTTCCATACCTAAGCATTATTGTGGATATTTTCCCTAAACTGAACAGTATGGAAGCTGTCCTGATGGATCTGAATCGTTCAAAGTAGTCCAGCACAGCCTCCGGAGGTGATGGAATGGGCGACACTTTCCACGAGTTCGGGGACCTCACTTCTCTCGTGGTCTCGACGAGAATGAACTTTCCTTTACCGCTATCCAACAAATTTGCCAGCAATGCAGGCTAGCAGCTGCCTGCATTATATTTCATTTGAATGATCAACCATCATTTTTTCATTCCCTAGAGTGCCGACGTCCGTGACAATAGTATTCTAGATGAGACTTCATTGAATGATTACATGCAATCGCCAGCCGGCCAGAATAAAAAGCTAGAACTACCTTACTGTACCTTTTTAAACTGTTCTTGGTGATCCGTCCAGGATTTGAACTCCTTCTTCAGTTCCTCCTCGTACTCTCTTACATGCTTTTTGTGAATGAACCTCTTCTCCTTGAAATACTGCTCAGGAGCAAGTCTCTACAAAACGAGATCATTAAGAAAAAAACAATTAAATAAGAGCTTAAACAACTGTTATCAAGTGGATTAAAGAGTTAGAGCGAAATTAAGCGCAGTTTCTTAAACGCACTAGGTCACCTCCATATTATTAGTTTCTCCTTTAACTAGTAACTGCGGTATAGTGTAAACCTGAAATGCTGAAAAAGCGTTTCAAGAAACTTGGAGTGTGGCGGCCTCTGTTGGCTTGATCCATAAATCCTTTGGCTTAAGGAGTCCACATCCAGGAAAGGGAATCGAATTCCTAATTAACGTCCAAACATAACGTGTTAAAAATCGTTTGCAGAGATTTAATCAGAACGAATTATTCACTAACCTTTAAAGATTCTCTATCACGCCAGTGGCTCAGCATGACGTCATAGAGCTGAAGAGTTTCTTTAGGAGAGAGAGAAAAATCACTCGGGAAACCATTCTCCTTAAGCTAAATGGGAAAAAAAAGACATTGGGCTATTACCTATTGAAAGTGTTAAAGGAGACACGGTTAGAATAAGGCTTATAAAATGGTCTATTTAAAAAGGCTCTCAATCATATCGATAATTTTTTCTTTTGGTCTCTCAGGCAAGTTTAATTGAAGCTATGATAATAAGTGCTGCTGGGTTTGAACCTTGTTGAGGTGCTTATTATAGCTATAGCCTTATTTTTATAAAAGAAGCAATTACGTCACGAATTTCAAAGCAATAATCAACATAATATATAACCTGTTTGGCTCCAAGCTGAGCGCAAGGATGAAGGCTAACAAACTCATCTGTTTTCGTAACATCAAACCCATCCTCATATGTCTTTGTTAGTTCAGAGAATCCTCCGTTTTTGGGACTTGGAAGGTAGATGCTCTTTTCAAGATCTGAGTATCGTTCTTTGCAAGTCACTTTTGTTCAAAGGCAAACAAAATTGAGAAATAAATGACTGTGGACCAAACAGCAACAACAACAACGTCAGAGCTTAAATGTCAATCCTGACCGTGGAGCAAGTTTTAGAGTGGAGGGGAAGAAGGGGGGGGGGGGGGGGGGGGAATCCGAGGCCTTAGGGGTGAGCATACAGGTGATAAAATAGCTTAAAACACCATCGACGAGTTTCGCCACGATTAGAGGATGTCGCAGCTCGGCCGGTTGATCTTCTGACGCTTGAAAATCAATCATCACTCATTGACTCGAACCTAAAACACAGAGCTATTCAATTTTGCAGCTGAGACTTCAGGGGCACCTAACGGGAAATTTTGAGAAATAAAACCTAAAAAAAAAACAAAGCATGAATAGAGCTTTCTGAAGCCATTTTAAACATTTTGGGAATTTGCTGGGAAAAATTTATCTGTCCCTCACTCTCACTAATGGAAGCGTTCCAAGCCAGCAAGGACGGTGCACCCACAACCTGCAACCTGACGTTCTGGGAAGTTTCCAAGCAGACGTATGTCCTGACATTAATGGTCACTTTGGGTGTGGTTATAGGGCAAAATTCAGATAGCACATAGCAGCTATGCTCGACATCAAACCCCCTCAGACACCCTGAATTGTCTAATTCCCAGCAACAGTTTCCTTCCACGGACATATTATTTTTTCTAAATCTTCCTGCCAGCATAACTTATTGCCTAAAGAACACATATTTTGAGGAACGGATCCAAGGGGTATCCCTGAGACGTGTTCTGAACATTCTCTCCCTTTTTGTCCTTGCTAAATTCCGTCCTCCGGTTCACGTCATTCGTCTTATCTGCCGTTTCAATTGTTTTATGGCAGTAAGCAGCGTTGGAAGAAAGCGAGAAGAACGGTGTTATTAGCTTAACAAAACCAGCCATTCGGAGAAACCTTGATCCAAAAAGCAAATTATTTCTGAATAGAAACAGAAGCTGTAAACGCCAATAACTTACGAAAGAAAATCTAACCATTTTTTCAGCAACAGACCAAGTGACCCAAGCCTTGCCTTTAAAAGTCTCAAGTAAAAGAAATAAAAAGAACAAAGAAAAGTATTACAAAGATACAAAGGGGGTCAGCATGTCAATGAAAAATTTGCAAATGAAATTAGTTTGTAAGTTATGAATCTGGTGCTCTATGATTTTAAATACACCAGGTGAAACAAGTGTATTTTCCGACCATCTCATAAAGTGCTGGTTGTGTGGGGAGGTGGGGAGGGCAAACCACTCCCCTAACCTCTCCCCCACCGCGTTTGCTGTAATTTTACCCACGATTTTTCGAACTTCCCGAAAATTTGAACCTACACGCAAATTTAAGAGGAAAAATGACGGAAGTTGGTTGTAAGCGAGGTTTAAAAGCCCTTCAGTTTAACATAGCCAAATTTTGGACGATTTCAAGAAAGTAAAACCAGATATACGGGAAGTGTTAAGAATAAGGATATACTGAGAAGAGCTAACTTGTATTAACATGGCGATTTGCTTGTTGTTGTTTGCCTCACCATCAAAGCTTTGCTCATAAAGATTCTTCCTTTTTTTTTGGACCACTGAGGTATTCACTTCTTCCAAAGTAATCAACGCTTTCAAGCGATAGAATTCGTGGACCGACCGTTCCGGAAAAACTCGGCGTCTTTCCAAAGTTTTCTTCACAAAACAAGCATGGCGCTCTTCTCATCCCAAGTTTCCACGGTTTTCGCCATAAACGCCTGGGACCATAACCCCTGTTTTGGCGACCAACGATGAAGAAAATAAAAACTGCTTGCATTTTTTGTCACTGGCTGCTACGCAGAGCTCGAGTAGTAAGATTTTTTAGGCATCCGAAAGCGACTCGAGAACGCGAGTATTTGAAAATAGAAAAGGACAATGCGATGTATGTATTTTTGTAACTTACAAACCGCGGTGTGGTTAGTCCGCCAGAAGACCTCTTTTTAATAAGAAAATCAGAAAACAATATCATCTAGCTACACCTATAGCCGCTAGAGCCCGTATGATTTTCTAATAAACTTCTGACACTATTTAAATCATTTGCCGACATTGCTGCACACTCAACAAAATAACCCAACGCAATTCTCGATGTCAGCTTGAATCGGATGTCGATACTGTTGAAATATTAAAGTTGCCTTCCGCGAACTTAAATTAGGAGGGGCCGCAAGGTATGCTCAACAGACCTTAAGGTCAATAAATTCCCTTAACGTTCTTTGTTGTGTGCTTATAAAACATCCTTAACCAAGGCTACTTCTTCAAGTAGTGAGTACAACAAGCATATGGTGAAAAAAGCATACCTAGCCTGATCCTGTATGATTTCCTTAGCTTCCCACCGTCTTGTTTATCCTGCCGTTCGCGAAAGTCTTGTGCGGCCTGTAACCAGCTGCAATTTTATTGAACAACAACAGTGCCTTTCATTCTTTTTATTTATTTTATCAAGAGATGCGTTATGATTGTTATTCAAGTACTATTTCAGCACTGCTGTGTTTTGCCTTGATCACAGAACTCCAATTGCATTATGTGGCTTTGACACCTTAAGTCATTACAGCCATTCTAAAACGATAAATGAAAGGGAAAAGGACAAAGATATTCACTTATAACTGAAGATGGCTTGATATTGGCAGGGTATCCCAGCTCTTTTATGCGTCTGAAGAGCATAAGAGCCAGTAAATAATATCCAGTCATTTTGACGGAGTATTAGAGCTCTATGAATAAAGGATATATTAAATGACAAAACAAACTGAAAAAATCCTCTTGAACGAAGAAAAGCAAGCACTCTTAAGCGGAATAACCAAGAGCTTCAATGAGCTGCCTTGCTCCAATAAGCGCCCTCCCCTGAATAAGCACCTACCACTAGACCATAACATCAAACAGGCGCACCCCTCCCCTTTCTCTCACTTTCTTAAATAGTAGGGATACGAGGGGAATACGAAGATCTGCTTATCTTTGACGAGGATGATTTCGAGGATGATGAGATAATAGGTGTTTTTAGTAAACATGCATACGGGTGATACCGATATATACTGATTAGTGTAATTTGTATAATTTGACTACGGTACGCCTGATTACAACTACTTTTTCAACAAACATAAGTCTATTAAAGATTCAGCCAAAACAAAGTTACACTTTGAATTCGTTGATGGAAAACTTAACAAGCGCACTCCTTGATTAAGCGCCCTACTTCCCTCCTTTTGGCCGGAACTTTAAATAAGCGCCCGGTCGCTTATTCAAGGAATTACCTTAGGCCAGTCTTTCTTGTTGGGTAGCTAATCAATACACAGGAATCGCGGAACCCGCAATTACACTGATCAATGTACGGTGTATATCGCTTTTGAGAGGAAATGCCAAAAGCATCAAACTTCTTCAATAGATGTTATTCACGATACCCGCCATCTTTGCCCGCGATCTTGGATCGATGGTATAAAAGCTATGTACGTGTTATAGTAATAAATCAAATCAACTGAAAGAACCATAAGCATTGTAATTACTTTCTACTAACTGTTTATATTACACATTCTATGTAATATAACAATTTTCCTTTCATATATATTACCAGGAGCGAATGATAATTTTTGTTCTTTATTTTTGACAACCCGCCTCGATTAGCTATGCTAATTTTGTTCTTTTAAGACGGAATAAAGTGTTGTTGTTGTTGTTGTTGTTGTTGTGTTTCAGGAGGCAAACAAGTGATAAAATTTGCTGATACGAGTAATCGCGGTCGAGTTTGTTTATTCTATGAAACTGAGACGCCAATATCACAGTCATGCAAAATGTATATATCGAGTTTTGGCAAGATTTACGTCATTACTGTTTTCTATGAGGACATCTACGGTCGCTACTGCATACAAAAAAGTAACAATGATCTCTTCCACCCATTTTTTGACACTATCGTCTTTAAGATGAAAAGGACTTCATTTCCTGTCGTCTAGAATAAACAAACTCGACCGCGATTTCTTCCATTGGCAATTGTTTTCACTTGTTTGCCCCCCCTGACAAAAAACCACGTGACATTGCTTTTATCCCATCAGTCCTTAACCGCATGCAAAGATGGCGGGTATCGTAAACAAGGTCCATTCCTCTAACGACACAGTAGCGTAAGGGATTTGATAAGCGGCTATTCGTGATGATGGCATTAACAAGATGCATGAGTTGCATTGGGTGCCTGCAGATACAACTGCGCTGAGGGTATGCAAAAGTGCAAAAATATGTGCCTTCCTACTTTAGTAAATCGTGTGGATTTCCAATGGTCGCTGAAAGCGCCAGAAAAGGACAACGAATCAAGAGAAGGAGATGTTCCCAGACTTCAGCTCCGATTTCCTGACCAAGGCAGTGAACCTGTAAAAGATAAATGGCCTTTTAATGCTTGCCTGAAATAGCGTCTCCAGTTACATGCTAAGTAAATGTCGTATACTATAGCCCTATATCAGTGAAGTATTGGACAGAAACAAAAGACAAAATATGAGCACTAACCACTGAAACACTTAGGCAATATAGACTTTACCTCATCAAAGATTACATATTTGATATTTTTTGTCCAGTCCTGTCTACGAGGCGAGAGAAAGAGAATCTCCAGACACTGAGGAACCGTGACAAGAATCTGAAAACCGAAGATCACTTTTACAATTACGCACTTAAGCAATAGACAATATTCACAAATGGAATAAGTTCTGTAAGACTAATATGAAATATCTGTAAGTCTTGTAAGCGCGAAATTCTTGAAATGCATGCGTAGCTGGCCATGGATATTTGTGTTTGAGAGTTTTTATCGGGTCCGTTGTTAGTTGGTTTGATAAAAGCGTCATTTCCAATTTTCGTTTTAGATCCGAGCAGGGTTATGGGCTCCTGGGCGTAGACAATATTCTGTTTACCGTCGCACCAGGCTTGATCTGCATTCTAATTATTACAGTCAAACCAGGTCAAGCGTACCCCCCAAGAAGCTATTAATGAATTTATTATTCAAAAGTTGAATCCGTTGCTGGTTGTAGATTTCAGATTGATCTCTGCATTCTTGAATGTGTAATGAGCCGTTTATTCACACGCGAGGCAGTTATGAAATTTCTACCAGCTCCATTTTCCTGAAGTTGATGTAAATGTCTTCTAAGAAGCTTAATCTATTCAAAGATTTCCAATCTGACCAAATACAGAGAAGTTCTCGTAAAATATTCACTGCTCATTACGCATGCAGAAATGCCGCTTTGAATTTGACACCAGTTACGGAAACGACTAACGGATTCATTTTTCAAATAATCAATTCACTGATAGAATCTTGGGGGGTACGCTTGACTTGGTTTGACTGTAAGGGTATTACATGACAGATTGACAGCCCTAGATGCAAACGATCCAGACCTCCTCAGTTGAGTAGAGTCACGAAAGAAAAGGATAGCGACCGGATAACAATGTTGAAATGGACTTGTAACAGGGATCACAACAATTACCTGAGAGTTTAAAGTATTGTACTGATAATCTCTAGTGAACACCCCATATACAGCTTTTCCCGCTGGTAGTTTCTTACGATGAAATCGGGCGTAAATTGTGGCGGCAACTTGATTTACTAGAGCCTGTAATAAAAGCGATTTTAGAAGGTAAAAGATTTCAGAAAGATATTAAGCTTAAAGATCAAACTGTAATGCGATTTTCTCAGTCAAAAATTAACACAAAATAAACATTTGTAGTCTGCATCACGTAAAACTCGTAATTTTCTATACGGGACTAGGTCTTGCTTTTTTCGGTGATTTTGTTTCTTATCGTTATTTAGAATGACAACATACCTTTAAACTATGTATTAAATCACATAAGACACTCTTTCGTTAACGAAAGTACTTCTTGCCTCATAAAATATTGATGATTTTTGAGTTTTTACGTCATACCCACATAAAATACCAAATGCAATAGGTTTTAATCTTCCGTTCTTCCCATCCGTGGTCCTTTTTGTCTTTTCTACATTCCTGTGATCATTTCGTAGGTACCGAAATTGTCTAAGTAGCGTGACCCAGCCCCTTTAGAGAAATCGATTTCACAAAATTTATATCAGAAAGAAGAGAAAATGGTGTTATGCAGCCGTATAACTGACTATTATAAAAAAAAAACTAAATCATTGGATAATGCAAGTCTAGAGTTCTGATTGGCTTAGCCATCATGGTATATGAGCCACCATGCTCTCCAAATATGGCAACTGTACGCGCCTGCTCAAAATTAAAAACAAGCTGAAAATGGGTTGTTTTTACAAACAAAGTCGGGAAGAATTCTCGATATTTTGTGGGCGTTTTTAATAAAACAATTATCCCACTCTCACACGCTGGATATGAGATGATTACAGCCAACTTGATGGTTATCTCGATCATCTCATATCCAACGCAAATTAAACTCGTGGAATAATTGTTAAATATCGCATTTCTCCTTCCGACGACGGGCTTTACCGTCAAACGGGACATCACTATCAGATTTTCAAGTCATGAAAGCGAGCCACGAGGCCTGCTCGGCCCCACGCTATAACATGACAGTTAAAGGAGTTCTTCCTTCCCTCTCTGTCTCCAACATAATCATATAGGATGACGGGTGTGGATTCAACGTTGCTTGGATAATATTCTTTTGTATCTGAGTTTTTCAGCTTTGATTAAATAAACGGCCCGCCTGTGGACAAATTCGTCAAATTCAGCCAGTAAAGGATATTTCATTACTTCGTGTCCCAGCAAACAGAGCTCGAACTAATCAGCATTTCCTCCAGCATCCTTAAGACTTACATGCAAAGTAACATAAAGCATTAAGTAATATTTTTTGCAAAGACAATATACAAAGACAATCACACTAAGCAGTCAGATTTCAACCAAGCACATGCCGCGGGCGCCAAGCGTGATAAAACGCGTGTGAGCGTGCGATTGGTTATTTGGTTTTAATTGATTTGTTACAAATTAAAAAGGCGCTATATTTTTTAGCAAATCTTGAAGCGTAGCAATACACACGAATATTAAATAACGAATTGAGTTATGGCAGTTTACTTTTTGAAAACTTCCTTGTGTCTATGCACGATACCTTTGTGGGAGAAACATAAACCACTACCCCACTATTGCTCTCCCTCAGAACTTTTTCCATGCAATAATAAGAGGCGTAAGTCTTTCCTGATGACGTAGGAGCTATTATCACCGCTGACTCATTATTATCCACAGCATCAAGAAGCTCTCGCTAAAATTTGTAATTGAGATTTACAAGAAATTCCAGTTAGCAGGGCAGCGCTAATCTTATGGCATCTATGTCGGACAACAGCCCACGTTCGATATTAAAATTCCAACATGACTCCGAGGCTTTCTGGTCATTTTTCTGTATTTGGTTTGGTTTTCTTTTTGCTCAAGTCTCTTCTGGGAATTATGGGACAATGGAGTCGTGAACTATTTGCAATTTTGTCCCTAAAGCCTCGGAGTCATGTTAGAATTTTAATATATCGAGCGTGGACTATTGAAAGCGTTTAAATGAGAAGCATACGTATCTCCAAGTAGGAAATTCTTGGTCTCTCCAATCCAAAGCAAGAGGGTCCTTCTGCTTGGGTGTCAGTAAGACACCGACCCAGGATCGTGGTGGAGGTCTATTTTCCTTTTTTTATATTCCAAAAGACAACTAGACCTCGACCACGATCCTGGGTCGGTGTCTTACTGGCACCCAAGAAGAGGGCCCCTCTTGTGTTTGAATTGGAGATACGAAGACTTTCCTACTTGGAGATACGTATGACTCTCACATAAACGCTAACCTCGACCACAAGTTGCTCCAAAATTTCTAAAAATTTGCTCCAAAATTCCACAAAAGTTGCCTGAAGTTGCTCCATTTTTCTAAATAGCTGCTCAAAAGTTACTCGTCAATACAGCCATTTTTGCCTTTTTTCACAGGACAGGTACCGCTGGTGAAGTCAATTTCAAACCTCTACCTTTTGCTTTTTTTAATAAACGCATCTACCGTGGGTGACGTTCAAATTTACAACAACTGTGTGGTTCATTTGTTTCCCTACAAAATCAAAGTACAATAACATTTAACACAGACAAATATATTGACGGAGGCAAAATGAACAAGATATGTCTTTATCTTATAACAATGTCTTTTTCATAGTCCTTCTCTTGATATTATCGAGAAACTGTATTCACCACATTGTTTGAGCAGACCTTAAATCAGCCAGTGTCATTTATGTAAACAGGAAGTTGTGAGACATCAACCCTTTCAGATCAAAATGTTTTTTCTCTTTAGCTTTCATTGTAACGCAGCATTACAGTCTTTACAGGTGTTTCAACGGTTTCTTCAAGTGCATTCTCCTTTTCTGAAAGAGTCGTTTTCATTTGAGGCAGAGAGGTGGAGAGGGAAATTTGTTCCTTGGAACTATACATGAGAAATTTCGATGTTTGTCACCATTTTCGAAAAACATGGTCTTATTTGCGAACCGCTGACCTCTTAAAGTGGGTAGTCCAACTGAGAGGGGAGGGCGTAGGGCACAAGGTTGAGAACTGAATTTTCGAAGCAAACAAACTAATTTCTAATCAGCGTAAAAGTGGTAAAAACATACTTGCCACGTGTCAGGAATGAAGTGGTCTACCCGACTGTCGGGATCAGTTCGCTCTTCCCTCTTCAATAAATGTCCCATGTGTTCTAGTTGGAATCTTGCACTTGTTGTGTTAAGTGACAGCTTTCCAGCCTACATAATTAGAAATGCGCTTTACGTACATACATTTCTATATAGTTCTTTGAAACTGACTAAATAATAATGTGCGCCAAAATTGTAATAACGTAGTTAATGATTAAAAGCTCAGTTCTAAATATTTTATCTATTTTTTTTATTTATTTGTTGTTTAGTCACTGACATAACATAACAACAGGTGTTAATTAAAATAAAAGTTAATATGACAAGGAAACCTAAACTGAGAAGCTGGGAGCTTATATCAATAGGCTTCCTTGCTAGATTACTAATTACTTACTTGAGTGCAGAGTGTCTTATGAAGAATTAAGGAGATCGAGGAGGGTGTTATCCGTCGAGGCAGTAGGCCGAGGCAGATAACACCCTCCGAGATCTCCATAATTCTTCATATGATACGAAAGCCGAATTCAATAATTGTTTTATTATTCATTCAAAATAATTCCTATTTTAAGGTGGCTGTACTGGATTTTTTGAGGGTGATACCTCCCAAGTTTGAGCATTAACTACGTCGGCATGAGTAAAGATATGGAAGAAAGGTTACCACAACTGTATTATATAAAGATGAAAATTTCTCATGATCTGGGTTTTATTGCAATCGGAGTCGCCATGGCAACGTAATGACGCCATTACGTTTTCCATTTATCGTTGTGTTTCTCTGTACCAGGAATTTTTTGAGAATATCGCTTAAGGGAGTATGTACCTGCCATAATTTCCTCCATTATGGCAAAGTTTGAAGAAATTCTATTAGAGCGTTTTCAAGATATTCCGAAATTTAGTTCCCACGACTTGATTACAGTATTTCCGTAACAAGAGGAACATTAACATTAATTTTCTTTTGCCTTGGATGAAAAATCATAAAGTTCGTTTTGGTCGAATAGAGAGATAGCTTATTCGCCAAGTAATAATTTTGCAAGTTCATTGTTAAAAATAGAAACAAGGTGGTCGGTATCCTTCTGGGAACAAAATATATTTGTCTCATCAGCAAACAGTAAAGATTGAGTCAGGCTAGAGACATCAGGAAGAGGTCCAAGGATTGAGCCCTGTGGGACGCCACATGAAATTTTCCTATAGTAAGATCGATGGGCTCCAAACTGGACAAATTGAGTCCGATCCTCAAGATAGCTTTTGATCCACGACAAAGCAGTGTCCCGAATACCATTGTGTTGCAGATTGTGGCACAAGATTTTATCATTAATGGTATCAAACGCCTTAGATAGCTCTTAGAAGATGCCTAAAGTTGATTCATTTCTGTCGATAGCTGAAGATATATCGCTCATTAAATCGATTAAAGCTAATGCAGTCGCATGATTATTACGTAATCCCAATTGTTTCGAGTATAAAATATTATGCAAGTTTAAAAAACTCAGTCATTCGGTTAAACAGGACTTAAATAGGAATTAAATAGGGCCTCAAATATAGCCAATTTTTCCCCCACATTTTGTGTTTACAAGCGAGCGTCCTCACTATTCACTGGCATTGTTTTCAAGTTTCATATACACGTGCACATTTAGCAAAAAGATAGAATTTTGTATGAGCGAATTTTGCGGCTAGCATGCTATTTCACTGCTTTGATGGTTCTTAAAACTGCGTTTCAAAATATTTCGAAAACGCTCCATAGAATTTCTTCAAACTTTGCCATAATGGAGGCAATTATGGCAGGTACATACTCCCTTAAGCAATTTCTTCAAAAAACTCGTGGTACAGAGAAACACAACGATAAATGAAAAACGTAATGGCGTCATTACGTTGCCATGGCGACTCCGATTGCAATAAAACCCAGATCAACAGAAATTTTCATCTTTATATAATACAGTTGTGGTAACCTTTTTTCCATATCTTTACTCATGCCGACGTAGTTAATGCTCAAACTTGGGAGGTATCAACCCCAAAAAATCCAGTCGAGCCACCTTAAAACAAAGCCAAAACATGCTTACCTCCATCGATGTTAAGTTCACCTTCGATAGTGCACGTTTAGGTTTGTCCAGCTCCGCAAATATTCTCCAAATAGCGGATGTCGCCATTTGAGTCTTGTTTTTGCTGTTCTTGTCATGTATTTAGCTATAATTTCGCCTAGTTCTTACTCTGGAAACGAGTGAAATGTCCGCCAGTTTTTGTTTTCACAACCAAATCAACTCAATCTCGTCCCCAGGTCTTCTCGGTTAACGGTGCATTAACCTGCAAGAACGCTGCATTTTTGACGTCATTTCCTCGTTAAACACAAAATTCTTCCAAATTTGGTCATCAGTAACTGGTTATGGTGAATTATGCGTGTGCTTTTAGCCAATCAGAATCGGGGAAATATTTTGAATGAATAATAGCACTTATTAAGCGACAGAACGACTATCAATGAGATAATTTTTCAGATTCTTTTTAATAAAACAAATATGGAAGAAGAGCAGGTTAGTGAAAATGGCCTCGAATTCCACATTGTTGGTCCTCAATGAAAGTACGATAGAAAACTGAACAGTTGTCGGCAGAGGCTACTTTTTGCACGCCAGCTCATACAGCGAAAATGTAGCCTCTGCTCACAAGGTACCTTCATCGAGGACCAACTACTTAAAAAGAGGTTACGAAAGCTACTAGGCAGAAGATTATGGTGATAGGAATACATAAATGCTATATATCTCAAGGACTTTTAGTTAGCTAAATAATGGGGCGGTATTTGTTAGATAGTGAGCTTTTGCTTTAAGCCGCGCTATGTACTTTTGCAAAAGGTAAATACTGCTTAGATTAGAGCAGTAGGTGGAGGACCAGGTAACATTAGAGAATGTTAGGTAGGGATATACTAGAGAGTAATAAAAGGTTAGCAACGTTTTGGATGATAGATAAAAGCGAGCTCTCGCAGTGATCCCCACAGTTTTCGAGATCTTTTAAAAAACAAAACTAATATGAGATTTCCAGGAAAGGTGCTGATCAATAATAACACTTAAGAATTTAGTTCCCACGACTTGATTACAGTATTTCCGTAACAAGAGGAACATTAACATTAATTTTCTTTTGCCTTGGATGAAAAATCATAAAGTTCGTTTTGGTCGAATAGAGAGATAGCTTATTCGCCAAGTAATAATTTTGCAAGTTCATTGTTAAAAATAGAAACAAGGTGGTCGGTATCCTTATGGGAACAAAATATATTTGTCTCATCAGCAAACAGTAAAGATTGAGTCAGGCTAGAGACATCAGGAAGAGGTCTAAGGATTGAGCCCTGTGGGACGCCACATGAAATTTTCCTATAGTAAGATCGATGGGCTCCAAACTGGACAAATTGAGTCCGATCCTCAAGATAGCTTTTGATCCACGACAAAGCAGTGTCCCGAATACCATTGTGTTGCAGATTGTGGCACAAGATTTTATCATTAATGGTATCAAACGCCTTAGATAGCTCTTAGAAGATGCCTAAAGTTGATTCATTTCTGTCGATAGCTGAAGATATATCGCTCATTAAATCGATTAAAGCTAATGCAGTCGCATGATTATTACGTAATCCCAATTGTTTCGAGTATAAAATATTATGCAAGTTTAAAAAACTCAGTCATTCGGTTAAACAGGACTTTCTCAAAACGTTTGGAAAAAGCTGGAAGAATTGATATTGGTCTGTAGTCGCTAAAAAGTGTTGGATCATGTGCCTTAAAAACCGGAATTACTTTAGCGACTTTGAGAGATCCGGGAAACACACCAGTAGACAACGAAAGGTTCATTATCGATACAAGAGGTTGAACAATATTTTGAAAAGACTGGTGAATTATGTCCATGGATATAATATCATATCCAGTAGGCTTGTTAGCCCTAAATGATTTAATCGTCGTCGACCGTTAGTGGTTGCAGCGAAATGGATTCAGAAAGAGAGCGGCTCAAGAAATCGCTGGGCGATGAATATCTGGGCGAGATTTTACTTGACAAATTCGGCCCGATGTTGGTAAAATAACTAAAGAAGTTATTTGCAATGCCAACTGGATTACTGATTTTCACTCCGTTTTTGAAGAAGCTTGCAGGATATGGTGCTTTAACAACTCGCCTGTTGTTCACTTCATTAAGAATTTTCCAAGTTTGCTTTAAGTTAGATCTAGCTATGTCTAATTATTTGTTATAATAATTTCTCCTAGCTACACGAATGAGACAAATTAATTTCTTTTTAAATTTCTTGCAGTTGGATTCACGCTCATGAGAAGGTCTTTTAAGAATAATTGATAAATTCTAGACTTGGTTTTAATAGATTTCAAGAGTCCAGCTGTGAGCCAAGGGTTACGCAGTTTTCAGGCTTTTTCCTCGACAGAACTTTAATGGAATGCTTTTGTTGTAAAATTCAGTATATTCTCGCAGGAACTCAATATTGGAATAGCGGAAGCGGAAATCTCTGAGAGACCTTTAATTTGAAACCTATTTGGCCGGTATTTCTCCATGGCATTTTTTGTTTTTCAATCTTTACTTACTAACCTTTCTGTCAGTTTCTCGATTCAGCTTGTAAAACATGGCTGCGATGTCTTCAAATCCAAGTTTTTGCATGTATCCTGCCATTTTCTTCTTGTCTTTGTCGGTAAGAAGAACTTCAAATTCTTCTGTTATTTTCTGGACGCTTTCCATAAGAAGAACTGGATATTTCATGTCATTTGAAATGGCATCACGGGAGCCTAAAATAACGGTATGATAGAAAATTTTGGAGTTTTATAAAACGTAGTTTACGGAGATATTAGAAGCAGCTAATTTGACAATGTCTCTGATAAGAAAACATTAAACACAGAGAGTTTAAACAGACTGTAGTCACAGTCGGCAGTAACAAACTTGATGCTATTTTCCTCTATCTTCTATTACCTCCTGGATGGTGCGATCCTGTAATGATGAAAAAATAAATGAAAAAGAAAAAAAGAAAACAAAAAAAGGAGGAAAGGGTGTCGAAAGAAACTTACGCGTATCTTGCCAGGCATCCAGACAACTCTGTGCTTTTTTCATAAGAGCTTGAAGACTGAACTCACGTGATTCACAATCTGTCAAAAATTTGTCAAGAACCTGCAAGGCAGTACTGTAGTTATCCCTCTTCAGGTTTTTGTCGATTTCCACCATAACATGTGTCCATTTTTCTTTGACTTTTTCCTGCTGTTGTTCTGTAAACAGTGAAGATTTTTCTGATTTCAAATGAAATGTCTACCTCTAACTCACCAGTCTCAAGGTCAGGGGCACCCAACGGCAATTTTCGGGAAAATATCTGTTCGGAAGACGATTTGAGATCTAGAATTTTCGGAGCATTTGTTGTAAAATTTCTTGCTTGCCTGCCTCTCCTAGGATTTTCGAACATCGACAAAATGGTATAATTATCCATTTTTAACGGATTTTGACCCTTAAAAAGGCCACCTAGGATTTTCGGGAGCCTTTTCCTGGCTGAAGTTTTCGAGAAGGTAAGTTTTTATCCCTATAATTTTCGGATCACTAGACTTTCAGCTAGGAAATCCGAACAGATGAAAAGTTTTTAGGGGATAAAAGTATGCCTATATCTACCGTTTGAATACTAAACTACTTTCAACAATGCTATGTTAAGTGGTTTTGAACTATATCCTCGTTGGGTGCCCCTGCAAGGTGGAGCTCGCCTTCATGAAAACTAACCTTAACAGACTTAAGCTATAGCATTTTGCAGGGGAAAAAGCGGATTACATGTATTCTTTAGACATAGACAAAATTAGTTGTATGGAGGGGAGCCTCAACATAGTGACTAAACCTGTTTGAATGTTGTAATTAATAGACATTTTCTAAGATATTACAAACAAGCAACTATATGGTTGTTTTTCATTAGTCAACTTTGTCAACCAACTCAAAACTCTTAAAACTCCGTCTTTCTACTGTCACAACTCAAACCTCTGTCAAAACTGTATTCCAGTGCTTCAAAAGCGAACTATAAGAAAAATCGTTAAATCTTTTTAGGGCGACCGTACCTATCCAATATAGACCCTCTTTATTTTACCGTTACTCGACCATCTTCAAAAAAAATTTCTGTTAAAGTGTCATGCTATGGTTCTAATGCTAGGAATGCCAGTCATTTCCAGCTATATAGAAACAACACAATGAAAATGGGACATCATCAAAAGCAAACTATAAACAATTGTTGCTCGGTCCTAATTCCTCTGCTTTTTTCGAACAGCCGCGTTGACAAGGCCAACAGCAACGGCTATAACCACCGCCTAATCACGAGAGCAGCTGAACTGGGAGTAGAGACTATTGATCACTGCCCAATGATCTTACCATTGTTTTAAGGACCCTGGTTCGTTCGGAAAGAGTTCAATTTCGCGACCCCAGTTAGCTCTATCAACTGAGCAAGCTAGGCAATGACGCCAAGCCCTTTCGTTGGCTGGTCAATTCACCATTTAGCCAGAAGCACCTACCTTTACGCTTTCGCTTATTATCTTCAATGATTTTCGCTGCTTTCGAGCTCTGAAAAACGAAAGGATCTCATTCTATTCATTGATTTTAAAACGCCCCTAATTAAAATCTGTAAAATCAAATTTTACAACGTACAAGGTGATTACACAAGCAGAACAAGGGTAATTGTTGTTAACGGGTAGAGGGGATGATGATCATTCTCTCTTGCCTTAATGGGGGCAGAAGAGACACTTACATTATCTCTAATTTATACAAAAATATTTTAAAATGAAAGGAATAGAAAAACTCATGCGTAGCCTGTAGTATTAAAGAAATGACACGGTTGACAATCAATTTTTTCTATGTTGAGTTACTAAAACTAGTCCTAATGACACGTTAGTTTAATTGATATTTCTCAAGCTCACGTTCATCTTGCAACTCACCATTTTTGCTGTTTTATCTTTCCCTTTTTTCTTCTTAGTCTCAGTTTCCGTTACTGTGATTGTTTTCGCACGATCAACACCATCAGAAAGGGAATCTCCATAAAGTCGGTGAAAACGCGCAAATTCTTGCTTTCTTTTGAAATACCAAAATCGTTTCTTTGGATCATCTGGAGGTTTCTCTGGTCACAAAATCAGACATAACAGATAAGGTGCCAGTCCGACAGAATATTGACAACAATTGAGTGTTAAATGTTCCTTTCCATATACCTCTTATTGGTATATAGATAAACAAATTATCTTATTATTGTGTTTTTCTTAATAAACTTTGGATACAACATTGTTAATGAATCTTGAGTCGTTTTAATTTTAAAAGCGCCGAATAGGTCTCTGTTTCAATTCGTCTTGACGACTTTGCACAGGTTACACACCCTCGAGTCTGTCTCCACATTCTGTTTTTCGAGCTTGGATTCTTTTTGTGACGGTAATTAAAAGGGACATTTTTATAAAGTTTGTGTCACAATAACTGGATTTTTTACTCAATAGTAGAAGTGCAGTCTATTTCAACAGCTTTAATTGCTGGCAGGGGCGGATCCAGGATTTTTTCAAAGAGGGATTTGTAAGTTTGAGAGTTCAATGCAAATGTCCCAGGGCCAAGGGAATGGGGAGGGGAAAGGGTGGGAATGGGGGAGGGTGGGGAGGCTTAGGGTTAGGGTTATGTTTGAATATGTATATTTTCTTCATTTTCATTTCAGAGGGATTTGAGGCACTATTAGCAATCAAATGGTGATAGGACTGAGTGAAGTACAATCCAGGGAGTGATCGGCGAGTAATTTCACGCGCGAGGCCGATTTGAAATTACGAGCCCGATCACCCCTGAATTGTATGACACGAAGTCCTATCACCGATTAATTGTCTCAATAACAAAATGCGAGAATCTCAGTCAGGAATATTTATTAACGTAAATAAACGTCACTGTACCAGTTAGTTTCATCCATTTTTCTTTTCCAGTTGAAGCTGGATAGCTTACCTGGTCATTGATTTGATTGGTTATCATGCGCTATGTGGTCAAATTTCATCGGCCGATTACAAGCTCCTGGTAATCGGACAGGTCAAATCGGACACTTTTGGCGTTACAACAGCAAAATTAAGCTATAAATATGGGCTGTTAAGAACCAATCAGATTCAAGCATTTTGTTATTGACACAATTATTAAGAGTACAGTGAAGCAACGATAGTTGTTTGTCTCTTTTTTACCCGCCTATTTAATCAAACAGACTCGCTTAAAAGAGCCGTCTTAGATGAACCTTTACAACGGCTTCGAATATCTCGTCTACCTCGAATTTCTGGGAGTAGTACATATCACTGCGAAATCAGAAAATTGCTCCATTGTTGACCTAGAGCAGGTCTTGATGCATTTTATCAGTGAAAAAAACAGCTCAGCTTCTGCATTTGTGATCGGTAGGGTGCAGGCACTGACCAGAAGGCGGTAGATGTTTTGGAAAGCATCTTCATTGCAAACACCAAGTGCTAATAATAAGGTTGTTTGGAAGCTCCCAATCTGTTGACTGCCAGAGTATTTTCCATCTACGTACCTAATTTCCAAGGGATTTTAGAACTGGAATTGAATTGGAATGTCTTTCTCCCGGAACAGCATGCCTTTCAATTCATCCGATTCAGCTGCAGTGCCTTATTTGCTATAATCGATGGGACGAGACAAAGCAGGTGGCGCGGGCGTGGCGATCTTCGTCAGAAAATCGATCTTGCATTTGGATAATTAAAGTGTCTTGTAATGATCGATTGGACTGGGACTTATATTATATCATATAATATTATTTTTGATATGAAAACGGGATAGACATAGGTAACCAGACAAGCTTGAAAACGTCCCAAAGGGGGAGTTGCCACCCCCTCAACCCTCCCCCCTCTGGATCCGCCTCTGGCTGGTATTTTAAACGTCAATTCAAAATGTTCATCATTAGTCAGCAACATAAATTTGCATCCAGGATACGTTCGACTAAATGTGTGCAACGGACGATGATTTTGTATTGGTACAAACTGTTTTAGCTAGTCCTCTTATTTTCTGTACTCATACCTTGGTAACAATACCTAGTATCGAAAACTATGATTACTTTTTTGCCTTTTCTTGCCACTCCCGCGACCTCGTTTCTGACTAACGACTCCGTCGCGTACAATATGAGTGAATGAAAATTCTGCTGTTTGATTTTTGCTAGATATAGCAATGCTCTGCCGTTTTCATTTCACCTGGCCGACTCCGTTAAAAGTGAAATCCAGAAAACCAAGCACATGGATCAAGCAGTGTGATTGTCCTTTTTTTATGCTGTTTCTTGCCCCGCCAATTTGTGTATCTGGTGTGTTCTAGTTGATATTTTCTCTTTCGGAAGCCCTACATTTCATTGTAAGATGAATAAGTAGTTTCATAGATACGTGGTAGACTTTCTGTGCTCTGCCTTTGTGACAACTGCCCGCCTTAACTAGTCTTTTTTTTCGTCCACCTGCGTATGAAGACCTCTTTTTCTATAACGTTCACGGGATCCTATTAGTCTGAAAGCAACTACAGTGGTCAATGAAGAACCGATCATGTCAGCTATAGTTTCCTATACAGTATTTCTGTTGTCCATGGTCTTCATATGACAGGGCGATTTAAAGTTAAAGGCGAGAATCTATAGCCGACGCTTTCTATTACACTAGTAGGTACAGTTCAATGTTAAAGAGAAACCCTTTCAATTCATTTAACCTTCTTTTTTGGCCAGAAGTCAGCTTGTCACCTCAAAACGTACCTTTGATGTCACTTTTAGTTCTGTCATAATCATCTGAAAGCGGTCTAAGCGAATGCCAGTGGTAGAGTTCATCAAATGCACGACCTTCGTAGAACACTGTGTCGTCTACATCGTCTCTAAAAAAGACAAGGAAGAAAATACCCACATGAACTCTCATCAAACGTGATAGGAGGCAGATAATACGTTTGCAAAATCATAAGATATAATTTGGGGACAGAGAATGCACAATGAACTCGCCGTTACACCTACCCGGCTATATCGTTGATCTTTGACCGCATGTTGCCGGCGTACTCACTCACAAGAGCATTTTTCACCTCAAGGAGCCGCGTTAGTTTAACACTGGGTTCTGATTCGGCATATTCGTCTAAAAACGAATGAAATATATATAACGCAAAACGCTAGAAAATGACACTTTTTGACACTTTATTTAGGTGTTAAATAATCTTCCGTTATTCGAGGTTATTAGTATAGCGGTATTGTTTTTCTTTCTCATACGGAAAGAACTCCACCTCACGATGTCAGGTAACAAAAGACTTCACCAAAACTGTGCGCCGGTGTGTTACTGTACAACTAGTTTTTCTTCTTCCTCATTAATATGCACTATTCATGAACCGACAATCAAATAAATTCTTGAAACCAAGACAACATGCCCTGAAGTCACCGATGTTTATGTATTTGTCCTCAAAAAGAGGACTAACCTGGGTATTTTATATTGTTTACAGGGCCAAAAGTTGAATTTCAGTTAGCTTAAACTAAACCGCTTAGGTATTGCCTAGAAGGCTGGGTCTCCAGCTTCGAAAACTGCTCTCACCTCTAGTTGCAAGACGTTCTTCCGCAATGTCAGCCAAAAAAGGAAGAAACTGATTGGATAAAACGTCAGAGTGTTGAGTGCAGGTAGTTTTCACAGCAGTAATAACTATACCCCATGCAGTTTCTGCCTCTTCTGTGACGTCTTTGTGTAAGCTATCCGCTGAGATGAATTGCAAATGGCAAAATTAAATAAGAGAGGCCAACGCGAAGGGAAAAAACTTGCAAAATTTAAAATAGAAACGATAACTTCTTCTATTTGAAACCTTTTATTCCTTCCAATCCTAAGGCCAGGGAAAAGAGAGTATGAACAAGCCGACCGTCCATTAGATCAGCGACCGAAGTCATGTCTAGGGAATGGCTGGCAGCGGTCATGGAGGGGTACTCATCCTGTATGACCTTTAAAATTTCCCACAAACATTTGTGTATCTGTTAGGGAAATATAAGTACAAGGACTTAAAACAACACGATATAACATTTTCTCATGAGAAATCACAGCAAGTACTCAGAACATCGAAGAGGTCCCGAGTTGAAATCTCGGCCTGAATTGAGCTATTCATTTTTTGCTCCACCTTTTTGCTTGCTTTTTAGTACAGCGTTTTCATACCATGTACCTGATCAGCAACACAGGTCGACCCATTCAGATTACATGGCGTGACAAAGACGTTAATTTTATAGATTCGCCCTTTCTTTAATGGCTATCCAGATGAGTACCTTTTACTAGCAGAGACGTGATAAACTATCGCCTCAGTTTAAGTATTCTCAACCTTTTTGTCACACTTACCTCATCGAAGTTGTAAAATTGACCATCCTGTGTTTCACAGAATGTGGTCAACAAGCAACCTTCAATTAAGGTATGCGCTCTGTACTTCAACGGCAGTTTCTTCAGTAGTAGAGAATGTAGCAGGAAAAGTTTGACTCTGTCTTCTGCAGTTTTCGCTGCTTCCTATATGTACCACACAATATTTATAAACTGCATATCTATTATATCACGCTAAATAAGAACTTAATGTGTAATATATCAAAAACGGCGTTCATATTTTGTTTTCCATTCTTATTAACAGTTTTCACTCACAAGATCTCAAACGGCCTAAATGTTATGTTAAACCCCTAAAACGTACGCGTGCTGCTGGATCAGTTGCAAAGTACTGCTAACGGATCCTTTTCAACTATTTATCAGTATAAATTTGTCATAGACCTCCGCATTCTCCTAGTTTTCTTTTTCCTTTACTTTTTAATCTGACTTCCTCAACCAGCGTGTGGTCGTTCTACAATAACATAGCGCATCGCGGTCATGATTTCTTTGTTTTATAGCGTGCACTTTACAGTGAAAGCCGGTCAAGGTTTAGTTTTATATTGTAATACTATTGAGTTCATTTCTCGCTTCAATATCACGCTCGCCGGTTGAAGAATTGAAAATTCAAAACAACTGAAACAAGGCTCGATTAAAAACTCGAGTTTTGATAGTATTGTGAGATCATCGAATCATCGAAGCGGAACGAAGCAACTGAACAAAGCTCTAGATTCCCGTGAGCATTATATTCATGGGAGATTACCTCCCCCTACCCAATAGGGTGATGCATCGCAAGCCAGCCGAAGCGGCTTCTTTAGGTCATACTGAATGGACCAGCAAGGGAGAATCTTGTATCTGCTTTTCATTCAACGCACTCCTTCGTCCACTTACAAGGTGTCTAACCTTTTGCAAAAGGTCATGAAGGGGATGCAGCGTAGTTGCCCTTTTTGGCAGAAACATTGCCATAATAGTTGAGGAGTCTCAGACGAATGTCGTTTTTGTCAATCCAGTGTCCAGGAACTCGAGTTCCAGCTGGAAGAAAATGCACTTGGCAGGATTCAACCTGATGCCGTGTTCTTGTAGGCTCCCAAAATCCTCCGCTAAAATTGCCAAATGTGCCTCCTGAAATCTACCAAACGGCATGCCTCGAACTTTACCCTTGGCGGAAGATGATCCATAATTCTCTGAAAAATAGCTGGTGCACTGGAGACCCCAAATGGCCGGTACAAATTGTGTGTGTTAATGGTTAGGTACTTCTAAGAATCTACATCGAGCTCAACTTTCTGATATGGCTGATAAGTCAGTCTTGCTAAATACTTCTCCCCCAGCCCATGTCGCTAACAAATCGTCTGTATTATGTAAAGGGTACTGGTCTATATCAGCATATTTTTATTAGCTATCAACTTGTATTCGCCACACACTCTCAGTGAATAATCTTTCTCAGGAACCAACGCCACTCGGGCAGGCCAGTCACTTTGGCTCACCTTGTAAATGACCCCTTCTTTCTCCAGTCTCTGAAGCTCCTGCTCCACCTTCTCTTTAAGGTCATATGGAAGTGGTCTTACTTTCATGACAATGGGTTGTGCACCTTCTCAAACCTGAAAGGAGGCAACCGCTGGATGTGTCCATAACCTTTTTCAAACAGGGCGTCATACTTGGCGAGGATACCCACAATGTGAGACACTGTGGACCAATGCGGTTTTAATTTCTCAAGCCAGTTCCGTCTAAGCAACAGAGGGTTTTCGCCTTGAGCCACCACCAGAGTTGCTCTTCAAAGCTACTTGAATTTCCTCCAATAAGGGCAATGGCTTACTAGAATAGATTTTCAAGTGAAACTGCATTGACTGCAATTTGAGATGCTTAAAAGACTACTTATATTTCACCCCAGAGACAACGGACGCCGCTGATCCAGTGTCAACGTCTATGCTGACTGTTTTGGTCAAAAAATAACGGACTTATAAAACCTGATCCATCCTACGCCTGTCCTTTAGATTTCCCAGTCAGAGTCCAAATTTCTCCCCAGTCGAACTCAAATGTAAACCAGACTTTTGATAACGCATGAATTGTACCTTCCCTCTACTACCACTCATTGTAGCAAGGTGGCCCCTTAAGTCAGTGACACTCGTAACATTGATTCAACTTGGCCCGTGCAGCACCCGAACGTTTAGGGGCTAACAAATGCCGCTGGACTATCTGCTCCAATCAGCGCAAAAACCGTAGCAACTTCATAGTCCGCCTCGACGTAATTCGTAACAAAAACAGTCCTACACGTACGATATGGATTGCAATATCTTATTTACCATCCATATTCTCTTCTACCTGACCTACAAGCACCAGAATTGTGACATTAGGGTCTAAAACTGCAACAAGAACCGAATCATGCGCTACACGTACTTTTAAGGTCAACCGTACATGTGCGAAACCCGCTGAAAATACAAGAGATCTGGAACCTAAAATATTATAAAAATAATCAAGATCAAATTTTAGTCTTTCTAGGAACGCTTGATGAACGGGTTTCACTGTAAGGGTACTTCAATAAGTTGACTGATATACAACTTCACTTACGGCTCCAACCAACTGATAGGCCAGTTTCGAATTATCACAATTCATACTTGGCCCCGAGGCTGAGGGGTATAAAACAAAAGAATGAAATGTTCATCCTTGAATCTCAATGTCATTTCTTTTGTTTGATGCCTTTCAGCTTCGGAGCCAAAGATGAATTTCAATAATTCGAAACTGGCCTATTCAGGTACCTTGCTGACATTAGGGTCACTGAAAATTTTATTGAGGAGCATTTCACAACCAAGCAAGGTTGCTAGCTCACGGCATCCTCTCTGATGTGGAGATTGAAGAGCGCATTTTACTTTCTCCCTCGGGTCAAACTGCAACATAAAAGATTCCCTTTTGAAAGGTTCTGGTTAGATTATACAAAAATTAGAATCTTCAAAGTTTTCTTTCCTACCTGATAACTCTTCAAAGAGGGTCTAAAAACAGAACTGAATGCACTTAGGTCTTAAAGTAATTAAGTCACAGAAGCTAAGAAAACGTCAGTTCCTCAGATTGTTATTAAACTAACAAAAAGTATTATTAATAGCATTAACTCCTACCTAATTTTGCCTTGACTAATAATCGAACGCGCAAAATTTAACATTAAAACAGTTCTAATTGATTATATTTCCTAACGTTGACTGCGGCAATTACAACGTTTCCCATCTCCGCCATCGACCATCACGATCTGAAAAAATCCTTACGGTTTTCCGTGTAAATAGTTAGACTGTTATTGTAAACTGGTACTCCCTCACCTAAACTGACCCCTATGACCCCGAGTGTTTGTTGCATTTCTTGGGTCTGATACTTCACAGTGAGTTGAATTCCTACCAACAAGGATAAAGGCTCACCAGAATAGATTTTCATGTACGTTGGCTGCGATTTAATATTTTTGATCTATCCAAGAGATACTGGATACTGCTGATCTAGTGTCAACTTACATGCTGACTGTTTTACTAAAAAAAAAAAACTGGACTTGAAAACCGGGTCCACCCTAGGCCTGTCCTTTAGAAGTTTCCCAGTCAGAGTCCAAATTGCTCCCCTTTGGTACTCAAATGTAAACCAGACCTAAATAATGCATGGATTGCACCTTGAGTTCCCTTTCTCATCACACATCTTAGCAAGGTGGCCCTTATAATGTCAGTGACACACTGTTAGACTGTTATCCTAAACTGGTGCTCCCTCACCCAAACTGACCCCTATGACCCTGAATGTTTTCAAGCCCCTTTTCATAAAGTGAGTGAGTCCTTATTTGGTAATCCATACCTGTGTTAATAGAGAGGTTCCTGGAGCCATATGGTCGTCACTGGACCCTTCCTTGCGAAAATATTCCATCAAACCAAGCCATGCTTTCCACAAAGGCTCTGATAACTACCGAAACAAAATCTTTGTTAACACACATTGAAGTTAATGACGTCTAAATCTCCACTTACAAGAGCCCACAAATATCTTTTGCCTTTTCCGGAGATAGGTTGGCAAAGAACATTAAAAGTATTTTTGTCTTCCTTTCAGAATCTGTAAGACGCGGTTATAATAACGATGCGAAATTTCCCAATACGTTTATGGAGGGATGCAAGAAGACGACGAAAAATTTTCCTCTATCTTTTTGTAGTCAATGGATGCTTTTCGTGAAAAGGTCGCCTAAGTTTTCAAAATTGAGCAAGTTCCAACACTCAGGGTATATTTCAAACTTGGCATAAATGACTCGGCGTCTGTTTAGTGAATCTGCAGTCTATTCCGGCTAACTCTATTTTTTTCAAGAAAATTAAATTACCCTTCAAAATTGTCAGGGGCTTATTTACGTCTTGTTTTAGAACCGACGTTTGTTCGGGCTACGGCGTTTAATGGAGAAATTTCGTTTGGAGTTTAAGATACTACGACGACGGCGGCGGCGAACACGTCACTCAAAAAGTGACTTTGCGCGTTCTATGAAACTTCAGCGTGATTTTCCCAACTTATTCAGTTTGTCAATTATAGGCAAACTTCCCTGAAATTGGATTCCTAAGAAAATATCTAGGTTTAAAGAGATAACGAAAATTGTCGTCACTTACACTGAAAATTGAAAAGATCTGTTTCAGTTCCAAAGTGTTAATTCAGCCCTACAGGCTAAAGTCTGATTCAGCCCTTCCTGGAACCATTTGAGCACAATTTAGGCCAAAAAAGCTCTATCAAAAGGCTATTCCAGCCCATGGTAGGGCCCATTTCAGCCCTGGGACTAAATCAGCCCTAGCTAATTGGACTGTATTGGCCCTGATTTAAGGGAGCCAAATTAGACTCAAAAATAGGACTGTATTTTACTCACCGAAACGGCTCTATTTTTAGGGCTAAAACAGATCTTTCTGATTTAGAGTGTATCTACGTTCTCTATAAGTTGTTAAATTGGCAATTTCATGTCGTAGCCATGCAGTGACGGGAAAGAAATGTTCAAACGAGAGTGCTGCACGTGCAGAGTTGTCGTTTTGCTAATCTTAACCTCTTGCTTTTTGACGTTCTCCTTTCCGTCGATCGCCGTCGTGACATCTTAAACTCCTTAATACAACTGTAACAGGGCTAGATTACCGCTTGTCTACCTGTAGTTAAAACACCATATATTTGCTCCAGATCCTTAGCTTTTTGTTGCTTCCCGTCATGTTCTAATGTTACCACTTTAAAAATGGTTGTATCTCACTGTTTTTGTATATTATTCAGTGAACCTGAACAAGCACTACCTTTTTGAACTGTGATCTGTGCTCGGGTAGAGACTCCATGTAATATCCCATCACTTTAGTGGCAGTCATTTCAATACCAGAAATGAATACACAATTCAAACCCTGGCCGAGACTGTAAAAAAGAAGACTTCTGAACAAGAATTGCAATCGGTTGCGCATTTTCTCCCCAGTAGTTTCACAAGGAATTTTTTCCGCGTCTGTTAGCAACAGAAAAGCGGGAAGTTTGTCATCAACATAATCTCTCCATTGCTTTCCTAAGAAGTGATCTATTGAGGTGACAACGGTAAAAGCTGTATTGTACTTTAGGTGCAGAATAAGGGCTTGGCGGGCTAACAGCATGGACGGCTGGCCTCTCCAGATAATCTCCATGTCTTTAAAGAACACGATATGGAAAACGCCCCCTAAATAAAGTAAACTGGGTTAGAAATCTGTCAAGTCGATTGCAATTTCTTTTATCAAGGCAGACGAGATCCCATGATAAAGCTTGGTGTATATGCCGCAAGAAAATTACTTTGTGCAAGTACCAATCTGGCCAATTGCTTTATATCCTCCATACAGATCTGGCTCTGAAGAACACTAGCTGTATCAATGGAACTTACTAGAACTACTCTTCTGTCGTGGTGCCAGTCTTGCAATCATTTTGCATGGGCACTCATTTGCTTTAAGACAGGTACATTCTAATTAAGTTAGAGTTCCATATCAGATAATTGTGACGGTGTCACTATAAGTGTGTAACCCAGTCTCTTGTAACATGAGTACCCATTTCTTATGGTTCTTCATAAACAAAATCTGAAGGATGACCTCCTTCTTAATTTCAAAGCCTCGTTTGGAAAGGAACGGTCGATGCTTTTCATTCAGGGAACAGATATACTTAAGGACATTTCCTAGTTTTAACTACCTGGATAAAGTCGTATACATCTTTAAATTGCATGAACCGGTCAACGCACCGACAGTAAGAAGAATATGTTTTATTTGTTTTTCCAGTCAAACAGTCCCATTTAAGACACTATGTAATTAGACTAACCTTTATCTGTAAAATACTGTAAAAATCGTTCCACTAGATACGTCAGATGGAGGAATTGCCCGCCATTACTCCAGTCCAAGCGCCTCTCTCCAAAAAGGTCCAGCAGCAAGGAATCGCCGTCGATTAGGAAAATCTCCGCGTCCACAAAATCCGTCATGATATTGACTCGCCTTAAAAACGAATCAAAGGCTCAAGGCTGACAAAATAATAGCTTAACGCTTGGGAAGTTGATGCCTAAATGAAGTGAGCACTGATACCTTTAATTTGCATCAGTCCTATCAACGTGCATGTTAAAACTAATAAAGGCATCTTTCACTGAATTTCTTTTTGTGAAATACTGAATGATTAACAGTGTTCAATCTAGGCCGCGTTTTTGCGTCATTGATGCGGAATATTCTATTCTGACGCAAAATGAAATTATCTTGGAGTCATTCTGACGCAAAAAAAAGAAGTTACCTCATATGTAAGTACTTCCAAAGTAGCAGGCAATAATAGAAGTAAATTTTGAAAAGTAGGTGAGCTTACAATTGAGCCCGAAATGAGCACTCGAAATGGCTGTCATTTCAGGCAACGTGACGCGTAGCGCGTGGTTTTGGGTGAGGCGTTCCACGCAATTCCAGGAGAGACTGGAGCGTACATTTCTACTTTCTGTATACGTTGCTTTACTGATCGATTCACGCTTCATTAGTTAACTTTGTTCTTTTGTTTTCGTTTCATTATGCAACGACATCAAAAGCTAAGTTCATTTTTTACGCTAAAGAAAATGACAGTAGGAACCAGAAAAGCATGCTGATAAACTGGATAAGGATGGCGGTGAATCTGGAGAAGTCAGTTCGGTGACGTCAGTTGTTTAAAATTTCAATATCATAGTTTGAACAAGACCATTTTTGAAATGACCCAATTTAAAATGCCAAGTGGTATATATGACCCATTTTGACTAATTTCTAGATTGAACACTGGACTAAAAGTACAATTGCGACACATGGGGTGGCGCACCCTTCAATTAACAATGCAGCGCTTGACATTTGTCAATACTGACAAGCCTGATTGGAAAGGGAAGTAGACCTTAAACAGTATCTCTTGTTACGCTTCTTTCGCTTTTCTAATCGTTTTTTGACAAACCTCACCCCAAAAAAAAAAAAAAAGGAAAGAAAAATATGTAGCACCGAATTATCGGCGAATGAGAAAACATATATAAATAAAGCACTGCCCACAAATGAAAATAAGACAAACAGGCACAGCTTTTTACACTGGTATTTTAAACACACCTCCTCTGGACACCACGGTCATATTGTATACATAATTCGGCAGCCCTCTTTTCTTTTTGAGGAAGATGTAAACGCTATATGCACGTTTCGACAAAATCTCATTTGAAGCTAACTTGTATACTTACAATGGCGCTACCCTGTGCCCGTAGAAGCGTTCATTGATTGAATAAACGAATTTAGAGATATTAAAAGGTGCTCTCCGAGGTCTATCAACATCTGGTTTATTGCCAGTCCCTTCTGATTCTTCGGAGTCTTCACCTATAGAAAAATTAAAAGGCACAATTGTGGTCGATACATAAAGATCGAGTTTAGGGGTTGGATTAGGGGATCGTTCACTTCTCCACCTATGTCCCTAAACCCCGCCACCTCCACCCCCCTTGCAAAAGCCTTTACTGCACACAGTTAGATTGTAGTCTGTTTACTAGTCATTGTCTTGTCTCGCCCACGAAACAACTATCACTGGACGTGGTCTATTAGTTTGGAGCTTCCAAATAGCCATAGAATAGAAATTAAACCAAGGATATCTCCTATTCATCAATTTTCTGTCGCGAGCAAAGGTGTGGTCTAGCTCTTAAAAGTCTAAAGACCTGTGGTTCTAGGCCTAGTTCAGCACTTTGTACTTGTGCAAATTTGAAGAACAAAAGTGAAAAAGCTTTTTGATAGTACGTCCAAAAAATGACAAGTTTAGTGACGGATTTTTAAAACGGAATTCGATTCGCTAGTTGCTATGTTTCTTTTGACTTTTTTCTTCCAGTTACTTGATCAACCCGTGGTAACTAAAGTTAATTTTTTTAATCTATTCTTCAATACCAAAATTTCTCGTAAATCGAGACTGTAAAACAAAATTATTTGTATTCTTGTCACGCGGTAGTCTCGACACAATTTTTCTTATACATAATTGTTATATTTGTTGGCAACTTACTTTCTTCCAAAAGTTCTGGCTCACTCTCCTCGAAAAGGTCATTCTCGTCATCGGACTCTGCCTCATCATGTTCATAATCATTTTCGAATTCGCTTGTATCTAGAACAAATTTTTTTATTTAGTAAAAAAAGGCCTCTTACATCGATGAGAAGTGGGAAGGTAACTAGCAAGGCAGAGAGATTGTCCATAAAAGCTGAAAAATTGCCTATTCGCGACGCCTTGTACCGCTTCTAAGACCAGACAGCTTAAAATTGGCTCGTTTAGTTGCAACTCAAAATACTGACCCAAACAAACCCAAACGGTCTTATGATGAGGTTCGTGTGGAGAACCGAATTACCTGACCATTAGAATTCCTTGGCTGTTTTCACACTAAAAAACCAATGAAGGAATAACAAAATAATAATTACCAGTAATACTAAAATAATGAAATAGTTAAAATAATAATTACTGAAGAAGGAATAATATAACTGGTGTTGGATTTCTTCTTTTTCCAAATAACAGCGCGCTCCAGTCTAAGGATTCAAACGCCACACATTGCAAAGGGGAAAGTCCTGTTTGATTCAGTCAATTCTAAGCGTACCCACCCTGCGGACAAGTTTGTCATTTTTTTCTGAAAGCTAAAAAGTAGGCGTGGTTACACTAACCTTGTAACCTATGGGTAAAAGGCTGTCACCCACGGGGAAGCAACTTTTTGTGTCTGACCGATTTTCCCAAGGTGAAATTGCTTCGGGGATATTTCCATGGATACGTCAAAAAGAACAAAAGAATTAGCCATGACAGTTAACGACGGAGTCGGAGTCGGAATCGTACGCGAAGTCGCTTATGAGCTTGTGAAAATCAAAAATCGGAGTCGTAAGCAGTCCTAGGCGCGACGGAATCGGAGTCGGAAGAATAAGAACGTTTCCATTTTCTTCCAATTCCGCTTATGACCTTGTCGTTTGCGATGTAGTGAAAACCAGATAGGTAGCAGAAGCGTTCCCACGGTCTGTGATTGGTTTAAATCTTCTGCTTCTGCCTTGCGACTCCTACACTCTTGCTTTCACTTGATCGTAAACGACGGAGTCGTATGCGGAATCACAACGCTGTTTTCACTAGACCGTAAAGTCCTACGCTTCTGATTACGACTCCGACTCCGTCGCAAGTGACAACCAGCCTTTGGTCGGTTTTATACCTACCGTCACTTGAATCTTCACCAATGTCCGATCCAAGGCTGAAAGCAACATCAGACTCGTTATCAGAACTGTAATCCTCACCCCTTTCGGCCATTCTGAATCAAAAGGGGATAAATATTTGATCACTCTTATGATTACAGACGGAATTGGACTTCACTCAGTCCTAGAACTCATTATTAATGAAACTGTAACAAAATTTCCCGATCGGATTTGCTTGACAACCCTAATATGGCTACAACAGTAAGGGCGCTCTGATTGGCTGCTGAGCGGGCAAGATTTCCTTGTAATGATGACCGGGCATTATTAGCTAGGTGTCCAGGGCATATACAATCTCTGTTCAACTCGATGGTGGACATCCATCTTATGGTCAATTTACAGCTGTCAAAAGGGGTATCCGCTGAAGTGAGCAACTCATTGAGGCGCTGTGTTTCTAAAGTGATCTGCTGACCAGTTATTGGTTTTAACTGATCGCACGCTCAATTAATTACATCTGGTGTTTTACGTCAATAGCGCTAAAAAGGCCATATAACAAACAACTTATTAACCTCGTCCGTTCGGCCATTACAGGGAAATCTTAGACCTCGGCCTTGATGCATTGACCGAGTGTGTAATGACCTCACTGTCCTGCTAGCAGGGTGGCCTGTCACACACACAGGTAAAAGGTACGAAGAGTCAAGGAAAGTAATAAGCGGTCGAGCTAATTAATAATATTTGTAATGAAGATAATATCATTAGTGCTAGGCCACCGGACTATTTCTAGCTGGATAGATGACTATTCCTTCGCTCGAAGCCATTCGCTTTTGAGGTTTCCGTTGTATGTAAACAGTACTAAAAATATAGGTAACAAGCGATTTGCCTCGGAAGAAAGGCACACCATCGTTGGAAATAAACATTAAATAGTTATTTATCTGTTTAGCTCCCTTTAACTTCTTTCACATTATTATTTCGTTTTTGCACTTAAAATTTGGTAAATGTTTTCCCCGACTTTGCCACATGCGAAACTCTTGCCTAAACACTCATGAAAACGAATTAAAAAGACGGGAAGGGTTGAGTTGGAAAACTCAGTCTACGTTCTCCTGGAAAAATGCTAGCAACGCCCAGGCAAGTGATCGCTTGTGCTAGTCGCTAATTGAGGCGATAGGCGTTTTACCTAGAAACTAGAATCTCCGAAAGGCGGATTTAACTGGGCTGCCATGGCGATTTCTTTCTGAGGGGAGGCTCGGGCTTCAATAAAACCTTGCCCAATATAAAACCCAGCAATACACGGGGTAGAGATGATCGATAGACAAAAATCTCTAACCTGACTAATCTAATCTAGTCGGAAATTTCAAAAATTATTATCGTTCTACACTTATAAAATGTGACAAGGTCAATTTTGGTGTTTTAATTACTTTTTAACAGTAATTTTCTGTTTCTTAAAAATCGCAAAAAAACTTTCAGTTTTGTTTCTGTCGGAAGTGAATATGGTTCTATTTTACGGCGCGATCTACAAATAGCTTATTCCTGTCTTTCAAGGAAAGACTTTTCGTACGCAGGAGTTAAAACCCTACATGTACTTTACCTCCTCACATTTACAGTGTACGTATTCATTAAAAAAGGTATGCATGTTAAAACGAGCAGTGGACTTTCAAAGTTTATAGAAACTCGCCAATGCTACAGCTGAATGCTAACATCAGTCGTGCTTGTTGAATTGGCGATCATGCAAAAATTTGATGATACAGGTACTTACAAAAGCAAAATCTCTAGGTCACATTAAAAACAACTGTAAGCTCAGAATGCTAAGTCACCAAACCTTTTACTAGTATAGTAAGTTGGTATTTGAAGCTTCCGGTGACGCTTTGCCGCTTATTTGCCAATGAGGCTATGAGATCAACTTCTCAAAGTTCCTGTTTTCGTCGGACGAGTCTTCTTTATCTGAAGACGGACAATCAGGCAACGCTCTCTGGGTTACTAGCGGAGCAGCATGGTTAAGAAAATGTGGTAGCCCACCCATCCGAGAAATACTGCTAATCACGTGACCGTACGTCCGACCGACCGACCGACCGTTCGCACCGTAGGTTTACCAATGTAAAATAACTCAATGAACAGGTATGGCAACCCAAATGAAACTTGAGGTTATTTTGGCGGGAAATCGGGAGAAAATTTATCAGAATTGCTTTTTGGTCTGATGGAGTTGATTGGCTCGACGCGTCCAAAGTTCGACATCTGACCCAGCAGACGATCTTAACTTGGAAGCCATTTTCACAAGTAGGCAACCTCGTGAGAAATTAAAGTGTTTGTGTCGAATAATTTCCGTAAAACGGCTGTTCCAAAAAAAGTATGAATTGTAAACTAAAGCTACACAGCAACGGATTTTACTAACAAATTTTGGGGGACGTACTTAACTGTGCTTAAATTTCTCCAGACGCTTGCTTTAGATTTTCCATATATTGGCCTGCAATTTTTCCCGGGAAATTTTAGTCGGCTGGAAGTGAAATTTTAACAGACAAATGTATAGAAAATTTTAAAAAGTGGTTCTAGCGCATGTAGCCGCCTGTAACGCCTTCAAATTTTTCCGGTAGAATTGTTAGGAGTGAAGCTTTAGTTTACAATTCATATTTTTTTCAGAACAACCGTATTACGGAATTATTCGACATTAGATTCTCATACAAACACTGTAATTTCTCACGCGGTTGCCTACTCATCAAGATGGCTTCCAAAACCCTGACAAGGTCCATTTAGGTCGACCCAAATTAGAGTTTGGTTCTTGTCATAAAAAGATCGACGTTTGGCCTAGGCCTTACAAGTTGCATCAACAGCTTTGTCGCGTCTGATGGCAAATCCGCTCCGTTTATTCCTTGCTACATCTTTACTAAAAATTTTTAATTAATTCATCGCGAACAGTGTGGCGAGTTCACTTTCTACTGACATCTTAAACTGAAAAGAGTCGAATTTTAAGTTTTGTAACCTTTCACCATCTGAGTCAACAGTTTTCACTTTACGTTCTTAACCTCGCATAAATGTCGATCGTTGCGGCGAGATCGATCAAAAAGTATATTACTCTCCTCCCAGACACTTTCGTTGTATGGCTTACCTCAGGATAAAATTATAACTGCCTTTGATTTGAATCCGAGTCTCACTTCTTCTTTAGTCCGGAGGAATAAACTCCTGTGTTCATGATCAACGAAAAAATTAGCCAAACCACGAAACTACCTCTGTGGAGGAGAAGCTAATCACAGTGAAGAAGAGAAAAAAGTTTATTTGCATACTGGTGCTTTCCCAGAAATTCGAGCACGTTTTTACACCTAACATTTCCGAGAATAAAAATCAAGCCCTTGTAGGCCTAGATACAAATATCACGAAAATTCGCCTAAATATGTTTCCGGAAATTCCAGATTTTTTTTTCTAATGATCTTGAAATTGTTTTCTAAATATCTGGAAAAATTTCTAAATATCTCAAAATCGTACTACAAAATGTCTGGCTTCATTTCATAAATACTAGTAATAATTGCAGATTAGGGAAGTGCGTTCGATGATGAGGTGGGTGAAGGGGGTGAGGAGTGGGTAGTGAGTGGTAGTGGGAAGAGGGTGCAAAACGTGACGGGCTTGTAATATTGAGAAATCAAAATCAAACACTTTTATCAATACGAATATCAGCAGCTGTCTTTATCAGTGTCATTGTTTATCCTCCCACTTAACAATTCGTTACTATTTCATCTTTCCTCAAAAATGCAAGAGCGTACTCTACTTTTTAAATTTACTTGCTAAACCTCTAAGTAAAGTACACGTAAGTAACAACAGGTCAAACACTGACTATGATCCTCAGGATATTCTTTTGCACTGTAGGATGGTCAATAAAATTGGCTAAAAATTGGGATACAGCGTCGCGTATCACTTTAAACCCTTGTTGCGTGACACTAGACTAACACGACTCACCTTGTTAGCACTGTTTTCAAAATACAACGCACCGGGAATTAGTGAGATAAAAGGGTCAACGTTTCACTATTCAACTTCTTGTACATTTTTCAATATGGTGACAAACAAGAGCAAATACAACGCTGTAAATAGCTTTTAAAAGCGAAAAGATGTAATTTGAAATAGAATTACATCTGGTCGATCTAAGCAGATCTTGCTTGAATACAGTGGACAGAACACATTGTTAGCATAATATCTACATATCCGATTATTAGAATGAAAATTTTCCTATATAAAAAAAACTTAATTGAAAACTGCGAGAAAAATTATAAACAAACCTGTAGTAAACAGAAAATCGCCAAAGTTTCATCTAAGGAGTGTCACAAAATAGATACCAGCTCCCGGACGCGAGGCAAAATCCAAGATGGCGTCCAAATTTTAATACCAAATCGCGTGGCTTAAGGAACGGTTACTACATCATGTACGGTACAAGAATAGTAAGCGTTCTCCTTCGTGAACGCAATTACAGTAAAAACGCAAAAAAAAAGTGCCTGTCATCTAAAATGGCAACACAAATATCAGCAAATTTCAGGAAATTATGTTCTTGTACAGCTTACAACAAAACTCTAAACAATTAATCCCACATAAAGTCAGCCTTATTTACAGTACCCTCAGCCTCCAAGAAGACTAGGGTACTGCACCGTTTAATACAGGCAGAGTTCGTGTAAGCCAGTTACGTGCTGGAGGTCTAAAGTGGTCTAAAAGGGACACCACTTCCTAGTTTGTGGGTGTCTCGGAGGGTACGTCATTAGCCATTTTATTGAATATTAGCCACATTGCATATATCATAAATGGAGAATATTGCTGAGATTTGTTTGAATTTCTGTTACTGAAATGCCCATGCCGTAATTAGCATTGGGCGCGGGTGTGGGTAAATGTCGTGGGTAGAAAAAAAGTATAAAAAGGAAAAAAATAAACAGAACAAAAGGTTTTAAAATTCAAGACACGAAAATGTCCGCCTACACACCAGTCCCATTCCAAAGCAAACAAGCGAATCATTAGAGCAAACGGACACTAAGAGGGCATTTAGGAGAAAAATTAAGTACTGTGCACTATGTAACACGTGTAAACACCTGAAGCAGGCTAAACGAAAAATCGGGGACTGAACTGCTCTTTCTTAAAGATGTCAAAATTCAAGGCTGAAACGTCTTTTCAGTTTAAGGAAGTCAATGATATTCAATCATTACAGCAAAGATTTTGTACTCAAAACAAAACAAAACAAAACAAATCCATTCCCGTACGTGTCGTCATTCTGTATCACACACCTCTTGTTTTTAAACCGCTTTGTTTGCAATTAACGATTGACAATATCTGGACAAAGCATTGGTCAGTGTGAAGTCATATGGCTATAAAAACGAAAAAAAAAAACTTCTTTCAGGCGATGAGATTTAAAGTCGCGCCTTGACTTGAAACGTTGAGCATGAAGGTGGTTTCCTCGTATGCGACCTCAATCCAGAAAAAATTAAATACCTCAAAATTGTCCTTTTTTCTGTGACCACTCTTTTCGCCAATGAGTCTTTTCGCTAACGTGTCAGGTCAAACAAACTGGTGCTTGACTTGGTCAAAATGTTTAGCGATTATAGTGGATCACTCGAAATCCAGAAAGTATCGGCTGAAGAATTTCACAAGGAAAAAGTTCAAAGCAAAAAAGAAAAAGCGCCAAAGTCTTAAGCCTTTGTAAAGCCGCCCCCTCCTCTCAAACAAAATCGGGGAGAGTGACTTCTTCCCGATTGTTTTTTCCTTGTTTGTTTTTTTTAGGGTTGGGGGCGGCCAACGGTTGATCTTTAAACTGAGACTCTTTGCGTTTATTTGCAGATTGTGTTTTCAGTAAGTGAGGGGATCTTTTTCCGATCTTCCACTCCCCTTGCCCACGGTGATCGCGTTCCTTCGAGCTAAAAGTAATCTCTGCTGACCACTGGAATTGTAGATCTCAGCGAGTCGGAGAATGCAAATTTCACTGGGTCGACTTATCAGTTGATAATAGGCATTTCTCATTCCTCTTCCCGCTTTAATACTCACACTTCATACTTGACAAAAACAGCTGCACAGATGTTTTTCGTTTAGCCTGCTTGAGGACTGGCGCGTACTCGTAGATCTTCGTTTCGTGAATTTTACAACTTTCTGTTCTTTTTTTTTCTTTTTATACTTTTTTTTCACCCACGGCATTTACCCACAACTACGACCCACACTCACGACCCACACGCACTACCCACACCCACTACCCACGACCCCTACCCACTACCAACGACATTTAGCTACACTCTGTACTTGTTGATCCCGCAAAAACTCGTTCCCAGACACTGCGATCCCATTGGTCGGCATCGAGGACCGAAGACAATTCAATCTCCCGCATAGATCGGCTTCCGTATCTTTTTTTGTTGATTTGATTTGTTTAAACAGTAAACAGTAAAGCCCGGCTCCGTTCAAAAATAAACTGCAGCACATTTTCGAATCCGAAAATTTTAGGTTTCCTTTTTTCTACGAAAAATAGCCTAACCTGCGGAATGAAATGTGAAAAATTAAACTTTAGAAAATCGTAGGGAATTTATCAGTTAAGCTTCGAAAATTGTACATTAATGGAACAGTCTTCCTAGAAATTTTCAGCCGCCTCAAGCAGAAGAAAATTCTCGGCAACATCTGCTTCTCCGAACAGATATTTTGCCGAAAAAAGTCGCTGGCTAACCGTGGCTAAGGTGATCAACTATTAGGCCTGCCATTACCCCTGCGGCAGTTTCAGTCTTTTCCTTAATCAATTATGCCCAGCAACCTAAGACAAAGATTAGAAAGATAAAAGCGGCCATGATAGCCACTTCTGGCAGGATGGCCACACAAAGTCGTGGTAAGAAGAAAGTCAAGGAAACTAGGAAGGGGTCAAGCTTATCAGTAATATTGGTAATGAAAACAATAATATTATCACTGCGAGGCCGCCTTACTATTTCTGAATGGGTTGCTCGAAGCTATTCGCGGCTTTTGAGATTTTCGTAAGCGATTTGCCTCGATTTCGCGCCCTCAAATCGAGGCCCCTGATAATCGATTCAGGAAGAAAGGCACACCATTGTTGGAAATAACAGTAAATACCGTATAGAACATTCAGCCGTCGACATAACGGGTTGAGGAAAATTCCTTCCTGGAGAACTTATGGCGGGGAAATTCTGTTTCGTGTAAAAAGCCACGTTTTTGCAAAGGCGAAGACCATGAGAAGAGTTGGAAAGCATGGCTGGGTGTTTAGCTACCTTTACTCCAGTACGCGAGAGCGTCTCTGAGAAAATCTCGAAGATACATAAAAAAAAACAAAGAAACAAACAAACAAACAAAAAATAGAAAAACAAAGCAAAGGAAAAAACAAATAAGGGATAGTTGAAAAACGGCGCAATTTAGCTGTTTAACTCCCCTTTTACTTATTTCAGATGTTTGTTTTGCCCTCAAAATTTCGGGAATGTTTTTTAGCCGATTTTCACACAGCGAATGAAAACGATTTGGTAGACGGAATAGACTCAGTCTGCGTACCCCTAGAAAAATTCTATGCTGGTTGAACCGCGATTTGCCTGCACAAGTTTGCTTATAGAAATAATTGTTCTAAAACTACCGGTGCGGGGCGAATGCGTCAACAACTGGTCAAGGGTACTTGACCGTCACGCGTTTTGTCAATGACCAAGATTTTTGTTCTCCATGCCATCTGTTGCCATACTCCTCAACCACTCTTCTTCCACATGCGCTTTGGCTCAGTCCGGCATCACTGATTTCATTTTCCAATAGAAAATATAATTACTTATGTGCAATTCGTTCAAGATATCACGATTTTAAATCAACAGGTGCTAGTTTTAAACGCCTATTACCGGGGCCTAGCCGAAGGCTGGCACCGGTCATAAAATGCAACGCGTTTCTGTGTTTTCAAAGTTACGTTTTAGGGATATATCGCTGACTGAGATATATCGCTGGCTCGTTAATTTGGGAGTGTTCGCTGAGATATATCGCTGGTTCAGAAATTTGAAGTAGAGAGCAACAACTGTAACCATGTAAATATTAATTAATTCGATTAGTTTGCACACGGAATGGTTTAATGCGACTATATTTAACACTTATCAATAAGTGAGATTCCTGTCTATTGCAAAATATTGTTACAGTATTCATCCTAGCGATGACAAAGCTTGGTCGACATAGAACTGTGTACACTACGACAAAGCAAAAATCTGAACTTATTAAACTTGCATGCACCAAGCTTTGTTTATGCGTTTCAATACCTTACAATTCGCACTCCCTACAGGAAACTTCGTCAAATATTTTCCGACAAAATTAAAACTCATTAGGAGGAAGTCTATCACTGCTTTGACTTATGAAGCAACAAAACAAAATATTTTCAAATAACCTTAAATTCCCAACTGTTCAAAATGCGGGATTCCCTAACATTTTGTCTTTTCACATTATTCATTAGACGTTGATGTAGAATTTTTATCTTTTTCTCCTTGGTATTCTTAGCTACTTTGGATTCTTGTTGCTAAGAAATGTCTTATTATTATGTAATCGATCTGAACATTTGAGAAAAACTGCGTAACTTGACAGCCTAGGATTGGGAGTTGGCTCATGTTAATGTATTGAACCTCATCTATTGTGACCTTTGCTGCAACGCAGTCATTCGTTCTAACACACTCGCCATGCGAACAAATTACTTTTTCCCTCCTCCTCCCCTTGCCCTTTCCTATTTCCTTATTTTCTTTAAACCATTGCTAGGGCGTTTTTATGCCCTCGCCTTTACTGGACATAATTGTTTACCTTTGTGATTTAGAAGTATATTGAAATAATTTAAAGAAAATTAATTATTCATTAAATAGGCTTAGGGCCAAATATTAATTCGATTAGTTTTGGAACGAAATGATTAATGCGACTATATTTGCTACTTATCAATAAATGAGATCCCTGTGTATTGAAAAATATTGTTATAGTATTCATCCTAACGATGACAAAGCTTAGTCACTGTTGAACTGTGTACACTACGACAAAACAAAAATCTTAACTTATTAAACCTACATGCGCGAAACTTTGTTTGTGCGTTTCAATACCTTACAATTCGCACTCGCTACAGGAAACTTCGTCAAATATTGGCCGACAAATAATTAAGACTCATTACAAGAGAGTGTATCACTGCTTTAACTAATGAAAAACCAAAAAAGACTGTTTAACATAACCTTTGTCACGCAATATTTACGTTAGCGACATGCGAAAACTCTCAACTGTTCAAAATAGGGGATTCCCTAACATTTTCTCTTTTCACATTATTCATTACACCTTGTTTTCATCTCTAAAGAATATTTGCAATAAAAAACGATTTTCATGTCGCCCGACAAACTTGTTGATGAAAACGACCCTTCCACGTGGGTTGCCATGACAAAAGTGGCCCCGGCAAAATTCACTAAGTGATTCTTGTTTTCTTTATAGTTTAGATTTCCATTTTCACGCACACGGGATCAAATTTTAAATTTTCTATTCAAACAATTCTACTAGATCATAAACACTTTACGGCTTCTTAATTTACGTAACTGCAGAAATAGGGAATACAAATTTACGTAATCAATCGACATCCTTGATTTCGACATTGACAAGAATAAACTTGTCTCCGACAATATCAAGTAATATCAAAGTCATGAATAAAGAATCCTGGTTAAAATGAAACATAAAACCAGAATTTCCATCAATGAAATATTGTCATCAACACGTTCCTTGTCTTACTTGTTATATCAAAAGCATTGTCGCATCAGTGAGACGCGACTGATTGCAAATATAAGCTCCGTTTCCTCCTTTGTACATCTTTACTACAAGCTTATTTATCGCGAACAGTGTCGTTCACTTTCTGCTGACATCTAAAACTGAAAAGTGTCGAATTTTAATTTCTGTAACCTTTCACTAACCGAGTCAACGATGTTTTCTTTACCTTCCCAACCTCGCATTAATGTCGATCGTTCCGGTGACTCTGAGATATATCGATTAAAAATCACATTATTCTCCTCCAAGACACTTCCGTTGACTGGCTTACCTCAGGATAAAGTTATCAATGACATTGATTTGAATCCGAGTCGAGTCTCACTTCTACTTCGTTCCGGACGACTAAAATCCTGTGTTCATGATCAACGGTAAAATTGGCCAAACCACAAAACTATCTCTGTGTGCGAGAAAAGAAAAGAGTTCACATTGCACATTGGTGCTTCCGAGAAATTCGAGCACGTTTTTATCTTTTACATTTCCGAGAATCAAGACCAGACTATCACGTGCCCAGGATGCTTGTAGATCACGCAAATCTCGTTCACAGACGCTGCGGGGCTATCGGTCAGCACCGAGAAGACGTCCGCTTGGTAAGGGTAACGCAGGCTCTCGGAACGTACTGAGCCCGTCTGGATCGGCTTCCGTATCTTTTTTTGTTCATTTGATTTGTTTAGAAAATAAAAAATAAACTATCATTAAAAATAAACTATCATTTAAAAATATTTGCCCGATTCTGACTGACCATAACAAGCTACTGATGACAAAATTTGGAAAAATTTTGCGATTAATCAACCGATGACGTCAAAAGTGCAGCTTCCTTGCAGGTTAATGCACCGTTAACCAAGAAGACCTGGTTGAGTTGTTTTGGTTGTGAAAACAAAAATGGCGGACATTTCACTCGTTTCAAGAGTAAGAATTAGGCGAAATAATAACTAAAAACATGGCAACAACAGCAAGAAGACAACTCGTAGGGCGATAACTGCTATTTAGTATATACACACTCCGTGATCTTGGTGATTTAAGCAATCTGATTGGTCCGCTATCTCGGACTATTCAACAATATTCACCTCCTAGCGAGTGGATAATGCGTGAGCTCGGTTTTTTTAGAGTAAAGTGTTACATTTTACTCATTTTATTGAGTAAAATTACTCACAATAAGAGTTAGCTTTTTCAGCCCTCAGAGAGAGTTATAATAACTCACTCTTCTTAGTAAAATGTCTATGATCAAAACATGTGAGTAAAACATTTACTCGCTGAGTAAAGTAAATCCTTTTACCTTTTATAGTGAGTATAATTAACACCTTATTTCGAGTCACTTAGCTGTGAAGCAGACAACTGAGCAAAAATTACTCACACAAAGTTTACCGATTCGTTTCAGCGTTGCAAATTAAGGAAAGCATAAGGCTGCAATGATCTCAGAAGTATACCGATCTACTAAGCGGTTTAGCCGATCAAAATCTATACGCTACGATCAAGCGGCAAGCTATTAAAACTGATTCAACACCAAAGCTGCAATTGTCTTCTGTGTCGTCGTCTTCATCAACTTCTGCTTGTTCAGCAACATTATTGACACTGTGTTTGGATCTTTCCAGGTGTATTAAGTAAAAAATAACGTGCTGTTATGCAGCACCGTGACGCGGTCACGCTCTTGTATTTCATTTGTCTCGATCGCGCAAATAAATCATTGATTTGATTACGTGGAACACTTGAACCATGCCAGTTACTAGTCTTGGATCAAATTATCGTTGGATAAACGAGCGCGCAAAAATAACGATTTTAAGCTTGTAGCGGAGCCCCATAGCTAAGTAAATCTATCCATCCTAGAAAATTTGGTAATCACGTGACCGTACAGCGCCCGAGCGACCGACTGTCCGTCCGAACCACAGGACAACCAATGTTTAATCTCACACTTTCTAGCTATAGATAGTAGTTTGGGAGCCTAGGTGCAACCTGAAATTGCAAATTCATGTTGTGATTAATTGACAGCTGTCAAAACAGGGTATCCGCTAACCAGTAACACCTGACCTTATCGCAGGCTCAGGTATTGACTGAGCAGTCCCGACATTATGGAATTCTCTTCATGAAAACGTTTTATAATGTGTTCAATTCTATAATTTGTTATGCAAAGGAAGCGCGTACTTCGATCGTTCTGATTATTGAATGAGTGCAATTTGTCTTGCAAAACTGTGAAAAACTGCATTCTGTCCTAGGTATGTAAGGTTGCTAAAAAAACACATCGCCTCATAGTACTGTTTACGTTAGATGTGATGTATAAAAAGTATAAAAGGCTGGCTTACACGTCACCAGCTTTTTCGGAAAGATTTTGTAAACCCAAACTTGTCGAACAAAAAATTCGGCGGCTTCATTTTTATTCATGCCTCCCTTTTACACAAAGGAATGCAACCTATAAATCACAACGTGTAAATTGGCTGCCACCGAGGACTATCGTGACTTATAACCGGCCTTTACAGCATAAAATTATATTTCGGAGCTGTCCAATTAACCTTATAAAATAGAGGTGTTGTAGGTGGGCCCTGTTTTTTTTTTGTTCGGGAAGAATTTGTTTTCCTGGCCTATAAATCTATCGATGTAAGCTTGGTTTCACTCTTGGACTGTTTGAAAATCATTTTTCTTTAAAATCACTAAGCCTTCCCCTCAAAAGTCACATGAATGTGCCCTAATGTGTTTGATTTAAATTATAAATTTATGAATGGGAGCTTCACTTTTAGCCCTGGCTAAATATATATATTATACATAAACGTAAAACGCCGTTTATACCTTCTTCTTGATTTTTTCTTGCTTCGATATTGATTTCTTCAACTGGATATCGTCTTTTAAGTTTTAGGCATGGCGTTAGAGTCTCGTGTTTACGACGTATAGACATGGCTCGTCGATAGTACTGGTGTTGAAGATTTTTCGAAATTACAAGGTAAGCACTCCCAGACAATATAAGCTTAGGCTTATCGCCTTGAAGAAGGAGCTACGTTGTAATAGGTTAAGGGCTATGAGGGCCTTCTGCAGAACTAGTGTAAAAGGGATATATGTTTTTGCAACATCCTAAAAGTACTAGTATCCTCGACAAAGAACAGAAAAAGCACCAAGCATCGCCATTAGCATTCATGTGCGTTTTGGCGGACACTTTTTTTTTGTTTTTCGGTTATAGTTTGCTAATTTTAAAAAAACCTGTAGTTATGTGCAGTTTCTATCTTAATAGATTATTGGAAACAACATGTTTTCAATGATGACCTCTAGCTTTACATCTACATCTTTATTTTTACTCAGCTCGTTGAAGTGTCAAATCATTATCAGAGACGGCTTCGTACGGGGTGCAGGCGCTGGGTGGTTTATGTGTTTATGACGGGAGGGGCGGGCTCGGTGCTAGGTTTGGGCCAGGATCTTTTTTCCAAACCTAATACTGTGGCTGATTTTTCCTTATTTTTACTTCGGCAGAGCGCGAAGTAAAGGATTCGCGACGACGCTCAGGAATGTATCAAAGTTGCATCTTTGGGATAAGATTGGGCACGCTAAGTCTGTAGGTTTTCGGTTTTATTCGGCTATTTGACGAGGTGAGAGCCGAATTAGTTCGAGATATCTCGAGATCACTTCGATTTCTTTGATTTATTCTTTAACTTATTCGAGGAAGAAAGAACTATTATTTTGGCTTTCCCGGGGTTTGAACCGACTCACCTTTGTGACCAGTCAGATCAGACTGTTGAGGGATTAGCCGATTGCGCCACTGCGACCCAAAGTATTTCGGCTTAAGAAAAATAGCTTTGAAATTATGCACTAGTTTTAGGACAAGATTGCGCGCCCAAGTTCGTGACTTTTTGGCTTGTTTCGGCTATTTATTATCTATTAGAGGATACTTGGCCGCGCAGAGACACGAAATTTCTCTTCGAGTGTTGAAAAACATTTCACTAGTGAGCGCTCCTTTCGAACTGTTTGATGATGAATTTAAAGTTACAAAATGCTGCACAAAGACGTTTTGTCTTTGTCGAGTGTTGAGCAGTAAAATTGTTTTCATGCGTTGCGGGACTTTCTCCAACGTTCTCTACGTCTTTGGATTATTCATGAATAATTAATTAGGGCATGTTTACATTTCAGCATGAGTCAGCAGATTTGCATCAGTTACTGAAATCATAAAATATGTCGAAAAGCTACTGCTATTCGCCTGTTTAGTATTTCCTAGAACCTTAAGTCAAACGGTATACAAGTTCTAAGCTAGTTCTTTGACGAACTAAGTTTTTTCCCACGAGCTGGAGTGCTGTGTTTAGTCGAGGCTGACGAAGGTCAGTGTTCTGTGTTTACAAGTTGGCGGAAGCCGTAAGATATCTGAAGTTCAATTGAGAGTTTGTTATTATTGGCAGAGGCTGTTTAGTTTTACTTAAGTTCACAGTCGAGTTTGTGTTGGCGGATGTTCTGTTTTAAAGCTCTGTAAAGACTATGTGTTTTGGTAGTAATCTTCCTTGTCTTAATCCGACATCCCTGCGTGCTGATAGTCAGTGAATATCCTCAAAACATTTGAACTCGTAACATTGAGTTTTAGCCAATTCCATGCTCAACGTAATTGACTCCTTACCCATGCCTTACATGTCTTTAATCAGTACATGAGACTGCGATGCTGTTTTTGAAGCCTGATGTAAGAAAAATAGAAATTTTTTTTTTCACTGTTTGTTTTGTTAGACTTGTTATTCACCGCCAGTAACCTCGTATTTGACTTAGGTCTAAACGTTTGGAGCCAAGTCAAATTTAGAAGGATTTGTAATTGAAGTCATTAGAGCATAACTGGGTTAACACTCAGAGACAATTTGCCCCGAAATGTTAGTTTTTGGCAAGTAGGCCTCTTGGATGTTGCTCTTTTCAGAATATCCTGGCAAATCCCATAATTTCACAAATTAACAACTTACTCTTACCATATTTCATTTCTTACTATTCCTTCGCATTTACAATTAATCAGTTCCGCAACCACGTCGCTGAAGTGTACGCTCCATAGCGTCTTGTTCAATATAAAGACTCTCAATTCTGAACAATTCTAAGGATTCTTTTCTTACCCCCACCCCCAAATAATAATAACAATAATAATAATAATAATAATAATAATATAAAGACTGTCAATTCTGAACAATTCTAAGGATTCTTTTCTTACCCCCACCCTCAGATAATAATAAAAATCTATCATGACTCCAAGAATATTGACCATTTCAGTACAGACTGTAATTTGACTGGGTTTAGGCAACAATAATTATATCTTGTCAGCGGAGTAACTGCAAAGTACCCTGCCACTTTTTTTTCGAAGCTGTATCCCTGGAAGAGCTGGATACGTGGATACGCAGTTTTTCCTTTTATGCGCTTTTCTACCTTCAGTGACAAATAGACATATTATAAGCTTTATATGCTGTCTAAAACCCCATGCATTTACACGCGCTAAAAAAATCGGCACGGCACGCCAAATTTTTGGCACCGTGCTGACGATTTTAAGGCACGGCACTCCCAATTTTCGACGTGTAAACGTATTGGTCCCAAATGTAATGTGGCACCAGCGCTCAAAATTTTAGGGGTGCCGAGACTACCTCCCGCAGGTATTCGCGGAACTACGCGGCCGGGATACGTTGGAACTATCACGAATCTTCAGATTGTTTTGAATACCCCAAAAAATCGCTACTTAAATCTAGCTACCCCCAAAAATACTTGCCATTTTTCAAACCCTCCAAAAACCTTCGATCATCCCTGTCACTTGAAATCCGGAGTACGTACCCCGCGGGCAAAAGGGCCTATATTAATGTATCATTTTTTTTTAGTTCATACCTACACCCTGCTGCTAAGTACTTTTGACAATCTTTGTAGTCTTTTTCGTCGATGGTCGTGATCAGTTTTATCTCAGAAAGGCCAAGTTCTTTAAGAATATCCTCCGTTACCAGACATTCCTGCACCACTCGACCAAGATGGCCTGTACAATAGTCTTGCCAAAGTTCTTCAAGAATCTTCAAAGAACCGCACTCTACAGTGATTATCAAGCTTCCAGGCTTACAATCAACTAACAACACCTTGCGTACCTTTTCCATATATAATATAAAATCATTGAAATCTTCCGGTGTTGATGGATTTAGGTTGTCCAAGTACTTTAAGGCAATTAAATTCAGGATTTCTTGTGAGGAAGAAATGACACCGTTTCCGACATTCCCACTTAGGGAAGCAGTTGTGTTTGACACTTGTGACTGACTTAAGGTGACCGATGCAACTGAACCTTCCTTGATCACTCCTTGGGATTCCTGTGGCTGCCCTTTTATCACCATAGCTTCTTGTTGCAGACCAGGTCCAGAAATGGCCTCACAGTCAATCTTTAATTCAAGAAGAGCTAATGACATAAAAAAAAATCTGTTAAAGGTGGATGTAGACGACCAATAAATATGATTATAACCTGTATCTCTATTTCGCTTCACAAAAAATGACAAGCTCCAGTCAAATCCTAGTCTCCCTCGCAGCCGTTTTTTGGATGTCACGCAACGCTCCCCCAGCGCGTTGCGTGACATCCAAAAAAACGGCTGCGAGGGAGACTAGTCAAATCCCGGCAAAGCCTAAATTTTTCAGGCTTTCTTTTCGCCATGTCGCGTCTTTGACTGCAATGATCATGTTCTCTTCATTTGTTTTTTTAATTCCGCGATTCAAATATATGAAATTCATATATTCATCATTTCGCCTTCATCTTTCCCGGGTATATTACCAACAATTAAAGACCAACTCTCAGCTGGCTTACTAGCTCAATTGGTTAGAGCGCTGCACCGGTACAAATGTGTGATTAGGAACCTGAAGCAAAAAAAAATGAAGTAAAACACTCAACACTGCTCTCAGCGCCAGACTAAATTTGTACGAAGTTCAACTTCTCCCACCAGTTCCCCAGTGCATGGAATTTCATTCTTCACAGCGCAATGTAAAACTGCTAGAAGAAGGCTTATTAGAACATGACCACGTTACATTGAATACCACAATATAGTGTGTAACAAAGCGACTGCAGATAGATAACCGGAGATTTGCTCATGAGCCGACGACAATCGTGTTACATAAACTATCGTACGTGAAAAAAGCACTCAGCCGACCGAAAACAATAAACAATAATTTTTGCTTTAAAACACCGATTTACCAAAAACTGATAGCTTGCTTATAAATCTTAATCGGAGCCCCCGGAAAAAAAGCTCGAGAGGCTAGCGGTCTGGGCGGGAGTTGAACTCGGGGCCTCCGGATTGCAAATCCAGTGTTCTAACCGCTCGGCTATGATGACTCCTTTCGCCTGAAATAGAAACAAGACGTTCTCGAAGCGTGCACTTGGATAGCCTGCGTAGCAGGCGCTAGGAAATAAATGGGCGCAAGGCGTGTCTCCCCCACGCGCGCCCATTCTTTCTTGCGCCCATTTACTTCCTAGCACCTGCTACGCAGGCCAACACTTGGACGTCGTTGTATCACGCGTATGTGAGGATCTTTTGTGTCTGACACGTGTGAGTGCCGCAATGTTGTTAAATTGTTAAGGGTTGGTTGAAATGGTTGAAAAAGGAGACGTGGAGCCAAGGTGGACGTTGCTTAGTATGTAGTATGTATTTAACTGGCCCACCGAATAGCAAACGCGCATAACTACCAAATAACAAGTAACAAGTGCGTTCTTTCGTTTCATTTTTGGAAAGGCAAAACAACAGCACCATTGTAAAACAAAAAGCTTTTGGAATTACGGTTGAACTTCTATTAAGCGGCCATCCTCGGGGGTACCGGCATGTGGCCGAAAAATTAAAGTTTGGCCGCTGAATAGAGGTTCGTCATAAAATAACCTTTAGAAGAAACATCACTTTATTTCGAAACAAACACGTGACGGGAACAGAACTGGCCCATAATCAGTCATCACCCTCTATCTCGGATTGTACTTTCTTTCATTCTTAACACAAAGTGAAAGTAAGTGTATCAAGCGCTTGGTGGCCCCTTAATAGAGGTGACAACAATTGGGTAACTCTCGGTTCACTGAGCAAAGGGTTAATGTTTTAAGAAACTCACCACTAGATGACGGTTTTGCAGCACTTGAAGAGGCGAGTCTGTCTCTTGACTGATTCTTCTCTTCCAGAAGATCTTTAATTTGTTTTGTTTCCTGAAGAACTTTTGCCTCCATCAAATCTTGTCTGTTCTGTAAAATTCAAAGTGTCATAAGTCACTATATCAGGGACAAAAAAGAAGTTGCTTTATGTTGCACTAAATCAGTAAACTTAAAAATAACCCAGTAACTCCTTGACTTTATGAAAAAGCATACATCTATCGAATTTGAAAGCTTTAAAGTTTTCTGTAGAACGGAAATGTCAATTTATGTTTAGGTTTTGTTTTGTTTGTCTTTTTTTGTTTACTTTTAACTTTACCTCCAAACGACTTATCCGTTCACCGACTTCATCTATGGATTTCTTGATCTCCATATCATTTTTATACCATGCCTCAAGTTCTTGCACATTTCGTTCATCTTCAGTTGTAAGAGGATCTGTCAAATATTTAGCAATAGCTCCTTGCCATGCAGTTTTCCTTGTAGAACTGATCTGCCCAGCGATCCTCACGAGAGCTTCACTGATTTCTTGCCAAAGTGTTTGAAACTCATTATCTCTGATTGCCATGCCTTCGTTCACGTGACCATACACTGAGTTTCGGTAGTACTTTATTCTTGCTATATCAGCTGTTAAACTGTGATCTGCACTTAGTGGAAGAGCATCCCATCCTGTGGAGGGAGGGGTCAGGTTGCATATTGTCCTCAGCAAACGGACTAGCAGAGTGACATCAAAATCTGCTGACTCGCCGTACACCCCTGGGGAAGGGAAAAGACAGTGCCACTGTGGCCTGGTGAGTTTTGCAGCTTTTACCCTTGTTTTTGTTACTGGATTGCTGAGAATCGTAGGAAGACTACTTGGAGGATATATTGAGTCAAAAATCTCCCTCAGTAGGCTGGTCCCTCCACTTATTAAAAGTCGTGTAATGCGCTGGAAATTTTCTTTTCCACTCGTCGAACGAAGGATTTCTTCTGGATCTGGAGCAGCCGCCATTTTTTCCTCTTAGACCTATAGCTATGAATCACTGATCATATTACTAGGAAATGGGATGCAAACATAACTAAATTATATTTTGCTGAAATAACGAGCTTGAAGTTTTTTTAACACTAGTTAGGTGCAAATTAATTTTTCCCCTATTTTTTGAGAAGCCACATGAAACCCTCCAGTTAGAGAGTCACCGTAGCTCTGTAACTAAGCCTAAGTCAGTATAGGATATGCACTTGGATCTGACCGACCATTTGAAAATTTTGTTATTTTGTTTCGGCTAAACGAGTCAGGGAAATAATGTAACCCAAATCAATGAAAAACCTAAAGCTTTAAAGAAGCACTAAATAAAGATTTAAGCACATCTCAGTTTATTTCAGTTATATACACCATCTTCAGTTTTTCTATACATGCACAGGACATCTGTATTACAGTTTTTAGCCTTTAGCAAGACGTTCTTGGGGTTTCATCACGTGTTTGGGAGGAGAGATTGCGTGACGAGCCAAAAGAATGTCTCTGTGGGACGAGAGGACCACTTAGTACTGCTTTTAATGTCTTGGTCCGCAGTCTATTTATCTCATTTTTACAGAGACCTGAAAAAGCTCTAGATGTTCTAAAAGAACACCAAGGGCTGTTTTTAACGTAGTCTGCGTTCTATACCTGTCTTGTAGGGACCCCTAGTCCGTGTTTTAATATAACCAGTCTGCAGTGGGTGTTTTAGCGGCCATTGCATTAAATGAATGCAAATTTGATGGAATGAGTTACACACATACGATATTCCTACAAGACCCTTTTGACCTGATGCAAATATGAATAAATATTTAAGACTACAGTATCTCGAGTTGACCAATTTAATTCTCTGTACTGACTACTCGCTATTTTAATCAAGTCAAGAAATCAAATCTCAGTCCAAATCTCAAATGAGAAGCGATGCGAAGCAGCGTGACGAGCCGATATTTCGCGTTCAAAAGCTAAGCTTCATTTACGTTATTCCTCTTGAAAGCGTCTCTCGGTGGTCTCTGTTCACTAACATTTAATTTCAAGGAAAATTAGCTTTTACTAGGAAATTAAAGTTGGTTGTGTCAGCTATCCGACTGAAAAAAAGATATATCAAATGGCAATTACAATGTATATGTTGTGGTTCAATTTTATCCTTGGTTTAAATTTTATTTTCCTTTGTTTTGGGGTTGGTAATATATGATAATAAGTTTGAAACAAAGGAAAATAAAATTTAAACCAAGGATAAAATTGAACGACAATATACAAGCTCATTCTCTCTTGGCAGTGAAGATGTTAGGCTTCATTCGACAAATCTACTTTTAATTAAAAATTATTGTGCCAGTCGAGGAAAGGTCTAGTTGAACCGTGGACATAAGGTGGCTGATTATGGAACTGCTTAATTTGTTTCTCCAGCGATGAACTACTTGATTTAGACAAAACTCAATTCGTGCAACGCGAAAATCGAATCGGTTGAAATGAAAACTAACGCCGAGAATCTAAGTGGGAACGTTCAAATACTAGAAAGAAACTGCATTGGCAATCAATAACCGGTCAGAAAAAATTCAATTTACAAAAGATCGAGACTTAACTTAACTTCCTTACCGTCTGCCTCATGCTTTCGCATCCGAGAAAATAGCGACCAAAGGCTGAAGTGTGCGTGTGCCGCACGAGGGCTTCGTGCCGAGCCGAAACGAGGCTTTGAGCTGGTCGTTCCCAGGCGACTCTCCTTGCAATGACATGTCATCCCTGAAGCGAGAGCGTCAGGTTAGGGTTGCAATAACCTGCCCAGTCTTACAGTGACATCTCGGTTGAGAAGTTGAAAAATTGAAGTCTAACAGGTAAATATAATTAGCATAACCTTACCTGAAAGTTTCATGTACTCTTTCTTCAGAGTGGCATTTGCTCAAAATAAAGAGTATTGTTAATGACATTTCCTTGAGTGGTTTTACTCATTATGAAAAGTACAATTTACTCAAAGAGTAAGCTAGGTGACATTTTACTCAAAATAAGGCGCCATTGTGGATGCACTGCGATTTTGTGCTTTCACTCGGTATTTTGAGTTAAACTTACTTAAGATTAGATTAGCAGTTGCTATTTTGTGGGCCAGTCTATTGCAATCAATATTTTTATTAAATAAAGTTGAAGTTGAAGTTGAAGTGTTGAGTTGTTTCACTAACAGATGAGTTGCTTTTACTCATACTGTCGAGTACATTCTACTCAATATTGAAGCTTCCGTTTACTCACTTTTTGATGTCATTGGGGATGCAACGTTTTACTCAATTTTTGGGGAGTTCTCAACTCGACTTTTTTTGCGGTTATACTTGTTATATCAAAAGCATTGTCTCATCAGTGAGACGCGTCTGATGGCAAATATCAGCTCCGCTTCTTCCTTTGTACATCTTGACTAAAGGCTTAATATTTATCGCGAACAGTGTCGTTCACTCTCCACTGACATCTAAAACTGAAGAAAAGAGTCCAATTTCAAGTTTTGTAGCCTTTCACCGTCCGAGTCAACAGTCTTTTATTTACCTTCTAAACCTGGCACTAATGTCGATCGTTCCGGTGAGATCGATTAAAAAGCACATTATTCTCCTCCCAGACACTTCCGTTGACTGGCTTACCTCAGGATATAATTATTAATGACATTGATTTGAATCCGAGTCTCACTTCTACTTCGTTCCGGACGACTAAAATCCTGTGTTCATGATCAACGGTAAAATTGGCCAAACCACGAAACTACCTCTGTGGAGGGTAAGCTAGGTGCGAGCAATGATAACCTGAAGTAAAGAAAGGAGTTTATATTGCACATTGGTGCTTTCGAGAAATTACATCTCATTTCCGACAATCAAAACCAGACTATCACGTGCCCAGGGTACTTGTAGATCACGCAAACGTTGCGATCACATTGGTCAGCACCGAGGACACGTCGGCTTGGTAAGGATAACGCAGGCTCTATCGGAACGTACTGAACCCGCCTGGATCGGCTTCCGTATCTTTTTTTGTTGATTTGATTTGTTTAAACCGTTAACAGTAAACCCAGGCCCGGTCTAAAAATAAACTATCAATATATATCTGACGTTAAAAACACCATTAACCAGAGGACTACAGTGGTGTACAAGTTGTTGACTCTTGTTTGCTTTTTATAATACTATGGACCAACTTGAATCATAGCAAGAGAGAATGACAGTTATTACAGGAGACTGGTCATGAACGGCAGCAAACATCAGAGATAATAAGAACATCTTAGGAGCTCAGTCCCTGCACATTTTGATTTTTGTTCAAAAATTGGGACAGCACAAAATTAATGCGACGTTTTTAATGGTCAGTAAAATACTAATGATAGGAATGCTATTAGACGTTATGCACCTTTAAATGCACAAAAAACATATAACAATGGAGTCTAACGGGCTTTGTAACCCCACCATTCCACTTTAATAACTATACTTGAATCTACAATTCAGTGACTAAAACAACTTGCGTATTACAAAGTGTTTGCGTGATAGGCGCCAATGGGGAAGAGAAGAGCGCGCGCGTTGGCGGGAAAGCAGCTACAATTTTCATCTCTTTAGGAGGCTGGCCCAGGTTGTTCAAAAGCTGGATAGCGCTATCCATCGGATAAATCACTATCCAGCGGAAAAGTATTACGGAAATCAATTACACCATTCTCTGGATGGAGATTTATCCGGGGGATAGCGCTATCCAACGTTTGAACAACCGGGGCCAGAATTCTAGCCTGCTAGCAAGCTCTCCGTTTATGCTGCTCTCGCGTGACTTCTCGCGACTCTCCCAAATGGAGAGCTTGCTCTGCTCTCAGGCTAGCTGAACTTAGTTTCAAAGGTTGCGGATCGTTACCATTCATTAGGGTGTTTTTTAGGACTCGTTGCAGGTATAAAGCGAAAATTTGGCAGGCATAAAATATATTTATAAGAAATATTATTTATCAGGTTTAAGCCGAGAATTGAGTCGTTTCCATGGCAACATGGATGATTGAAAACAAGCCTAAAATTTTGAATTTAGAACGCTCACGAAAAATCCAGTCATCAGATTTTCTTATAAGTTTGCACACAGCTTACAAGTAGTAACCTTAAGTTTTTAAAAACAACTTAACTAAATGGTAACGAACAATTTTTGAAATTTTTAATAAAACAGCTTTCAAGAAACTTGTGTGTGTTAAAAAACTCCTTTGTTCAAAAGTCATTTTGAAGCTTTCATTGACAGGAGTACGATACAAACAGGATTTCTGCCAATTTTTGTCAAATTTTATTGGGTAGATTTTAGATGTTATCGTTTGCTTACATTGCCTATGAGAGTCAACAAAATAAGCGCTCTTACATTGCTCCTTAAGTACGCATACTCAATACTTGTTCGCTCGTTGAGATCACGTGAACGGAAACAGAATAAATTTCTACGGACAACTTCTGAACATTTTTCTCAGCTTCCCTTCGTACTTTTTTCTTTAAAAGCTTATGGATTGCATATCTCCTCATGACAAAGATCTTAACATGCACAGCAAAGGGATAAAGCAATTGTAGAGAAACTGGGCTCAGCCTACTTGAGTTCTCTTCGAGTGTTGAGCGATTCGCGCTCGTAAAAAAATCCCCTCATTACCGTTTTTATCGTCTATCACGCGGGCTTTTTAGCAAGACCAAGTTTTTTCGGTTGCTTGATTGGTTTGATACAAGCGGGTAATCGTGCAAATTTTGAGTCATTTTACAACAATTGCTAAATACGTAAATCACAAATGGGCTAGGTGATCGTCTTTTCCGCACACTACGCAAGCATGCAAGAAACCCATGGGGTCTTAGGCGGGTAAAACCACCGGCTCTTGCTTTAACACGGCCAGGATGTCTGCTGGGACATATTTCTTGTCCACAACCAGCCTAGTCCCTAGTCGTTCTCTCTTGATTCGTTGTCCCCGCGAAGACTGGGAGAGAGCGGGCGAGTATCTGTCGGTGACGTCGTGACGTCACAGCTCATGGTAGAGTCCAGGAATGACCGAGCCGAAAATGCCTGGGGACTAGGCTGGAACGGATTATAAACTTTGCCAAGCGTTAGGAATGAGAGGTTTTCAAATAGCTAATTCTTCATCTATTTTCTTGATCAGATTTACTATTATTCAGAAGCGCAGACTACCCATACCACATACCCTGATGGACTAGAAGTGCTTCAATTTCCCAGGTCTGTATGTAAAACTTAATCACTTGAAATCCTCATTCACATTTTTTTCAGTATATCTTCTCGTTGAACACCAGGTTTCTAAAAGTACCATCCACTTTGCTTCTCTGTCATTCAGCAAACAGGTTGAGAAGCACTACCGTGATGGGACAAAGGAGATAATATTTCTTGATCAGACCATTAAGTACCTGTACCCAAATGGAGCGGAAGAATGGGTGTTTAGTGACGGTATTATACAAAAGATTAACGTGGAAGGAGAGAGAACTATTGAATTCCCAAATGGACAAAGGGAAACTCACACCAAATGCTATAAAGTAAGTAGAGACACACACTTCTGTTTGCTCTTTGTTTCGAAAACTTCCAATTACAAAGAAGAGAGGGTCAAACATTCACTTCTAGACTCCGAGGGAGGGATGGAATCCACTTTGGGACTTAAGGGATCATTTAATACCTTCTTTTGCTGTGAAAAACGAAACTGAATGTTTGTTTTATAATTTAAAATGCCTGTTTTCTTCGAGACTAGCTGTTTTCCTCCCTTCTTTAGAAAAGACAGTACCCTGACGGGACAGTAAAGCCTGTCTATCCCGATGGTCGAACAGAGACCCGATATGCCACGGGACGTGTGCGGGTCAAGGATCGGGATGACAGAGTTCTAGTGGATTCTTCGAACCAACTAAGATGACAGCCCCTGCTTGCAAAGATATGAAATGTTATGGATTTAAATCTACAGCAAAAAAGTAATGGAACTGCAAAGTTATAATTATTGTGTAGAAAGGTGCGCATGTGCGCTTCACGATGTGATTGTACGGTCACGTTAGATTAGAGTCCTGTACATAACTGATTTAACAGCCCACTGTGGGTTTTGCCCTATCGTGAATTTAATAAACTTAATATGTAAAAATGCAAACAAAAATTGTTTAAATTATTTCTAATTCATTGACACTCCTTTTTCCTTTTACTCATACGCTCCTCCTTAAAACCTTTGATGTTAGGGTTGGCAGTGGTTTAGAAATGCAGATTTTAACCTTGGGGTAAGAATGGTGGAGTTTTACTTAGGTGTATTAAAGTTTAGCGGACAAAATTTTCTCTTTTTACCGTTTATCAGAACCATTTTGTGACCATATAGTAATGAAATGAGCTCTTTAGAGTAGCAACTGATTACAAAGGCGAAAACAAGGAAGGTTGTTATGATCGAGAAGTTTATCTCTAAATACATAAGTTTTAACCTCCTATATTCAGATTCGTCCAAGAGATTCTCTTGATTCGTAGCCTGTGAACAGGCTCTCTGTTTGGGGAAAAAAATAGCAAGGAAAGGGAAGGGATAGCGGGGGGAGAGAGCCTGTAGACAAACATTTGAGGCCGCTATTCCGCCCTCTTGTAATTATCTTGCCGAACACCTGTCAGTAAGCTCGTTATCTGTCAATCAATTTCGCACGTGAGTAACTCCTGGGAAAATTAATGGAAAACGAGCCGTGTTTTGCTCCGTCTCAAAACAAAGTAAAATGGACCGCGAGCCAAATAGTCGATTTTGCAAAAAATCGTTGATATCCGGTAAGAGAATTAATACGGTGCCGGTCTTTGGCGTTTCAAGAAATAAGACCTTGCTGGTTGACAGTGGCCAAGACAGCGTTGTACTAGCGCAAGCATTTGAATCTTCAAGATTTCCCCTTGAGCAAGGAGAAAGCTTTTCCGATTTAAGCTGCTTAACTTGTGCGCGACGGGCAGTTCGTCTTGCTAGTTCAGTTTCTAATTTAACAAGCCCCTGCAATGAGCAAACTTGGATCACTTGGCGGTCCCAAATGTTTGTCCACAGGCCTTTTCGCTTTTCCCTCTCCCTAGTTCCCCGCTCGACCAAAGGCCTGTTCACAGGTTACTTGATTCGTCTAAATACATCCTTCTTTTAGCTTCAAAAGCGGTCAGCGGCTTTCCGTGTGTCAACTGCGCGTTCGTACTTTAGTTAATCAAATAAGTACCCACTCTTTCAGTCAAACTAGCAGACACGCCTCTCTCGCCTGCCTTAACGTCCTTGATAGTAACGGTATCACAAAGACTTTTTCCCGTTTTTCGCACTTTTATGATATTTTAAACCTTCCCCCAAAATTAAGCGCCTCCAGCTCCACCCTTTGGCCGAAATTTGAATAAGCGTCTTCGAGAAAGTGTAGGTAGTCACTAAATTAACAAGGACCTGAAATTGTGCAACATCAATTTACTATTTATTGGTTTTCGTTAAATTTAAAAAACTTAATATAGTTTAATGCGATGCCTAAGAAATATTTTACTTTTTCTGGACCAAGCAACTTTTAAAACAATTTCTGTGTTTTAAATCTCCGGTTAACTGAGTCATATGAAAGGGCGCTTTATAATCATACGGCTTCTGGTAGAAGTATATGACTACGTTCTTGAATTCTCAGCCGACTACTCAATTTCCCTATCCAAACAAAACATTTTTCACAAGAATTATCTTTATTGATTAAAGGATTATATGTATGGTTCGCGTCCTATTGCACTTAATTAAATGACATTTGCCTCACCACTGCCATATATTATTTTTTATATATTAACCTCATTTTATATATTTGCCGAATATTATATGTTCCTTTTTTTCATGTATTCCCACTGTAATTGTACTCTTCCTGTTTATACGCTTACAGTATTACAGTATTTTTGCACTGTGGGATTTAAATATCACGATCAAACCGCTTCCTGAATTTCTCTCCAAACTCCTCGGCCAACTGTTTAAACGCCAGCACCACATTGTCGGTTTCAGGCCCTAACTCCTCCAAAGAACAACTGAAAGCAAATAAACAAAAAAGACGATTTCAATCTTCGTTTTTTAAGGTAAGCTAAGAGTCGACGTTCGCTACGCGTGGAAGCAGTGTATTAGAAAAAATACCTTCATTTCAATACGCCCACCATCAATTAACATAGCTACTTATACACCTATAGTTTATAATTTAATGATACTTTACTATCCATACAAAAATCCAAATACGGCAAAAGATGGCAGGATAGCAGTAGCAGGAAACTGAATTTCCATAGGCTGGGGCTACTCTCGCTCCTTACATAAATGTAAACTGTCTTGTAGAGGCACACATTTAAGAAAAAACCTTGAAATACAAATGTAATAAGATGAGACTTTTCACAAGATAAGATAAGAAATAATAAATATAATAAAAGAGAATTGATAAAAGTATAATACATAGAGGGTATGCCTATTGATACCATTTTGAGCGTAAATAACTCAAAAGAAAGACTTTGAAAGATTTAAGGTTAGATTCACAGATAACAGGCAAGAGAGAAGAATTCCATTCAGTGACTTGACGATTAGGAAAAGAATACTTAAAATAATAGAGAGATTCAAGAGTCACGTTTTACGGAAAAAAAGGGCAAACGTGGTTTTGTACCACGTGACCAATTGCCTTTAATTGTCCTTTGCTGTTCATTACTTATAGCAAAAAATTAGTAGTTTCATGTTAGTTTTATTCATAAGAATTGTTTTGGCCTTTTTTATCTGCTCGTTTTCTATTTTGAGAAATCCTCAGCTTGAATCTGCCGTCTACGGTTTGCCGTAGACGTGACTCTAAATCTCTCTATCTAGTACGAAAGATTGGCGACATGGATAAAAAACGAAGCATTTTAAGTCTTACCTGATTGATTTAATGGTCAGATAAAAGTCCTTTAATTTATGAAAAACGTCACCGGGCCTGACTCTGTGAGAGAAACATCAGATAAACTAAATAATAGCTCTAAGAGTAACCCCCTTATAGAAGTGACATGCGATCAGTTCGAATTTAGGTTGGGTCGAGTTTGCAAAATGGTGTTTAAAATAAAATCGTACAAGAAACAAGGTAACTATGGGAGTAGAGTCAAAATGAACAAAACGTTAAAATAGACGTAAGTAGTATAGTAGAAATGTTTTCTCCCGTTTTTGCGATGAAAGAAAATAACAACTTAAAACACACAATTGCCCTTATATATCCTTTCTGTTATCTTGGTAGCCAACCAGCTTGCTTTGGCAAAGGAAGTCAGTCAAACAATCGAAATAAACCGTTTCCTCTTGGACCCAGACATACCAACTTAAATAAAACCCGTTAAATCGGTTATACAGTAGCCGCGATAAAACAGAAATGCATGTAGAACGTGGACAACCCAACACCTAAAAGTAGTTAAGTACCAGCGCAATTTCAAGTGTTTCATATACCCTTTAACACTTTTGTTACATACCCGTTTTCCTCCTCAAGGCATTTAGTAGATCCATGCTTGAAGAAATCCAAAGCGTAAGCATTCAGGTGCTGTACACGCCCGAACGAGTCACGTTTCCTCAGGGGGAGAACAGGAACCACGTTCATGTCTGTGTAGACATCTTGGCGAACAATCTGCACGGTCAATTATGTATATGTTGTGGTTCAATTTTATTCTTGGTTTAAATTTTTTTTCCCTTTGCTTTGGGGTATGGTAATGTATGATAATAAGTTTAAAACAAAGGAAAATAAACTTTACACCGAGGATAAAACTGAACCACAACAGATATCAGTATTATAAAACAACTGCAGGGTGGTTTTCGTGATTGTCGCAATATTTGCACAATATTTGTTGAGGGTAATTGAGACCATAAAATGCCCTTAGCAAATATGAATAGATTCCACGTTTTACCATGCACGTAAAAGAGAAAGTAGATGCTCTGCGCTTATATGGGTATAACAAAGGTGTGCGAGTTGGTGGAACAGTATCAACATTTCGTGAACAAACGCAATGACCTGAGTTGTAAAAGAAATAAAAAATGAAACGTAGTAGGTGAGTTTTTACCTTTAGAAAATGATTGATAGGTTCGATATCGTCTACTTCATCTTCTAGTTCACGTTTATCATTGTCTTCTTTTTCTTCGACCTTTTCACTGGGACCCTTTGCTGCAGAGTTCTTGACGACCTCTGCATTCCCTTTTTCCATTTCAGTTTCTTCTTCAAGCTCATTTTCAACTTCCTTGTCTTGAAAAGTGGAGTGTAATTTCAAGTCTGAATTTCCTGATAATGCAGCAAAAGACGAACAGGCGGAGTACTTAATGGAAGAGAGTCTCAACGATTTGATGATGTCAAACTCATCAATTGGCTTCACGCTCTTTTGATCACGAAACTCTGCAACGAGAAATCGGATTCATATTGTCTCAATTTCATAACTGACGGAATGGCACATATAAAACAGTCAGGCCCCAGTTGTTCAAACGACGGATAGTGCTATCCACCGGATAAATCACTATCCAGCGGATAAGTATTGGGGAAACTAATTGCACTATCCACCGACAGAGATTTATCCAGACAGCGCTATCCAGCCTTTGAACAACCGAGGTCTGGTCTTTAAGTAGCCTGAGAAAACGGCCAACATTTCACGACGCCACCACTGGTTTCATTTCACGGGGAAACCAGTGGTAGCGTGGTGAAAAATGTCGGCTGTTTTCTCAGGCTAGTCTTTTAGTCCAGTTTGTGCGATGTTTCTGTCTTAAGCAATTCCAAAAGAATTTGCGTTGCAAAAATAATAGCAAATGTTAAGTGCTAAAGTTAAAACAAAAAATATATATATACATGCTAATGGTTGAGTCGAAAGTTCAAACCCTGACTTAAATCTGATTTTGTGCTAAAATGTCTGGTGGAATAGGATATGTTGAATTCTAAGCCAGAGAAAAGCTAAAACAAATTTAAAAAATGCTAATGGATTGATCCAAAGTTGAAATCCTGACCTCCATCTAATTTTGGGCTAAAACTTATAGCGTTTGACATGGAAATGGAAGCATTGCATTGTGGTTTAAGAGTACAAGATGAATTGCAAAATATTGCTGTTAATTTCTTCCTATTTAATAAACATTTTCGTATGCTGATTATTATTTAGTATTAATAACAGATAACAATAATAAAGTTTATTATCATTTTCCCTATTTACTGAAAGGTAAATTGCGATGCCGCGACTTTATAGCGACCGAGACACTAGACAATAAAATACGTCTTTTCAAGTTAAGATTTCCCAGGCTAAATCTGCCTAAGTATATTGTGCCGGTAACACAATAAAAAAGCCCCAGTTATATCTTTTAACGATAATAGTCAACTGTACTGAGTGGTTTTAATTGACATTCATATGTTTTCTGCCTTAAACAAATGGTCAACGTTGGACTTTCAAGAGCAGGTCTAACCACTGTCCTAGAGTGCTTATGGTTGTCATAAATTAGTTCTTCTAAATTCAGTTGTGTTTATTCTTTTTTCTTGGGCCCGCACCGATTGGCAGGATGGCTGGATGTGGATCTTCCAGTATTCATTGCACACTTCACTTTTTATATTTCCGTTTTTAGTTGTAGTTGGTGTTGTTCTAGATGAATGAACGTCCCCAAACAACCAATTCAGAGCATTGCAAAATCGATTGATCTTTACAACAAGAGCCTCTTCTTACCTATTCCTGACAAGGGAAGTTTGTTTTCCTCTCCTCGTTGCCTTTCTTGTTCTGTCGCCACAGTAGTCAAATATTGACTGAAAACTTTTGTCACTTGAGCGTTGTAACTTTGAAGGGCTTCAGCAAACTCTTTCGGAAGATCTTCCAATATAACCTATAGAAGTTAGGCAATAAACGTTTAGCATATACTCTTTTGGGTGTCTGAAATTCACTTTCAAACATTGCTACATCAGCTCGAGGTGATGTTAAGAAATCATATCGTAATAAAATTTAAGAGGTTCTTCCTAATAGGACCTATTATTATCTCTTCCTAATACTTAACATTACATCTTACTGTTGTTTAGCAGATCAAACTCACACGCTAAATGAAAAATCTTTCAGTGAGTTCAAGATATTGTTGTGCATCGTTTCGACATCGGTCCGTCAGGAAGTAGGGCTAATTTAGTGTCGTGTCGCATATGGCTTAAAAAGTTACATTCAGTCCTCGGACAGAGGTATAGTAATGGTGTTTAAGGCCCCTTCTGAGCGGAAGCTCATTAATATGAGGCGGAATCACCTAACATGGAGAAATAGAACACGGTCAACATTAGAAATTAAAACAAAAAACTGTTGTGTTAAGTGTTAATAAAACTAATTTATCTTTATCCTCATTAATATGCTCTGTTTGCGCGCCCATAATGATAATCAATTTATCGATTTGTGAATAATTAATGAACGCAGCGAGAAGTAAAATTTGGAATAGTTACGCCGTTTAAAGATCTTCAGTGATATTCTATTTGGCATACATAATGGACGTTTATATTCAGTTAATCTTTGTTAAACTAACGAGACTCCTTTCTCAAAAGGAGCCTTAACAACCCTTCAATACTACTTCTTTAGAAAAAGAAGTACCTCGCGATCGTCGACGTCCTTTCATTTTTTGGTGCACAGTTAATTTCATGACTATCCGTTTCTAATTAGGAGATACTCGGCAACACTTAGCTAACACTTGCCACTGATATGCTTTACATGACAAGCATTTCATAACACCATAAGACATTATCAGACGAATTGAGGCAAGAAATACTTGCTAAAAATGAGAAACTTGCAAGGTGGAAAAATCATTTCAGTAACTGAGGTAGTTACAAAGACAGCCATATTGGGTGGTGTTGCTATCGAGGCCAACAATGCCCATATAAAAGGAATTCATACCTTTGAAGTTGACCAACAGGGAAGCCTTCGCTTAAAAGAAGCATGGAGGAAGGATCGGGCAAACAAGTGGTTAAGAACCAGGACCAGTGTCCTCAAAACGTCTTCCGAAAATTTCCCTGTAAATACGAATTAAAGAGAAAATCATATTCATTCATTAGATTCGGCACAAGAAAAGTGTGAATTTATACTAGAGACGGATAATCCGTTTCTAGTATAAATTCGGTGCTAAGACGAATTATGGAGCAAAATTCGTCTGAGGCTGATTCGTCTGTTAGCACGTCTTGATGACGTGCTAACAGACGGATAATTCGTCTTAGACGGATTATCCGTCTCTAAATTTATATCTAGACGGAACGTAGACGGTTTCTTGACGAAGTTTCCACATGAGAGGGACTGGTTTCTATATTTTCGCAATGTCTCCTGTTTCTCGCTTAAAATATCTAGACAAATTGTTCAGCAAAATTCGCCTTTGTGTTTATACTTAGACGAATTATCCGTCTGACGGATAATTCGTCTAGGCGGATAACTCGTCTCTAGTATAAATTCGGTCAATCCTGACAAAAATAATCTAGAAATCTACAGCCAGAGTTCAAAGAAAGAACATTCGGAAATTAAATGAGTTAATGTCTTCGCACCAAAGTTTTCCTGGTACAGTCAACTTTCTCTAAGACCGACACCGTTTGGAACAGTACGTAATGTCCTACCTACAGAGGGACCGGCTCTGAGTGTCTTTTTGGAGAAATGGAGTTGAGTTTATTTGAAGTCTTTCTAAGCACGGCTTTCTCGTGTATTTGTACTTTCGATAAACTTAACTGCAGTTGTATACAGACAGTAAGCGCATCACGCACGCTGTAATTGGACGGTTGTCTCAAATAGGGTCTTTTTTCACGACTAACAAATACACACTCAGGTGATATTGTGTTTTAAATATCCAACACTTCAATTTTTATCTATGATTTGATCAATTGGTAACAGAACTTCGTGACGTTGAATTCTGAATAACATTTTTTTAAAATAAATTTGTCAAGATTGAAGATATTAGATCAAGTATGGGAGCGATAATTTGTGGTTTACCTCATGGCTCTACGTTGGGACCCCTGTTGTTTCTGCTTTAATTGATAACAAAGTTCTCTGAAATCAATCCTGTAAACTTTCCGTTAAAACATTTGCTGATGACAGTAAATGTTATTTTTAGTAACAGTCTTAATAAAGTGGAACTTGTTTCTAATAACGAACTTGACCAATTGTTCCACTAACAAGCTACCTATCAATTTTAAGAAAACACACTATATGTTATTTTCGTCAACGAGGAAGGCTGTCCATACTAAGTAAACACTAATACTGTACGTAAATCTTTTGTTAAGCTCTGGGTATTTGTATAGTTGACCACCAAGACTGAGACAGTAACAGGACGGTAAAAACGGAGCTTTAGCAATGATTCCTACAGATTAAAACTAATATAATAGCAATTTTTATAGATAATAGATATTCATTTTTTACAATATATAAGTCAGCTGTGGCAGTACTGAATCAGCATTTGGCACCCTTACCATTCTCTCCTGGTTGACAAATTTCATGAAATAGTCCCCCTTGCAGAAAGCTGACTAAGACAAAATTGGAAGGCTCATGGAAGTGAAGGTGCGTCGCGAGTCCTGCCATCTCCTGTGGTGCCCCAGTGTCTTTATTAATAAGGCCCTGAGATGAAACACAGAAAAATTATCCAACTAAAACTAAAAAACATTCTTGGTTAACATATCTTATGTTTTTCCCCCGGCAATTTTACGCATTTATAGCCCAACTAATGAATTCCTCTTTTGTTTTCTGTTCGTTAACATAAAAGCTCCATGGAGCTGGTTGATAAAATCTTCTACTACCCACCAGTCTGGCAAGAAGTTCGACGCTGAAGAGAAAATGTTTCTTGATCTGACTATCCATCTCGGGATGCTTTTTGCAGATGAATGGGTGGGATAACAGTGCGAGTGCCTACAGACAAATGCCGCTCACAGTCAGTCAGTTCTCAATAAAGTTACTTATTCGGATAGAATTAACGGCAAAGGGCCCGGAAAAGGCATACAAGATATGATCGAAGGTAAGGTCCGTCAGTTAATGCAATATAGCAACCATATTTTACCAGGCCAGTAGAAAATAGCTTTACAGTAAGAGGTAAAAACTGTTTAACAAAGAAAGGCAACACAATCAATTTATATGTGGTCCTCATAGACGTAAAAAGCATTATTATTATTAGCATTATTATTATTCCATCTTACAGTGAGAGAAGCAGAAATTGAAATTTAATAGTGAATTAAGCCAACTGTTAAAGTACTCCAGCATCTTTGGTTAAATACAATTCACTTCCATCTTGGCCTCTCATCACAAGCTGTTAATTACACTTCAAAAGTACTTGCAAACTCGACTTGCGACTCTCTTTTTGCATTTCAATCCTTAAAAGTTGATTAAATAGGTGACCATATCGTCTTCTGACCTTAGTGAGTGCATCTTGTTTGTCGTCTCCTGTTGACGTCATCAGAAGCAGGCGCAAAACGAGCGAAACGTTTATGGGGAAGTTTCCAACAAGCTTCGGTATATTGGCTGTCATGAGACGTTGAACCTTCCGGTAAGGAATTCCAAAAAATATCACATTGCCTACAGGGTCAAACCCTCTGCGCCCGGCTCTGCCAGACATCTGTAAGAGAAAGAAACTGTTTGAATATCGACATCGTAGTAAAAGGGTGCACTTTTGATTATACCAGGAGTTACAATCCTCCTAATGGAAATTGGAGGGAAAACAGGAAAGAGTATAATGGCATTTTTTAATAAAGCCTAAAATGTTGTGCTAAGAACTCTTGCTTACCCTGGGTCACAGAGACCACACAAGGCTGAAGCTAAAGCTGGTCAGTTGTATAGGATGAAGTATCTGTGTTTGGCCTTTCTGACACTCAATAAAACCTGACTATTTGCGAAAAAGATGTCATTTGTGTTCAGCCATCGAACTGTCAACATGGTTTACAAGAGAGTGTGCAGAAACTGTCCTATTTCATCGTGTGGGGCAAAGTACCTTGTCAGATTAGCTAACCATCTCGCGGATGTTCATCAGTTAGACCACATACAGCGAAGACAGTATTTACACTGAGGCGAAACTGCAACCTAAAGTTAAAGTCGTCGTTTACGAAAGTGAAGCGGATAATTCCGGAAAAATCACTATCGCAATCCAGTACAGACACAAGAAACGGTGTATTGCGAACTGTCAAGATCACAGAGAAATGAAGCCTCTTTTGAAGCAAAAGCTAAAAGACCGACTACAAAGAACAAGACAAGGCGCAAGAAACAAAGAAAAACGAACTCTTGGCTTCGAGGCCATAGGAAAATTGTGTAGACACGGAAGGATTATTATTACTCCTCGAAATAGAACGGAAAAAACGGATTTGTAATAGTCAGTCAAAGAATTAATTTTCATTCCTTTTCCTTCCAAATCGCTGTGTATTTGACTCTTTTTGTTGTTGACTTTTAATAAAGTTTTTAAAACGGTATCTCTCTTGTGGTTTTATTACTAGCAATTTTAATGTTAGTCGCGTGTTCAAATTGATCCTTGTTAAGTTATTTAAAATTGTTCATATAATAATACGTCAAGATGCTCCCTTAGGTCTATTTGTAGAGATGAACTAATTTGTATGCAACTGTGGGCTTGTGACCTCGCATAATTAACTGACTAACGGCGCGTGAATCAGGACAAGACCATAAGCTCATCAAGCGCAAGGGCTGAGACTTTAATAGTTGTCGTTTCCTCGAGATGGAACGGAGAAAACGCTTTTGTAATGGTGAGTCAAAATTGAAATAGAGAGTTTTCAGCTCCACTTTGTGTATGCGTGTGTGTGTGTTTTGTTTATATATCCGATTTTTCGCGCTAAATAAGAAGACATGTGTTGCTCGGCGATCGCACCTCTTATTCCTATCTTTTTTTTAAATAGACGTTTCACTTGTTAGTTACTAGAATGGAGTTTTCGAGAACCAAAAGAATTGGGCTTTACTTTAGAACCACCTGTTGTTTTCTATAGAATTTTAATACCCTGTGCAATACTTTCTACAGAGTCAAGTAAACAAAGATTGACATTTTTGCTCGATAGGCAGTTTTTCGCTTCGCTGAGATTCGACCTCGCTTTCATGTTTTGCCCGAAAAATTAGTACGATTTCGCATTCGCTTAACCTCCTTTTCCCTTCTTTTGAAGTAAAGATTTTTCAGTTAACCTCTGTGTCTTGGTTTTGTTTATAACCGATTTTTAGTGAAAATAATTTAATGATTAAAGATTTTTCATTTAGTATAATCTGCAAAGATAACACGTTCAAAATTTGCCCGCTTTTATTTTGAACACATAACAGCTTCTACAATATCCAATCAGAAGACTATAGCAAATAGCTGATTATATCAAAAAATCACTTTTCTATTTATAGATTATGATCTCAACATTTTTTGATGACGTCAACCCCTAGGATATTCTGACGTCACCTGCTCTTGCCAGCTAAAAATAAACTATGACATCATCTTATCATAATGAGATGCATGACGTCATCTGCTTTAATTTATACCACTTAAAAAGTTGATTAAATCCACAAAAAACCGGCGTAAAACATCCCTCCTCCACTACTTAAAAGGCTGCCAGAGGCACGCGCTGCAGTTCGGTAGTAAGGGGAGTTTAATGAGTGCTGACTGCGGATGCTGTCACTGCTATTCCTTTATCTTTTCGCCTCTCCTAACTTTTCACGGGACAAAAGAGGCTCCGCGAAGGAGAGAGCTACCTGGAATTAATTGCTATGATTGCGAGTCTATAAACAAGGAAACTGAAACAGCTCACTGTTCTTGCAAGGTTCATGTGGCTGTTAAGTACTGACCACACCGCTTGGAAGGCTGGTTCTTCACATCCACTGTCTTTTAGTACAAGGGAGGGTCTTCAGGGAGTGACAAGGCAAGATACCTTGTTTAGGCAAACAGGACATTGATGGCGAAGAACAGGAAACGAACTATAGACCCTCATTTGTGCGTAACTACTAAAGCACCTTCGTACATTCCTGGTAAGGCGACCAAAGTCCTAGTTCATCTTTTGTCAAGTAAGGTAAACTATATTAAACATTTATCGACAACAGTTCAATATTTTCTCATTCTTTGCCTACTTACTTGTCTGTACATCAAAGAGTTTAGGAAAGGAGAATCTCCAGCAAACACAACAGTCTTGCAAGGCATATGGATCCCAAGCGCGAGGGTACCTGTTGCCGAGACGACCTAACGATTCAGAATAGTCGAAGACATTTCTTGGCCATAAAAGGACCTTCACACATTATATTCCTATCTCCTAAAGAATGCTAAAATTCAGAAGCTAAATATAAGCCAAATATCTGGTAACAGGAAAAAAAACCCCGACTAGGATTATCTGCATTATCATCAAGAACTTATGTATTAAAGAAAGAAAAAGTAAAGTAGAGTATTCTTAAGCCATTTTCCAAGTTTTTTTCATTAGAATTTCGTTTGGTTTCCTTTCAATTCCTGACAAATTTAGCAATAAGTGAGCTTGAGTTAGAAAACGACACAGTTTTAGTGTCCAACTATATGACAGCTCGACAGAAACACCAGCCAAAAGTGACCGTTCTGTAAGTGAGTTATTTCAAATTTGCAGGAATGCAAAAGGCTATATTGATCGAACGATGAAGTTTCTACAAAAATAAACTTGTTTCGGTGTTGACAAGAGTGTATACGTCAAGACGTTACATAGAAACCGCAGTCACGTAGAAAGTAGAATTGAAGTCACCCCCATAAACATTTTTGTTGTTGTTGTTTTTTTATTTTACCTGGAGATATTTCTCCCTAAAAAGCATCTCCACGACAGTGCGCATTTTGCTGCTCATTCCGGCATGATGAAAGCTTATTCCTCGCCTCAACGCGCTCTTGAACAGACTTCTACTGTGAATTTTACGAATGCGATCCATGATCTTCTTCAAACGCTACAAAATAAAAATTTTAATAAGCAAAGGTTTAGTTATACAGAAACAAGTAAAAAATAACGCGGATAGGGACGAACGACATTTCGGTGTCATCTTGACGCCATTTTCAAGTTTCAATTTCATATATACTAATCATCAGCCAGAAAAATGTTTTGTTAGTTTATCAGCAATAATTTTGAACTTGAAAATGGCATCAAAGATGACAACTAAACGTCGTTCGTTCTTATCCACATTTTTTTCACTTGTTTCAAAATAAAAGTTAGAAAGAAAAACAAATAAACAAACACTAAAAGAGGGTCTCAATGGGGTGGTGGCTTTTACGGTTATCGGCTAAAATTTTGGCTCTTTTACGGCTATCGGTTAATTTTTTCCAGCTACGGTTAACAAAAAAGTTAAAGACTAATTTCTTTTGTTTCAAAGAGTTGAATGTTAATGGTCCTGTATTTTTTGTATCTTTAAAGCAAAATAAAGGTCTTAACATCATCTCAGGATGGAATGCTATCCTTCTGAAAAATTTTAACATTTGATAGATCATACTTTTTATAAAGTATTCCACTTCTAGTATTATTTTACGCAAAGAAATGCCAATAGTCAATTTAAAACGCGAACGCCAAACTCAAGACCGGAGGCGTGACGTTCATTTATAACAGAAATGGCCGTTTTCACACTAGCCTCCCACGCAGGCGTTTTTAGGGGAGCTCGTTGTGGGGAGGGATGAAAAACGAGCTCCCCTAAAAACGCCTGCGTGGGAGGTTATTTTCACACTAGAGACGGGTGATTCGCGTGAGACGGGTTATCCGTTTGATAATTCGCGTCAGATAAGCAATACGTCTTAGTTTCAAAACGGAATGGTTTTAATTTTAAATGAACAATCCACCTGACTTTATTCGTCAATTTTGACGGACAGTTTGGATATGCATTATCCATTTCTGATAGCCTGTGTACAGCCGCCTCCTCCAATAAGAAAAAATCGGAGAAGGGGTGTCTGTGGGGGAGGGGGCGTCAGCACACAGGCTAGTCTCAGACGGATGATCCATTTCTAGCTCTAGTGTGAAAACAGCCAATAACAAAATTCCCGTGTCCAGTGTTTTTAATGATAGCGAAAGACTGTACAGAACGACTCAGTCTCCTGTTGCCTCGTCCGTAGGCCTCATTGTTCCGCGCGGCTAATGAGTTTCGGGTCACGTGTTTCGAGCGAGTTTTTTTCTGAGATACGCCACGGAAATGCCTTGAACGAGATTGCGTGGGAAGACGCCTTTAATACAAGAACTAGACATGGCAATGTCTACCGTGGCGTTAGAGAAAAACAGGGAATTGTTGTTTATCGGCAATGTGTTTTGCAAACAGTGACATATCTCTGCGGGTTCTTTCACTAGTATTTCGAGGGCTCGACCTCTTGAAAATCGCAAATATTAATCCCCAGCAAGAAGCCAGGTTTTCGCTATGGAAAAAATTAGTTCTCCGAGAGAGCGACGAAAATGGAGTTTAGGTCTAGGTCAACACCTAAAAGCTAGGCGCTTGGCCTAACGTGCGTACAGAGTCAAAGTAGCCGGGAAGTAAAAAACGTAACCATAAAAAAAGTGAGTTTAACACCTTCCTTAAATTGACAAACCTAGCTAGGGAACAATTTCTTTTACGGTTAACTCTTTTTACCCTATTTACGGCTAACGGTTAAAATTTTTCAATTTTTACGGCTATCGACTAAATTTAGGCCGTTTTACGCCTATCGGTTAACCCCATTTAGACCCTCATAAAAGAGAAACAAACGCGCGAAGAAACAAAAAGGGAACACGCAAGTTGTACTTTCAATTGCTCCAACAGAACTCAAGCGGCTTCTACAAAAAAGGGAATTGTGATTCGACCTTCGGTATGAACTTTTTCGATCCTTCGACTCTTTCTTGCACTGCTTTTGCCGCTCCTCGCTTCTTATGATGAACTGGTTTGTAAATGTACTTAGACGCGTACAAGGCTCAACTGCTTCTGGAAACTGAGTCAGATGAGGATTCAATTTTGTGAAATAAAAATGTCGAGAGTCGACAAACAACTGGAGTGAAAGTTCCTAAAAAAGTTGGTTACATGGAAAAGCTTTTATACAGAAAGACTTAAAGGAGCTAAAAAACCGGATTCGGTAACGGATTCGGCAACTTTAACATATTTTCAACACTCTACCCACTTAAAACTGTCTTAAACTAAGAGCCATGATCTATAAATTCTTGTTTATATAGAACTACGAGCAGGTAATCAATGGAGAACGAATTAAAGTAAAACTGCAATACATTTCATATCGAATTCGATACCTGGTTGCCAATTCCATGAGTAAACGACAATGAACATTCTGGTAGAGGTTCCTCCAAATTTGGCAAACTCTGATCGTCTTTAGCCTTCGAAGCGCAGGCGTATTTCCGGTAGTCGCTTCTCTCACTAGGAAAAATTTTTTGTAGCGAGAGGAGCGACGAAGGAAAAAACGTCTGCGCTTCGCAGGCTAGATCATGTTGTACTTCTTTTAAATTATCTCGTTGGCTGCTGGATCTGTTCAGAAGGCAAATAGGGTCTCAGTAAGGTCTTAAATTATAATCTCAAAGCAATTAAGGAATTCATTTTAAAACTAGTAAAATCTGGGATTAGTAAGTGGGGCCGAATGTTTACCTTTGGAGTTGCGGTTGCCGACTATGTCATCAAAGTGGAGAAGTTTCTGCCATTCAGTGAACTATGGGGAGGAGTTTTAAGGGAGACGAGTTTATTGGACATTTTTGCTGTCTTTGTAGTTTTGTTTTCCATTTTTTCTGTTTGAATCTAGATTCTGTCGTTTTCCATTGAAATTTGGGATAGACCACCACACCGGGGACTACGCTCCCTACTTTATACGAACAGTGTGTGGGTTCTTTGACTTATTTAACATCCCACAGAATTTATTATGTGTGCCGAGCTTGTGAGACGGGGCCAACGGTTTATCGACCTTATCCGAGAAGACTAGAAAGTCTTGGCTTTTGCAGATGTTACTACAGAGGCAGCACTTTCTTCTCAGTTATTACTGGCGCTAGTCCAGTTAAACTGACTAGGTGGCGCGTGGTCTACAACGTATTTTTGTTTCCGGTGCTTGACCCAACTCATAAGTCGAATTTCCTTCTGCTAAATGTTTGTCAGTGGTTTGTACCCAGGATTCTCGCCGGTTGAGTTTAGGCTGAGTTCTCCTAACGTCGAACGCTGTTACCTCTTCTCCTTTTCCTTCTCTGTTGCATCTCTAGCTCTTTTAGCTTTCTTTTCTGCCTGTAAACGTTTCCTCTCATCGGATCTTCTTGTGCGTTCCCTAATAGCATCTTCTCTGTCTTCAAATTGTATAGTAAGTCTAAATGCCAGTATTTCACACAGTTTTCGGTCAAAGCTTATTAAAAATACAAAACAAAATAAAGAATTTGTGAGCATGGCTTGTACTTACGTAACATTCAAAATAGGATACTTAAGTAAGCATTAAAGGAGACCGGACTTTTTATTAAAATATCATTTACAGTTACTTGCCACCACATAAAGAAGTCCTCGACAGATCCCATAAAATGGATCGCTTCAAAGTTTTACACCGCTTGGGTTTTCGACCAGCCTGGGTGCGTTTTACATGAACCTGTCGCTGTTGACGCGAACGTGACAGAGTGCAAGTTGTCGGTTTCCAGAGTATTTCAACATCTTAAAAGATGATGAAATGGTAAACGTGGTACGCAAGAAAGCTCATAAACGGCTAAAGATAGATACACTCCACTTACAGAATGTTATGTAAACAACGAAAAGAAAGCTAAACACTGGACAGCGAAGGGATAAACATGAGCAAGGTAGGAAGCGCAATAGTTCAGTTTCGAGTTCGCTATGACCGCTGAATTAAAGAAGTGAAGACGCATTTTTTACAGGCTTATAATTCACAAATTCCAACGAGAAAGAGACCTGTTTATTACTCTGTCTATTGTTTATATTCAAATTTCAAACACTTGCTTGCCGGAATTTTTGAATATTTTACTTTATGTCGAGGTTAACCCTGTATGAATGTGTCCTAAATGTTTGTATTCAGCGGTGATTTTTAATTCGAAACTGAACTATTATTTTTGCTGCCTTTTTCTTTTAGGAAGTTTCTAAGGTGACGACTAAAATAATTTGATTGTTTTTTTTTTTTAATTCTCGGAAACGATAGTCCTTTAAAGGTCATCACTGTGCTTCCAGGAAAATGAAGTGTAATTGTGCGGGCACTACTCTTTAACAAACAAAAAGTTCGAAAAATGCTTTTGAAAACGAAATTCTGTTTAGTGACTGAAACTATGAATAAACATTTGACAAAGTATGACGGTTTGTCGAAAAAGACTTGCGTCGCATCACTAGTACTCTTGACAATTAGTCTTACCTGAACACCAGGGCTGGTAGCTTATCTTGGGCTTTGAGTTGTTCAACCAGCTTTGAATAATTGTAGAGGATGGCCCCTCTACCGACCGAACCTATCCCAAGTTCTAACCATTCTTCATCAGTTGAGATCATTTTCTTCACACAGACAGAACTCAGTGATTTAATCATGGACTGTGCCTGAGATCAAAATGAAAAAACGAACATTAAAGCATCAATAGTTTATCTCAATAAAACCGTAAGATTCAAACTATAAAGCAAGAAGGACGTCTTTGCATTTTGGGGACCAACACGCGCTTTGCTGCTCACCCAAACTCTTGCGTTTTTCATTAGTCCAGACAATGGTGCATAGAGATTTCTGATTGGCTGTGAAGTTCATACAAGTCAATTGCATAAATCTACACGATCCAGGGGCTAGAAGAGACGTGTTTTTAAGGATGTTAATATAATTCTCACGTGAACGACAACAATGCTAAGTCAACGCGAAGTCGACTTAAAAATTGACGCGTAGTGACGAGGGATGGCCAAGGTTTAAACTTAATTCGAAGAAAATCTCGTGAAATTGTGCTGCGGTGACCGAGAGCAAGAGAAAGCTGTGCGACAATTGCTAAATCAACCTCGTCCTCAGGGCCTTTCCTATTTTCTAAGGGAAAAGCCCTGGGGACGAGGTTGTTGTTAAATACATAAATGTGATCAACATTTTGCCTAAGAACCGGTCTGGTAAGAGCCTGAACAAACCGGTTTAACTGTGGCATGACCTGTGGACTTTTAATGCCCTGGGTTACTTTTTAGAAGAGGAGCTAATTTCCAGCCAACTTAAAAGGCGCAGGGAACTTAAGCAAAGACGTTTGAGCGACGCACGTCAAACGGAAGTGAGGCCTTCTCCCTTTTTATATGCCTTGACTCTAACAAATTTGTAATGCTAAGTTTCTTTTCTCTTATAAAGACGATTTACCCGAGAGCTCAACCAAACCACTGTCCAGTGATGGGAAAAGTTCACTTCCGGTTGACGTCCGTCGCTCAAAAACGCTGTTGCTTAAGCTCACTATGGCTCCTCTGATTCATTCATCAAAGTATTCATATCCAACACATCTTCTTAAGTTGACCAAGAGTTCAGGAAGGCGCTCTCTCTTTGCTGTTCCCCCATATTTCTCTCTCGGCCTCCCCGCGCAATTAAGATGTTTCCATCACAGCCATCCAACGAAACCGCCACCTATACAGGCCAGCGGAGATCAAAGAATGGACCGAAACCCCTTTTTCAACCCCAGGATAGGTTCACATCGGATAAAAGGTCTGAGAACGAGCCTGAAATTAAATTATCACATTGCCAGACTCTCAAGAGTTATCACAGTTAATTACTTTATTTTACCTTTTCAAACTGTTCTTGGTGATTCGTCCAGGATTCTAACTCCTTTTTCAGTTCCTCCTCGTACGCTCTTGTATGCTTCTTGTGGATGAACCTGTTCTCGCGGAAATACTGTTCAGGAGCAAGTCTCTACAAAACGATAGTTATCATTAAACAAAAAGTTAAATCCCATAGAAAGAATTCAAGATATTCTTATAACGTGGATTAAATAGCTAAAGTTATCATTAGAACAGTTTCCTAAACGCACCAGTTCACCCTCTTTACTTCATGTGTTTCTTCTTCAAACAAAAACGGTAGGCTAGAGTAAACTTGAAATGCTTAAATGGCGTTTCAAGAAACTTGGAGGTGGCCTTTGTAGGCCTAACAGACGTCACCAAATCTTTTTGCCCCGCTAGGGAGTCCTAGCCGAACCGAACATAACGTTTTTATAAATTGTTTGGAAGAATTTCATTACAATATTATTTTTTTTACTATGATGATTTATTTGCTAACCTTCAAGGATTCCTTATCAGACCAGTGGAAGAACATGACGTCATAGAGTTCCAGAGTTTCTTTAGGGGTGAGAGACAAATCACTTGGAAAACCATTCTCCTTAAGCTAAATGGAAGAAATAGGCATTAGGCTATTCAGACTGGTATAAAACAGGACACGTATTTGGATACATGGACCCGAAAATGGTCTATATATTTAAAAATCGGAGAAGGCTCGATCGTAATAAGAAGCGTAGAGCGTTAAGCCCCGTGCAAACGGACGCAATTTTGTTGACCAACAATTTCCAACATTGTTGGATGTTACATGATGTGTCCATTTGCACAACCTGTTACATGTCGTTGTATGCTGTTGGGAGTCGTTGCGCAAAGTTTGAAACCGGTCAAACGTTTAACTACGTGCAAACGAACGTAACAACTCCCAATATTGTTGGGCCAACAATGTTGGGAGTTGTTGCGTCCGTTTGCACGTAGCTTTATTAATATATGATCTAGTGAAAACGAGGTTGTTGGTGTTGGCAAGCAGAGGCGAACTCTGCTTCCGCCTTCTACAATCTGGTTTTCACTACATAGTAAATGGAGACGTTCTAATTCTTCCGACTACGATTCCTTCGACCCTATGACCCCGGCGCGCTCGTCCTTTGTCAAGTCAGAACGAATGAAATTGGCTCTGACAAAGAGATAGTGCTATAAACGTCAGCTTTCAATGTTTACGGCCGGTGGTACATTGACTTAACCAACAAAACCGAATTTTTGTGTTTTCTTTTACATTTTTTCTTGGTTGTACCATAGCTATCTACAGTCATACCCCACTTTACGGACACCTGCTTCATATGGACTCCTCATTATTACGGACAGTTTGCTTTGTCCCTGCATGGGATAGGAAATACCTTACATTTTCTCTAGATTCAACCCGCTTAATCAGACACCCCGTTAATATGGACACTTTCTATGGCCCCCTCAGTGTCTGTATTAACGGGATTTGACTGTACTGGGTTCGGGACTGGGTTTTGTTGTTTACCTGAAACTAAACGTAGTTAAAGTGAAAGCAAGAATCAGCATGATTTCCAACCTGTTTGGCTCCAAGCTGAGCACATGGGTGAAGGCTTACAAACTCTTCTGTCTTCGTAACATCATAACCATCATCGTACATGAACGTCTTTTTAGAAAATCCTCCGTTTTTGGGACTTGGAAGATAGATACTCTTTTCAAGATCTGAGTATCGTTCTTTACAAGTTACTTTCGTTCAAAAGCAAAAGAAGATTAGACATGAATGAATGAATGTAGACGAAACAAAAGCCTATTTTATTATGTTTATTTTTTTACTGAACACCTCGCCCCATTTAAGTCATGTGCAGATATAGTTGAAAGAGAGAACAATTCAGTTCAATTGTATTTTCGATGTTTAATGTACACACGCTTTGAATAATAAAATTCATATCGATGAGCTAGGGTGTAATCCGCAACTTTGAAATGGGAGCCGGGCTTCAAAGGTATATGCCCCAAGGTATACGCAACAGGCCTAAATCATGAACTCCCTCGAAAATGGAAGGCATTACGTTCCCGAAGCGTTCCTTAATGCGCTTATAATTTTATAAAACATGCTTGATCTAGGCTAAATTTTTTGGCTTATCAACAGAAACAAAAGTATGATAATTAGTAAAGCAAGTAATACCTAGTCTGATTCTGTATGATTTCCTTAGCTTTCCACCGTCTTGTTTATCCTGTTTTTCACGGAAGTCTTGTGCGGCCTGCAACCAGCTACAATTTTATTTGACAACAATGGTTTCCATCATGTTCCTTTTCTTTCATCAAAATATCTTTTTGATTGTTACACAAATGAATGAATATGAATGATTGTTATTTCCTTGCAGATACTCAACAAAAAGAAAAAGCTCATTCTCTCTTGAAAAAGCAGATGACTTCCATCGAGCAATACTTGATTTTGTTTTGTGTTTTCTTATATTTGAATATTGCCTGCATTTTCCAAATTTGGTCAGCACCAGCTATTACGAAGAATTAGCTGGCAGATCAAAGACCTCATTCCCAGGGTCTTCTCCTACTCGGCCCCCGTGGCCACGGTTGGCCACGGTTGGCCACGGGGGCTCAATAGGAGAGGACCCTGGGAACGAGGTTGGTGGATCAAAGCCATTTAGAAACGGCGCAATATTTTGAATGAATAACAACAAGAATGAATATATAGCTAGCCAAATAACCACTACGGGTTTTTTTTTTTAAAGGACAGATAACGCACAAAACGTGGAAAAACAAGAATCTTTTAATTTTAACAGTGACGTGAGGGATTCGATGACTACACTGTTTTTGTGATGTCAGTGAACTGATAAACTTGATACAACCAAGAGTGCATTGGGCTCGTGATACAACTGAGCAAGGTAAACGTAAACAAAGTGGAAAAAGATGAGCTAAAAGCCTACTTCAGTAAATCTTGTGGATTCCCAATGGTCGCTGAAAGTGCCAGGAAGGGACAACGAATCAAAAGAAGGAGATGTTCCCAGACTTCAGCTCCAATCTCCTGACCAAGGCAGTGAACCTAAATAAGATAAACGAACGTTTTCAATGTTTGTCTGAAATAGTGTCTTTGATTAAATATGAGCATAATGTTCTGTACTACAGTATTACATGAAGCATTGGAGAAGGAAAAAGGTAAAAAAAAATAAAATAAAATAACACAAAGCTTGAACAAGTGGAACACTTGCTGTTATGAGAACAATATATGTATTACCTCATCAAAGATCACATATTTGACATTTTTTGTCCAGTCCTGTCTGGCAGGCGAGAGGAAGAGAATCTCCAGGCACTGAGGGACTGTGACAAGAATCTGAAAACCAAAGATCAATTTTTTCAATTACAGACTAATGTATGCCTTTTAGCAAGTTAACTAATTGAGCAATGCATCGTGTTCATAAATACTAAAAGGACCAAGTTTCTACCTTTCCTGCAAGTTAACGATGCCCCATCCTTGGAACGCAAAGCTGTTTTCTTTCTTTCTGTTTGGGATTTTTATTTGTTTTCTTTTTTTCACTTCTTCTAGACCTATATTTTCGTTAACCTACAAGTTGAATCAACTCTATTTTTGTTGGAGTTAGGGATATTACTTGACAGCCCCAGATGCAAACTATCCAGACCGCCTCAGGTGATACACACAAATGATGAAGGAAAAGGACGGCGACCGGAATGTAAAAGAATTGTAATAAGCATCACAACAATTACCTGAGAGTTCAAAGTATTGTACTGATAATCTCTGGTGAATACCCCGTACACAGCTTTTCCCGCAGGAAGTTTCTTACGATGAAAGCGGGCGTAAATTGTGGCAGCAACTTGATTTACAAGAGCCTGTAATATACAGTTTAAAGGAGATGTTAAGAGTACAGTTAAAACGTTTTTACTGATAGGGATGAAAAGCTAAAAGACCAAACTTGGACTCGATTTCCTCGGTAAACATTTAAAACTAAAATTAGTTAAAAACGTTAAACTCATGATAATGTTAAACCGACTAGGTCACAGTATTTTTAATGATTTTGTCTATTTTTTTTCACTTCCGCGCTAGCGCTTTAAAGTTCTTATTGGTCAAAGAAACGTCTTTTATGACCTAATTGCAATTGTAAGTCATATCTAAGACAACTGTAAGTCACAAACTTGAAAAAACAGCAGGCAACCGTTTTTCAACTTTCCCTACTCTTCAGTTTTGCCTACCCGTGCTCCTTGTGTCGAAGCTGTTGATTTGTGATATTTCAGTCAATTCTGTGATTATATAGTAGTTGCTGAAATTGATTTTCACAAATTCGAAAACAAAGGATATTTTTGTGAGACTGAGAAGTAAACGGTTTTATGCTAGTAGTATAGTGCGCACCGGTTACTCCATTTTGTGCTAAGGAATCTCATTAACTTGCGGAGGAATACATTATGAGTAAAGAAAGCTCACCAAAAGCAACACATCTGCTAGCACCGACAAGACTTCACGTGTAAAGAAGCATGGACAGGGTTCGCACTCGATCTTTTGAGCTCTTTAAATTCCATGACTTTGCATGAATTTTTCTATGACCTTCACAAGGTTTCCATGACCTTAGGGTTTGCTGTCACGTTCGAATATTTTCAAAAGTATCCTTCTTTTAGCATTTAGGGTATTTTTTAACCTAACTCAGCTCAACAGACACTAACTTTGGTATCCACTAAAATCCATGCCATTTAATTACTCGTCTCTCTCTTACATTGTCCTTCCTTTGCCATCTGCAGTATCTAATCTATCTAACATGACTTTAATTTTCCATGACTTTCAAGGACCGACAATTAAATTCCATGACTTTCCAGGTTTTCCATGACCTGTACGAACCCTGATGAAGAGTAAAGTAATGTTACGCCCAGGGCGAGAAAACGCTTGGGAGCAAGCCCTTGGTCATTTGGTTCTACTTTTGATTGTTTACAAAGATCTGTGACGCCAGATGTTTCGGCCAAAATTAAAGCGTGGCAATACGACAAACATAATAGAAATTTCTAAACAAGACTGATACCTTTGTGGGAGAGACATAAACCACTACTCCATTGTTGCTCTCTCTCAGTACTTTTTCCATGCAGTAATACGAGGCGTATGTCTTGCCTGATGATGTCGGTGCAACTATCACAGCTGACTCATTATTATCCACAGCATCGAGAAGATCACGCTGAAAATTGGAATTTAGAATTAAACGCCTGAAATTATGTTTGTCAGAGCACTTACTTACTTCCTTAGGCCGGAATCATCCCGAGCCGTCCTAACAAAATCTTTCCACACGACCTGATCGAGCAATGCGTCTCTTATTTCTTTGGTATTGTCCAGTCCATTGTCAGCCTTGATGGTGTCAATGTTTGTAATTTTTGGTCTACCTCGATTTGGCTGACCATGTTGGGTTTCCCAAAGCAGCACTTTTGAGGCTGTCTCTTCATTGGACTAGCACAATGGCCAGCTAATCTTGGCAGAGCAGCGTTAATTTTATGGTTTGTATATCAGTCAGCTGCAAGTGTTGATAAAAGGCTTGGGTGTCATGCCGGCAAAAAACCGGCTCAGAACCGAGGTCAAGCTCGTTTTTTCTTTTGTTTATATTTTGGTTTTGACAAAGTGAGTGCTTAAGACATACCTGCCACGAGTCAGGAATGAAGTGGTCTACTCGACTGTCAGGATCAGTTCGCTCCTCCCTTTTCAGTAAATGTCCCATGTGCTCTAGTTGGAATCTTGCGCTTGTTGTGTTAAGTGACAACTGTCCAGCCTACATGATAAGAAATTCACTTTAAGGACGAATGCGAGGCTTTATAGTTCTTTGAAAACTAATATGATCTACGCCATAATTGAAAGAAAGAAAGAAAACAATTGAATAAGTGACGAAGTTGATCATTAAACATGTTAAAAGCCCTGTTCTAACTTCTGGGAATGAACTTTAAAAACCTAGTTGGCCGGTTGCCATTATATGTTTTTGAATCATTTTTTATTGGGCGTGAAATTGTTTCAGTAGACAGTTTATTACTGACCTTTCTGCCACTTTCTGGATTCAGCTGATAAAACGTGGTTGAGATGTCTTCAAATCCAAGTTTTTGCATGTATCCTGCCAGTTTCTTCTTGTCTTTGTCGGTAAGAAGACTTTCAAATCCTTCTGTTATTTTCTGGACGCTTTCCATGAGAAGAACTGGATATTTCATGTCATTTGATTTGGCGTCACGGGAGCCTGGAACGATAGCACAAGGATTGAAATTTTGAAGTCGTATAAAATGTAGTGTACAAAGATCCTATAGACACAGCGAGTATCTCTGTTAAGAAAACAGTAAATCGCCTGCTTTGAATCTGGATAAAGGTATAACCCATGCAGGTATAACCAGATTTAAAACGTAACGTTAGCGCAGGTGCGGTTGCTAAAGAAAAGGAAATTGAAATACCAGAAGGTTCAAAATCTCGAGAATTTCCTTGACTAGGACAATTAAAATTAAAATTTTGGTTAAATGAACGGTAGGTTGTTGTAACAACAACAACAACTAAAGGGAAATATTTACAATGCCGCAACAATTTCCAAGCAGAACATAGAACCTTCTTTGGCCATACTTACACTAATAAATCACAATGTGCTATTTACATATGTAATTATATTTTTGCACCTAACACATAATCGTCCTTTCTTTGGGTTGAAAGAAATAGAAAAATTCATAGTAATTGCATATTTAGACAGGATATAGACTGATAAGGCAGAATTTAGCGAGGGAATACTTAAGGTTTACATCTCTGATTTTTATGAATTGCCTGGTGTGTGTATGTGTTTTTTTAATTGGTATATTTGTCTCAGATAAGGCAAGAAATTTTCGTCATTCGAATAATTCTTTCGATCTTCATATCCAGATGAGGTTCTCTGCTATAAGGCAACAGAAGCTTACAGGAAGAGCTGTCTGGCACCATGCCCAAAGACGTAGTCAGTATTTAAGTCGACGCTGTTAATTTCCTCCATCTGACATTATATATCTCATCTGGCGATTCTGACATGACAATCATTTTATCGCCAAAGAAAGAAACTTTACGGAAGCAAATGAAAGAAAGGAAAGTTAAGGAACTTACGCGTCTCTTGCCAGGCATCCAGACAACTCTGTGCTTTCTTCATAAGAGCTTGAAGATTGAACTCAGGTGTTTCACAATCTGCCACAAATTTGTCAACGAACTGCAAGGCAGCACTGTAATTATCTCTTTTCAGACTTTTTTCGGTCTCCGCCAGAATATGTGTCCATTTTTCTTGGTCTTTTTCCTGCTGTTGCTCTGTAAGTAGTGATGATTTTTCATTTATGCATCAGTCAATTTCAGCTGCGCCCAGCCCCCCCGGGCTGACCCCCGGGCATTAGCAGTTTTTTGCATTGGATAGCAAATTCCTGGGGGTGGGGACTCTTTAGCTGTCAAATCCCCCGGGGTTAGGACGAAAAAAGAGGGCAAATGACCCGTCCTCCGTCAATACCGCAACATTTTTCATTTATCGCACAGTCGAATAGTGCCGTTTAATGTACGATTTTTTGTTTCAAGTAACGTCTTCCTTTGTAATAGCGCTACGATTCTAATTAAGACTTCACGCCGCGACGACATGCACCAGTTTATGGTTTTGCTATAAAATTATTGACATTAAAATTAATAGAGCGCTGTAAAGTTATGAATAGTTCTATAAATATGAAAGGGTGTTCTTCAAATAATATCAACAGAAATTTGATTCAATAACCAAAAAATGTTGATTCACATCGATAGCTCCGATTTGGCTATGTAATTCTGGCTTAGTAAGCATTGAAGAAACTGCATGCATTAAATCCAGAACATGCCTTCGCAGTCTTTACAGCCCTCTTCAATTTTTTCCTGTCCTTGACAGATGAGCCAATCTGCTTTATTTCCAGTAAAATTTTCTGTGTAGTTATTATCCTGATAGGAAACCACGTGCGTGACAGAAGCTCGGAAATGGTCCCGGGTTGGCAAATGCCCGGCCCCCAGGCAGCGCAAAATTTGCAAATGCCCCACCCCCAGGACTGACCAGGCGGGCAAATGTCCCGCAGTAGCCCCGGGTGGGGGGCTGGGCGCAGCTGGAATTGACTGATGCATTAAACGTCATATCAGTTTAACCACGGAAGTCTCAAGATGGAGTTAGGCTACATGAACATTAACAAACCTTAACAGACTTAAGCGGAGTAACAGACCGCCCTTTCCACTGGTGTACCGGCGAAATAACCCACGTGGGACACTTTAGGAGAATACGAGACTCTATATCTTTTGTGGAGTAATACGACGATAACGACAGCGTCAAAAAACAACTGGTTTTATGAACACAAAAAAAGCTCTGCACATGCATCACACTCTTTTCAGTACATTTTTTCATGTCCACTGCACCATCCGGCTGGCCAATTTACTTAAATTGCTTTGCCCCAAGCACATACCTCTACGCTTTCTCTTATTCTCTTCAATGATTTTTGCTGCTTTCGAGCTCTGAAAAAGGAGACGAAAACAAAGATTCTCCATCAGTGTAGCCAATTGGTTTACAACCTTAACCGTGAAGCAGTGGAAATAATGCTGTATTTTTGTTTCCTGTAACCAGGGAAACACACCTTGTAAGCAGCTGCTACAGTACTGTAAGAGTTCTCCACATTAGGTGGTAATTTACCTTTTATAGCAACACCTCTTACCGCCTGCAACCATTTAAAGACTTTCGAATATTCATTAAATTGTTTTAAAAATATAGGTGCAGTTTATGGTTTATCTCGCAACTTACCACTTTTCCCTTTTTGTCCTTTCCTTTTTTCTTCTTATTCTCAGTTTCCGTCACTGTGATTATTTTCGCACGGTCAACACCACCAGAAAGTGAATCTCCATAAAGTCGGTGATAACGCGCATATTGCTGTTTTCTTTTGTAATACCAAAATCGTGCCTTTCGATCGTCTGGAAGTTTTTCTGGTCACAATTCAGACATAACAGGTAAGGCGTAAGTCCAACAGGTATTCTCAAGAAGTAAGTGTAAAATGTGTGTGGTTTAACACAACGTATTTAATATGATGAAATAATGAATTTATGAATACCATATATTTGGACTGCATGATGAAGAAATAAATGCTGAAATGATCATCAAAGTTAAATACATAACTTATACAGTTGAGAAATGGAGGCCTGAAAAAATTCAGGCTAGCTAGGAACCCTGACCTCTGCGATACCGGCGCAGCGCTATAATGAATTGTGTAGAATGCGAAGTGGGAGCTTGTCATTAAATTGGTTCATAATACACCTGGGAAAGTTGAAAATGAAATGATGAATATATGGATTCCATATATTTGAACTGCGAAATGAAGAAATTTAGTAAATGCAGAGATGGTCATGACAGTTATCTGGAAATATTCTGGTTTTATGAGAACTTGTTTAAATCAAACTAATTCCACCACAAAAGCGAATAATATGCAAGTTTCTAAGATTCTGATTCTTTTCACAGGTTTGAGGGCGGAACTCTTGGAAATAGCTCTTAATAGTCTTAGGAAAGACAAGTGTTGTTTCTACATTGTTTACAGTAAAGTAGATGATTGAAAATTGAAGCCGAGAATCGTTATACCCACGGATGATAAAAAGAACTATTATCCATGGTATGCCACGCCTTGCTTTTACACCGATACGTACTAACTGTTTTTACATCAAAGAGAAACCCCTTCAGTTCATTTCTGTACTGAGATACGCTCTTTTTTGCAGATTTCCACCTCAATACTTACCTTTGATGTCACCTTTAGTTCTTTCACAATCATCTGAAAGAGGTTTTAGCGAGTGCCAGTGGTAGAGTTCATCAAACGCACGACCTTCGTAAAACACTGTGTCGTCTATTTCTTCTCTGAAAAATACCAGGGAAAATACTCCTTAGCAACCATCGCATGCGGTAGTTAACAGATAATAGTACGTTTGCAAAGTCTTAAATGACTCAACGAGTCTTAAATCGCCGTTACACCTACCCAGCTATTTCGTTTATCTTTGACCGCATGTCACCAGCGTACTCACTTACAAGAGAATTTTCCATCTCAAGAAGACGTGTTAGTTTTACGCAGGTTTCTGAATCGGCACAAGCTTCTAAAAAGGAATGAAATGACACAAAACGTTACAAAATGAGACTTTTTGATATATAAGGTGCCAGCTGAGCTTTCCTTAAAGGTGTGGTGGTCAAGAGTTGAACTATGGCAGAGTTCTTCAACTAAAACGTGTTTACTCTAAGAGTAAGTATTCGCAGGCTATAAGTTTTAATGCTTTTCAAGGGTCGATTCATATGCAGCATGCAGCATACGCTTGTGGCCGTCGCATTTGCCGGCTGAAATTTTGATTGGAAACAATGAAAAATTCCAGTCGGCAAATGCGACGGCTACACGTGCATGCCGAAACGGAATCCACTCTGAGAAACATATAGAAAATACGTGATATGACCTCATCAATGAGCCCTCTCGTGTTGTCTTTCATAAGCCCCTTTTTTAGAGCTAGAGTAAGTACTTTAACAAGGAAATTAACAAATAGAACTCCTTTCCATATTGTGTAGAAGATTCATTGAAATAAACGCTTCACAATACAACCTTGTGTTTAGTATTAACAGCTAGTTTTATGTCTTCGTCCCTCATTGACATAAACTACTGATGAAACGAGAATCGAATAAGCCATTTCCGGGTTCCAAAAACCCTCACTTTCAAATCGAGGCCAAGTGCAAATTCTTTCTTGTGAAAACGAGTATTATTTGGCCGGGAATAAAAAATCGTTCTCAAATCAATGGCTTAGCACTTAGCCTAGCTTTGAAACAGGGACTTGGGGTAACTAGGGAACGGCCCATTAATCAGGCAACAAGCTACGACATCACCCATGTCAGTGGTTTCTCCCTAGACTAACGAAACTCTTTCACCACCCCAAGAAGAAGGACTAACCAGTGCGCACTATACTACTCGAGGGATTGAAAGGTTGAGTATTAGTTAGCTTTAGATAGCTGAAATTACCTAAGCTTAGTGATCCATCAAAAACTGCTCTCACCTTTAACTGTACGAAATTCTCTCCCAATTTCAGCCGAAAAAGGAAGAAACTGAGTGGCCAAAACATCAGAGTGTTGAGTGCAGGTAGTTTTCAAATCAGCAACAACTATGCCCCATGCTATTTCCGCTTCTTCTATGACATCTTTCGGTAAGCTAACAGCTAAGGTAAATTGCAGATAGGTAAAATAGGTACGTAAGGACGACGAATAGGGAAAACAACAGTAAGAATTAAAAACGGAAGGGATAACTTGTTTTATTTGAACCTTTCATTCCCTCCAATGCTAAGGTCAGGGAAAAGAGAGTATGAAGAAGTCGACTGTCCATTAGATCAGCCACTGAAGTCATGTCAAGTAAATGGCCCGTTGCAAGTATGGAGGGGTACTCATCCTGTATGACCTTTAAAATCTCCCACAGGGATTTGTGCATCTGTCAGGAAAATAAAAAGTACAAAGACGTTCAACAATCCTCCTTAGGCAGCATAACAAGTAGTAAAAGCGTCGGACTCTGGAGAACCCAAGTTCAAATCCTACCCTGAAGTGAGCCTTTGTTCCTCTTCCCACTTTGTTGCTTGCTTTGCAATGTGGCGAATTTATACCATGTATATGATTGCAACAAAAAAGGCCATTTATCAAACATCACATGAGAATCGCCCTTTCTTCACCAGAGTCGTAATAAGCTTTCTTTACAGCTAAAGTATTCTTAACCTTTTTGTCATAGTTACCTTGTCAAAGTTATACTTAAACTGATCATCCTTTTCCTCGCAGAACTTAGTCAACAAGTGGCCTTTTAAAGTATGTGCTCTATACTTCAATGGCAGTCTACTCAGTAGTAAGGAGTGAAGCAGAAAAAGCTTGATTCTGCCTTCTGCAGTTTTCGCTGATTCCTATGGTCACAAAAAATTAATGTTAACAGTTTTAACCCACAAGATCTCAAATTTATTAAAGCCTAAAACGAGCTGGTAGATCAGTCGCTAGGGTTAACGGCTCCACTTTCTCTTACATAATTAACTAAGATTTTTCAGTTCAATTCAGTCCATTTATTTAGCCAAAATATATTTTACAGTACAGGAATATATATAGGAATTATGAGTTGACAAGGGAGCCCAGAAGAAACTAAAAGACTTATGAAGCCTGGGCTCCCCAGTCAGAAAGAAATAAGTAAAATGAAATTTGCGGAATGACACGTTAAAAATAGGAACGTCCGTTCACCTTAGCGATTCACGTCCGTAGTCAGAGTTGGCATGTACTTTAACAATAACAAAGCGCATCGCGGCCATGATTTCGTTGTCAGTTTATAGCGTCCATTTTTAAGGTATTTCAATAAGTTGATTGATATACAACATCAGGTACCTTGCTGACATTAGAGTCATTCAGAATTTTAGTCAGGAGCATTTCACAACCAAGAACGGTTGCTAGCTCACGGCACCCTCTCTTATTTGGAGACTGAAGAGCAGATTTTACTTTCTCTTTCAGATCAAACTGCAATGTAAATCAGAACATAGTTCCCGTTATAATATACAATGATCTTTTATGCTTTGCGGCTTTGTTAGTTCTTGTACATGTGGAAGCCGAAACAATTATACTTTACATAGTTATTACGTGCGCAAAAGGTTAAGCATTTTAACTTTTATCCTTCTGCCTTGCCTTAATTGATATAGCCAGTTTTATAGGACGTTTTCGCAATTAGATAGTGTCGCAAAACTTAACATTATCAATTTCAGTTGATTTTATTTCCATGATTACTGTAGTCATTGCTTGTCAGATCTCCGCCGTCGAACATTAGGATATGAAACGATCCTAACAATTGTCGCTGAACATGGTTAGACAAATTGACCATTGTCAGGCGCGGATCTAGGATTAATACTGACCGATTTCCTAAACGAGGGTCGAAGGTGCAAGCTTCTTGGGGGGTTCGGGGTATGCGCCACTCCCTAAAGTCCCCTTTCCTGGGTTTCTAAGCCATTCAGACAGGATATTGGCCAGTTCCGTTCTTCTCGGGTGAAGCCATGCAAATCGGCGGATTAATTCATAAAGGTTAATTTCCATATTGTATGTTGGATATATGGAGCATGATTTCAACTGGGAAAGCTTTTTATGATTAAAAATATACTTGTTATGAAAAATCTGACCGATTTCCGTAAAACGGTGGAAACCGTTGTGGATCCAAGCCTGATTGTGACCTTGTGACCCCCTTTTTATAAAGTCACCAGGTCCTCATTTGGTAATCAATACCTGTGTTACTAGAGAGGTTCCTGGAGCCTGTTGGTCATCACTAGACGCTTCTTTACGAAAATAACTCATTACAGCACACCATGCTTTCCAGCAAGTCTTGGAAAACTACAAAAACAAGAGCACTCTTATCAAAACAAAGTCATAGACGTCTCTAGCGATTATTTTAAAACTTGGCCCGACTGTTTGAATTAGCACCGGGAATTAGCCTGGATGACGAGCTTGTCTGGTGCTTCGCGCAAAAAGCTTCGTTCGCCCAGCGTGGTTCATAAAGCGGCTGTGATGCAGGCTAGTTTGAATCTGAAGTGTTTTTCGGCCCGCCATTTTCCAAGGAATTTTTTTTAAATCAGGGGCACCCAACGACAATTTTCGGAAAATATCTGCTCGGAATACGATTTGACATCTAGAATTTTCGGAACATTTGTTGCAAAATTTCTTGCTTGCCTGCCTCTCCTAGGATTTTCGAACATCTACAAAATGGTATAATTACCCATTTTTAACGGATTTTGACCCTAAAAAAGGCCACCAAGAATTTTCGGGAGCCTTTTCCTGGCTGAAATTTTCGAGACGGTAAGTTTTTATCCCTACAATTTTCGGATCACTAGACTTTCAGCTAGGAAATCCGAACAGCTGAAAAGTTTTTAGGGGATGAAAATATGCCTATATCTACCGTTTAAATACTAAAACACGATCAACATTACTATGTTAAGTGGTTTTGAACTGTATCCTCGTTGGGTGCCCCTGTTAAATTTCTTTCTCTTGGAGGAAGTGGATCTTTGACCCTTTGAAAGTATCTTAGGTACTTTGTTACAATGCCTTGTTTTAGAAACGACTTTAATTCGGGAGTCTAGCCTTCACGAAAATGGAATACGTAAGACGAGAAATTTCGGTGGTGGGACTAGCTAGTTATTCGTTGTATTCCCGATAGTCACCATATGGCGTGATCTCAAGTCCAGATTCTGAGCAATTGGAACTGAACTGATTTTATTTCATTAAATTTGTAGGTTGAAGATCAATTTTAAGCTCTAGAGTTTGCATACTATTGAATCTGAACAGGCCCTACCTTTCTGAAGCGTAATCTATGAGCTGGTAAAGACTCCATATAATATCCCATCACTTTAGTTGCAGTCATTTCAATACCAGAAATAAATACACAGTTTAAACCCTCGCCGAGACTGTGAAAAAGAAGACTTCTCAACAAAAACTGCAATCCTTGACGAGTTTTCTCTCCAGATTCCCAAGGAATATTTTCTGCGTCTGTCAGCACCAGAAATGCGGGAATTTTGCTATTAACATAATCTCTCCACTGCTTTCCAAAAAAGTGATCGATTGAAGTGACAACGGTGAAAGTTGTATTGTACTTAAGGTGCAAAATAAGGGCTTGGCGTGCTAACAGCATGGACGGCTGGCTGTTCCAGATAATTTCCATTTCTTTTAAAAACACTATGTGGAAAACGCCCCCTAAATAAAGTAAACTGGTTTAGAAATATGTCAGTTCTGTTGAATAGATTGTTATTTATAGCAAGGCATACGAGATCCCCTCAAAATTACAATGTGCAAAACGTGGCTCATTGCTTTGTAACCCCCATACAGCGTGCTTAGAGAACACCAGCTGTTAATCTTTTATTTCAGAATTACCCATTGGTCGTAGTGCACCAATATTGCAATCATTTTGCAAAGGCACTCAATTGCCGAAGACAATGTTTAGGTGGGCATCGTTTAAAGACAGGCACCTCGATAATGTTATGGTGTCTCTACCTAATTATAATCACCGCTCTTCATAAACAAAATCTTAAAGATGACAGTTTCTTCCTTTTTCCAAAGCCGTTTGGAACAAAGCGAAGTATGTTAGGGGGCTTTTCCACCAAGGACCAGATATAAAGTACAAAACTATTATCTACTGACTACCTGAATGAATTCATCAATTACCTAAACCGAGGAAAACACCGGCAGTAAGAAAGAATAGATTTCATTTCTTTTGTTATTCTCTCTTTTCGTTTAAAGCCAAATAGTCCTATTTACGATATTATGTAACTAGACTAACCTTTATCTGTAAAATACTGTAAAAATCGTTCCACTAGATATGCCAGATGGAGAAACTGCCCGCCATTACTCCAGTCCAAGCTCCTCTCACCAAGAAGGTCCAGGAGCAAGGAATCGCCATCGATTAGGAAAATCTCCGCGTCCACAAAGTCCGTCATTATATTTACTTGCCTTAACAACAAATCAAAGGCTTCAGGCTAGACTGTTCACAGTTCTCTACTTTCCCGTAAGATCGTCGAGATGGAGCGCTTTTTCTCGCCCCCAGTACCCTAGAGCTATAATCCCCGACGCCCGTCCCCTTGGTACATTTGAAAATCAAGATGGCCGCCATTAACGGTAAGACACGCTATAGCTCGACGATCTCACGAAAATATAGGGGACTGTGAACAGTCTAACCTCTGGCTGGCAAACATAGCTTATCGTTAGGGAAGTAATGCTGCTTTAATGTAGTAAGCACGGACAGCTTTTTCACCTATAAACCGTAGATTACGTTCAAACTAATAAATGTAACTTTCATTGAAATGAATGATTGACTAAAATTAAAAATAAAAAATTTCATTTACATAGTTCAAGCAACCAAATCCAATAACCTCTGTTTGGTACGTACAAAACAGGTACCACAGTTTTCTTTACTGTGGTACATTTACACGCCTGCTCTCGATACCACAGCCTTCAAAGGTCTGACTGGGTCATCTTGTGCACATAATCCGGTAGCTATTTTTTTATTTTAAAGAAAGCGGAAATACTTAGGTTGGTATTCATCCTAAAAAGGTTTTATCACGCTTAAACAAAATCGCATTTAATTGCTAACTTTCACCAAAGGTTGAAACAAAATACACTCAACACTTACAGTGGCGTTACACAGTGTCCGTAAAAGCGTTCATTAATGTAATACATGAATTGAGAAATAGTCAGTGGCGGTCTCCCAGTTTTCTCATCATCGGTTTGATTCCCAGTCTCTTCTGACTTCTCTTCGGGCTCGCCACCTGTAGGAGAATTACAAGGTACAATTACAATTGATACCCAAAGCTCATTTTGAGAAATGGAATAGAAGAACCGAAAGGTGCTCGTTCTCATCCCCTTCCCAGTCTACTCTCTCCGTCCTTATAAGAGCATGTCTGATCGTTTCCAAAGTTCGCTTGCCCAGGGAAAAGACTGTAACATGGACTATTATTCTAGGATTTCCCACGAATAGCTCCAGCTAGTGGTTGATGAAATTAAACCAAAGATAACTTCAGTCCATAACGTTTGTTTTTCGTTTTCTGCCGAGAATACGTGTGGTCTAGCTTGATATATAATATATAGATTTCGCAAGGGCTAAAAGCGAAGCTCACGATAATA